TAGGTACCACCTACCTACCTCCAGGCTACAGCCTTGCAGCACTCCAAAGCCACCCTATCACTGTGCGGATCCACACCTTCATTGATGTGAATCAGGCCCGCCCTATATACGTTCATAGATGGCACCAAGGATTGAGGTAAATCGACGAAACAGTCAGTTCAATTGCAAAGTCTTTATCTGCACACATCACTCGACTTGACTAGGCATCACTCGACTCGACTAGGGAGCGGAGAGTCTGCAGGAAAGAATGGTAGCAGTATTGTGGCAAACACAAGAGAGGAGTACAGGTGGCAAACAAGCTTGTCACGATGCCTTCCTGGCCCGTGGAGTTCCTGCACCCCTTCATCATTACCATGTTTTCGTAATTCACTGTAAAAATGTAGTAATCAAGTTGATAGCCGCGGAGTCGTGTCAAACCGTCTAGTTTTAGATGTGGCCTTTACATATTCATTTTTTACAAAGGCTACATCCTGAGACTGATCTCAAGTCCATTGATACCCGAGTCTTCGGCTGATCAGTGATAGGTACCTACATAGGTAGGTACATAAGGTAGTAGGGGGCAAGCATTCAGCCGAGAATGCCTGTCTTGGTCTGCCTGTGGTCGACTGAGTACCTGGGTGCTAGGTAGTGAGCAACTAGAGACTACCTACCTAATGACGCATGCACAGAATTATGTCACGCACGCACCCCCCCGGAGGGCACGCGAGTTCCAGTACGCTGAGGAATCAACAAACCGAAGTCGCTGTAGCCTTTTGCATGGATGGCCTCACATTCGACGAGTACTGTAGCACCGCTACATTACACGACATTGGCATCCGCGAGGAGCGGAATACATCCGATCTGCAATATTGCCACACCGACATCCTTTTGGGGGTTCATGTACATACAATGCACAAGACATCGTCGGGAGGAGAGCTAGTGATGACACGCTGTACAGGATTGACGGGCAGGGCAGTACGGGGCTGATCGAATAACAGTACTGCTATAGTCTTAGACGATTAGCTGACTTTGAGCCACGGGCAGAGACACTTGCGTTTATTGGCCTATTTGCAGCAATATCGAGTAAAAATCGTAGTGCTGAATTGTGCTGACTTTCATCAAATCAATCTGATCTCGGCAATGATCATGATTCAGGATTGATGTCAGTCGTATACTGAGGTAATAACTGTTCTTATACGAGTTCACGCGCAGCCGCCAATTTCTGCGCCCTGTCTTCTCATCCATAGTTAGCCTTATCGAGTGAACAGCGGCCCCTGATCTTGAAACTGGCTGACTAAGAGTGGCTCAGCTCGGTATGCGCCACAGCTCATGCAGCGGACGCTCTGTGCACCTGTCACCACAGCGGCCTCTCCACCGTGGAAATAACACTAGCTTCTTCGGGGTGCCTTTTAATTATTCTCCCACTTTGCTGCTGGCTTCCCATCTGCCCCGTCACATCACCAGTCACCACGAAAAGGATTGTTTCTTTTATTCGAGCAGCGCGTGTTTGGTCCGACTTAGCTGGGATCGGTTGTTGAGATTTCTCGGGACCCTTGTCTGCCTGGCTTCCGTTCTTGTTGTATCGTTTCCTTGCGTCTGGCCTCTAAGTTCACCTCTTCGTCTTTCACTCATCTCTGCACGGCCTCACGCCCCCCCCCCCGAACCTTTCGACTTTTCCATTCCGCACCCCTTTCTCCGGAAATTCTGCTTGCTTCAGCTCTTCAAAACTCTTCTCGTTCCTGCATTTACTTCTTCCAGCGCTAGCGATCTGACAAACTCTGCGTTTTCGCGCCTCTCCTTGTCTGTGTTGGGCATTGATATCTCGTCCTGACGCTGGCTGCCCCTCTCCCCCGTCACCGATATTTTAATTAGACGCCCAACTCGGCGGATACTGCACCGTCACACTCTGCCGTTCTTCCAACAGCATCGACTTTAGTCGCTCCTCCATCCCGCTTACGATTTCGAACATCGATCAATAAATATCCATCACCAAAATGACTGACACTTCGGCCCCCCCCGCCTCTGCGCCTTCCCAGAATGGCTCTGGCAATGCCATGGCCCCTCCTCCTCTGCATATTCCTGCCAACAACAATCCTCTCCCCACTGCCATCACCTCTCCTATGGGTGAGAACAGTGGTATCATGTCGCCTACGAGCCCTGGTGGATTCCGACGAGCTGCTCCCGAGCCTAACAAGCGCGCTCTCTACGTCGGTGGTCTTGACCAGCGAGTCACTGAGGACGTCTTGCGCCAGATATTCGAGACCACTGGCCATGTTCAGAATGTCAAGATTATCCCTGACAAGAATGTAAACTATACCATCTCCGCCCTGATACTAGTTGACGCTAACTATTTCACTTACAACAGGCCAAGGGCTTCAATTATGGCTTCGTCGAGTACGACGATCCTGGTGCAGCTGATCGTGCTATGCAGACGCTGAACGGACGCCGAGTTCACCAGTCAGTATGTAAAAGCCAAGACAATCAACGTGTAGCACGGAGCGTCTAACCAGAAGTAGGAAATTCGCGTCAACTGGGCCTATCAGGCCAACAGCTCTGGCAAGGAAGATACATCCGGCCATTTCCACATTTTCGTCGGTGATCTCTCCAACGAAGTCAATGATGATATTCTTACCCAGGCCTTCTCCGCCTTCGGTTCCGTTTCCGAGGCTCGTGTCATGTGGGATATGAAGACGGGCCGCTCCCGTGGCTATGGCTTCGTTGCCTTCCGTGACCGGCCCGAAGCCGAAAAGGCTTTGAGCTCCATGGACGGCGAATGGCTCGGCTCTCGCGCCATCCGTTGCAACTGGGCCAATCAAAAGGGACAGCCATCTATGGCTCAGCAGCAGGCGATGCAGGCTATGGGCCTGACACCCACTACCCCCTTTGGCCACCATCAGTTTCCCACCCATGGTGTTGGTAGCTACGACGTCATTCTGGCACAGACGCCTAACTGGCAGACGACCGTCTATGTTGGCAACTTGACGCCCTATACCACCCCCAACGACGTTGTCCCTCTGTTTCAGAACTTTGGCTTTGTTGTCGAATCTCGCTTCCAGGCGGACCGCGGCTTTGCCTTTATCAAGATGGATACTCACGAGAACGCCTCTATGGCCATCTGCCAAATGAACGGATACAATGTTAATGGACGGCCGCTAAAGTGCAGCGTAAGTAAATAGACAAGGCAGTCTTGTCGTCATTTTTGTTAACATGCAATCAGTGGGGTAAGGACAAGACTCCTAATCAGGGGTTTGATCCTTCCCAGCCTTACAGCCCCCAAAGCGCCCAAGGTCCTGGTTTTCCCGGCTCTTACTATGCTCAGTACGGTGGTGAGTACCCCCGAAACCCAGGTTCACAGTGCAGTGCTGATGCAATATCGTCAGCAGCCCAGTACGGTGGTCAACCAGGAAACTACCCAGCCGCTCAGACAGGCTCTCCTGGTGGCTTCGCTGGATCTCCCATGGGTTACAACGCGCCTCCACAGAGCGCTGGTGGCTACGGCCGTGGTCAGCCTCCCAATGCTGGCCAGTGGACACAGCCTCCTGGTCAGTTTGCGGGCTACCAGTCTTGAAATATAAGTGAAGATACAAAAAGCTTTTAGCGATGCGTCGTGCGGTAAGCAGAATATTGCAATGAGTGCACAGAAACATGGGGGTATAGGTCGTGACGCAATTTTTTCCTGTTGTCTTCCATCTCCCATATCCTATTTTCTCACATTTCCACCCTCGCATAGTCTGCTGTGGGAATCATGATGGCTTTTGGGACATTGAATGCCTTTTCTGTTTTGTTTATTCTCCTCTCTTATTTCTTCATACTCATTCAATCTCTTCGCTTTCTTTGGGAAGCGTGTGTATCTTGGTCTCGTTTTCCCCTCCTCCTTACCTAGCTACCCTCGTCTTCGTCTTGATGTCTTTTTTTTTTAAGTGGCTGCCGCGTAAAGCATCTGCGTCCGAGTCCGCGATTTTCCATTCTCCCTTTTTCAAGTTTCCCGATTAATTGGGATCAAAAGCTGGCGAAAAGTTTTGGTACCTTGTTTTCCTTTCCTTTTACAAGCATCATCTTGTTTTTGATGACGTTCCTGGATACCCTTTAACGAAGTTTGCATGCCAGATGGGATTTTTAATTGATATGCCACAAACAAACATGTCATGGAGTGCATACCGCATGAAGCGATTTTTTGATGGTGGTGAGAGTGGCGGTGGCGGAATTATGCCGTCTTGTAATGCACATGGTGGGTTGCGAATGCTCGAGTCATGGAAGCACTGAGTACGATAGAGTACTTCGGCGGGCTCATTGGCAAAACTAAATACAGTCATCTAACTCTATACACAAAGACTAAAATCTTGGTTTGTTTTTCGCCTTGCGGTGGTTATATCTTGTCCCAGGGTTCGTTGCAAACGAGCTGCCGGAACAAGTCTTGACTTGTTCCGTTCTTGCACAGGTGTCTTGAGGAATCAGAGTGAGTGCCATCTTGAAGATGATTTCTATTTCAAATTCGCGATGACGTGTATGTTGGCTTGCTTCTCTCGTTTCCGTCCTGTTTTGCTCTATTTTTTGCACTTTTTTCTCCTCCGACAGTGTGCTGTGCAAGGTGTTTCGCCTGCTGATAGTCCACAAAGCCATCACGTACGTACACACTGGTGTGATGCCAGCACCATGATGGCGACTTGGTCAGCAACGGCAGAGAGCATATCATCAGGCGTCTGCACACAGGTTTCTTGGCATTTATTGATCAATCATTACAATATGTTTGCTTACAACTTGAGATGATCGGCGGCCTAGGCAACGCCGAAGAGATGCAATGGGCTTCCAACCTCTCTATTGTGGCTTCCAAGACAAGGGCTCTGCTTTTGAAACGGAAACATGCGCGTTTGACATTGATATTTATATTATCCAGTTTGCCCAGGTCGATTGAAACATTTTGGAGCAGTTCTTTCGCAAGTACAACGCCGCGTAAGAAGGTGAAGCCGAAGCAGACGACCCTCTCCATGGCCCCAGTCGTGATTGGGCAGCCATCGGGTTGGTAGCACCATGAGGTCGAACTTTGACAGCCCGCCACATGTTTCCAGGAAGAAGTCGCAGACCAAGACATTGATAGAATGAGATTGTCGCGCTCTTTGCAATGCGATGGCAACAAAAGTTCTAGGTGGCGTGTCCAAGCTACAACCAAGGATCCTTGCGGGGGGATCATTTAGCACCTGATTAGTACGCGGGAGGGGGTTGTTTTCTGACAGTGTCTCCGACAAAGATACTCCGTCTGCATAATTAACGTATTCTTCAGGCCATATTGAGGAGAGTCACACTTTTTAAACATATTTAAAACTTTAACATCATAATTAACAAGTCCAAATTCATCACAAAATGCCTTAAAATATGTATTGACGAAGAATCATCCTCAGGCATGTCAGAAAAAGCCCACTCTCACGTACCTTAGGTACCTAACCTAGTAGTACAGATAGGTATTACCAGAGCAAGCAAGTCGGTTCGGTGGCGCGGGGGGACTTGTCCCAGCGGCGACTTGTTGCCTATGGTGAATGAAAGTGAGAGGAGGTCTGGATGGAAAGGGCTTTCTGTGGTTAGAGACTGCATTGCTTGAGGAGGGCCGTGGGCGGCTGGGCCGAGCCAAGCAGAGCTGCGCCGCTGTGAAAGTAACACAAGACGGGGCATCCACAGGTGCCAGTGGCAGCCACTAAACCTGATGCAGGGCGCGCAAGAGCTCGCTCACTTGTTTATGCACGGACAGACCTGCCTAGCCTTGGACGTGAGAATGAGAGAATGACGCGGGAGAAGACGACAGAAAACAGGTGAATGATTAGTTTAGCGATGTTTGATTTATTTGATCCAACGAGCGTACCTATTGATAGTTATAGACAGGCTCTGCAACGGCGCTGCATGCATCACCACGAACTTATCAAACAGCCCCAAAAAAGGCGCCAAAGCTCCCCAGCCGTCTCCGTCGTAATGAGAAGTGCCATCCTCCTCTCGAGGTACCTCTATCAGCCACTGTCGGCCGCCGGCATCACATGTACCGTGCTCAAACCACCACAACTCACCAACACAACCCCACGCCGCCTTTCGACGCGCGCCATTATACAGCTTTCGCCCCCAGCTTCCCTAACTACCGTCTCTCTCTCTCCAAACCCATCCTCCCAGGCAGGTCCTTGCCGACGGCTTTGCTTTCTTTCTCCAAGCCCGTCTCGTCTTGTCCCTTTCCGCTGCTCAAGCACCGTCCAGCGCTTGTGCCATATTACGCTGCCCACCGGCCCTGTTTTCCTTGCTCGTGTTCCCGGGCGGAAACCTTACCTGTTGCTCGGTGCGTGGCTTTGCTGTCTGGCTGCCTGGGCCCAAAGGTCAGCACAACCGCCAAAGCCCATACATATCACATCATACCACGAATCGGCCCTCGTCCGACCCACAGGAGAGCAGCACCACGTCGAACTCGCGAATGCTTCATTGACCGTCGAATCACGCCTACCGCTTCTGTCGCCGGCCATTGCCCGCCCACCCGAGCCTGAACGATGGATCCCAACTGGCAGCAGTATCACGACCCGGCTGGGGCCTCCTCGCGCCGTCACAATGGCACCGCGCACATGTCTCCGCCTTCTGCTGCCCAGCAGCAGCTCCCGCCACCTGCCGGCTACGCCTACGATCAGTATCATCCCGCCGCCGCCGTCCCCGCCGCTGTTGCTGCTGCTCCTGCCGTCCGCCACGGGAACCCGGCCGTCTCCCCCATGGTCGCTGGCCAGCCTCGCGACGGAAACGGCGACGTTGCCATGCGCGACGCCATCGACTCCCATGCCGGCATCAAGTATGCCATGAGACCTCATCATCAGCCGCACATGTCGGGTGGTCGTGCCGCCGCCCTGCACTCACCTCACGACCAACCCTCGTCGGCCGCTCAGCGCTACTCGCCCATGGAGACGCTTTCGCCAACCTCGCCTTACGGGGCGGCTAAGCAGAGCCAATTTGTAGGCCCTCCATCCCAGACACAGTCTCCTGCTGGTGCCTCTGAATATCCCCAGAGCCCCTACTACGCCGGCCGTCCGCAAAACGCGCAGCTCCCCCCCATGTCACCTTATGGCCCCAGCGGCACTGACGGCTACCCTTCCGCCACGGTCGCTCATCTCGACGGCACTTTCAATTCCAAGTCACCGCAGCGACCCACGGTTCCGACCGTAAAGTGCGTACCCGAGTTTCGCAAGCTGCGCGCAGTCTCGGATCTTCAGCCAAAGAACAACCGCCAACCAGCCTTTCGACGCGCAAACCCTGAAGGTGGCTTTATCAGCGTACGTTACAGCTCCTCGATCATTCTGGTGGGCAATTGCCATGCTAACTCTACTTTTAGCCTCTTCAAGCTCTTACAGCCCACCTCCCCGCAACTTATCGAATCTGCAACCCGAGCTTCAAGTACGAAACGTCACGAAACCCCCGCAGAGTCTTGACGAAGCCCAGCAAGGGCTTAAAGAACGATGGATATGACAATGAAGACAGTGATTACATTCTTTACGTCAATGATATTCTGGGCTCCGAGGAAGCGGGCCACAAGTATGGCTGCTTCCAAATTCACCTTCCAATGTCTCACGTTCCTAACCTCATTATAGGAACCGTTACCTTATACTTGATGTCCTCGGCCAGGGAACCTTTGGGCAGGTAGTAAAATGTCAGAATCTTAAGACCCAAGAAGTCGTCGCTGTTAAGGTCATCAAGAACAGAACGGCCTACTTCAACCAGAGCATGATGGAAGTCTCGGTCCTGGATTTGGTTAGCCACTCTCACTTTCAGTCTCGTCACGAAACTAATTAGCCTTCAGCTCAACACCAAACTCGATAAAAACGACGATCATCACCTTTTGCGACTAAAGGATACTTTCATCCATCGTCAGCATCTTTGCCTCGTCTTTGAACTGCTCAGCGTCAACCTGTACGAACTCATCAAGCAGAATCAATTCCGCGGCCTCAGTACGACTCTTGTCAGAGTCTTTGCCCAGCAGCTGCTCAACGGTCTTGCTCTTCTCAACAAGGCCCGACTTATCCATTGTGACTTGAAGCCCGAAAACATTTTGCTCAAGAATTTGGAGAGCCCAATAATCAAGATTATTGATTTTGGTTCTGCCTGCGACGAACGACAAACGGTCTATACGTATATTCAATCGAGATTCTATCGATGCCCCGAGGTTCTTCTTGGCCTACCATACTCGTCAGCTATCGACATATGGTCTTTGGGCTGCATTCTCGTGGAGCTTTTCCTCGGCCTGCCATTGTTCCCCGGCTCTTCCGAATACAACCAAGTCTCTCGCATTGTGGAGATGCTCGGAAACCCTCCTGGCTGGATGTTGGAAATGGGCAAGCAGTCCGGCGATTTCTTCGAGAAGCGTCAAGACGAGTTTGGTCGCCGTACCTATCAACTGAAGAGCATGGAACAGTATGCGCGAGAACGAAACACCAAGGAACAGCCTAGCAAGAAGTATTTCCAGGCCAGCACACTACCCGAGATCATCAAGTCTTACCCGATGCCGAGAAAGAACATGAAGCAGAGCGAGATCGATCGAGGTCAGTTGAAGTTCGATTTCAATAGTTCGCTTCAAAACTAACGTGAACAGAAATGAATAATCGAATTGCTTTTATCGACTTTGTACGAGGCTTGCTTAGCATCAATCCTCTCGAGCGATGGTCGCCACAGCAGGCCAAGCTACACCCTTTCATTACGCAACAAAAGTTCACCGGTCCTTTTGTGCCGCCGATGAATCTGAAGTCTAGTTCTCTCAACAGATCGCCAGCACCAGGCACGCACCAACAACAGCAAGCCGAGGCCCTCAGTAAACAACGCGCGCAGGCGGCTCAGGCCCAAGCTCAAGCCCAGGCTCAGGCTAACTCGGTTGTGCAAGGATCAGCCTACGCCAACATACCGCCTGGAAATTATGCACAGGCTGGCCATCAGCAAGCCCCGATCTACGGAAATAACCCTATGTATGCCCCAGGACCAGCTACACATGGCAATGTAGCGCCAGCCTATGCTGCGCAAGGGCCCCAGTACAACCCGATGGTCATTCAGCAACCTCCACAACCACAGCAGCTGGCCCCGGGACCTTACGGGAATGTTTCACAGCAAAGCATATATCCTCAAGGAGGCATGCGGACCAACAGACAGCGTGCTTCTACTATGGAGCAGCAGCAGAGCGGTATCCCCGCTGCCATCCAGCGCGTTGCCAGCCACTTGGATCCCACGCAACCGATCCGCTTGCAGCCGAGCCCTGCCTATTACCCTCCACCCGGTGAGATGATGCCCGGTGCCGATAATGCGCCTCGCAGCGGCCGCCGCGGCAGCCGAGCGCAGCAAGGGCGGAGCAATCGCGACTTCATTCGCAACCTAGAGGAAAGAACCTTAGAAGAAGGTTACACCGGCGGCCAGAATCCATGGCACTGAAAAGAACACCGAGGTTAGAATGAGGGGGGTTTCTGCACATGTTTGAACAAGACAAGGGTGGATCTCGAACGTCCCCTGTCATCGAATATTGGATACAAGACAGCCACGACCCCGGGTCTTCCAAGCCGAGATCCGCCCCATATTTGTGCTGTGCGACTCTGCGAGCAACCTGCAAAAGTATTATGGCTTGCGCTCTTTTGCCGGCAGCAAGTGTCAGCTATAGCGCTTCTCAGCAGCAGAGACAAAAGACTAAGTTGATTTACGCATGGCCGTCCGTATATGCGATGACTTCGGAGTCTGCGTCGGTTCTTGCATGATTACTATTCCTCATTTTCTGCTGTTCGACCGATGCAGCTACCAAACCATGAGAAGTGCACACGAAGTCGCTGAGCGACGGCGATAAAGGATAGTATATGTCTGCCTACCCTGTACGATTCTACTGTAGAATCCGTACCTTTTCTTGTGTCTTCACGCTAGTATGATTTTTTGATATGGCAACTTGAGATGTGGTAAAAGGGCTATGGACGCGGAAGCAATTATTGGTTCAGTATGAAGGTGGGGATCGGTTATGGGATGAAGGTACAGGAGATGGATGCAAGCTGGACCCAAAACGGGAGATGATTACCTCGTTTATTTGTGACGGTTGTAAAGTCATTTTCTTTTGTATTTCTGTCAGGCAAAACATGCCGATGATGGGCTCTCATAGCGTATAGCATACTTTCGTCGCAATGGGGAGAGGATAAACGCTTCAGACACCTTTTCTGACTGCCGTATCCGCGCGTGTTAGAAGCTTCAAACGTACAGCACTGTGTGATCATGTGTTGGTCTTTTACATGTGTTGACTGTATAGCTCTGTTGTGCTCTGCTAGATCTCGAATAATGAGTTCTCTTTATCTAAATACAACGCCAATGTTCCATGAAGGTTTTCCGAGAAGAAGAAAAAAAAGATCAAGTCCCATACGCCAATGACAAAAGAAAAGTAACTACATGAATCCCTCACCAGCCATACCTACGCATTCAAAGACGAATAAAGAGCGTAGCTCTACGGCAGTCATGAAGCGATGGCATGCTCACATGCGTCCTCCCCGACGGCCACCGCGGCCGGCACGCCTCCCGCCACCAATCATTCTGTCGCTGAATAGATCACCACTTTGCTTGCTGTTGTGGCTGACAACGCTCTGCATCAAATCGCCACCCGCGAAGCCCATGGTGCCGTCCACGACCTGTTCGTTGCGCTGCTGCCTGCCTCGTTTCGAAAGTCCTTGCTGCTGCTGTCCTGTACTGCTGCCGGCGTGCTGGTAACCGCCGATCTTAGGGTATACTTTGAGAATGCGACCGTCGGCCTATATATAATGACTGTCAGCGTGATGAACAGGAACACCTGCCTGGTCAAATCGGGGGGTGGGGGGGAGCGCACCGTCTTGTCGTTGAACGTGTCGATGACGCGCTCCGCGCCCTCTCTGGATGCAAACACCATCTCCATCATGAGGAATGGCTGCGTTTTGATGACCTCGCAGCGGATCATCTCGCCGCCAATCGGCGTCATGGCGCTCTCGACGTCGGCCGGCGTCGTGCCCGGCGCGAAATTCTGTCCCACAATAGCGTACGGGCCCGCGATGCCGCGGATTGAGATACCATGCTGCTGTTGCGGCGTCGCTGCTGCTGCCGCACGCACATTGACCTGGCTGCGCGCCGCGATGGCCACCTTGTTCCTGCTGCTGTTGTTGTTGTTGCCGTGGCCGAAGTTGTCAATGTCCATGGCGTCGGCGGCGGCGGCGGCCATCTTGGCCTGGCGCGTCGCGGCCCGCTTGGCCTGGCGCGTCGCGGCCCGCTTGGAGATGTTCTGGCCGCCGGGCAGCGTCACGCGCGAGCCGAGGGCTGTAGAAGCCGCGCCGCCGCGGACAGTGTGATGTAGGTCGTGCGTCCATTCGCCGTGGACGTTGCCACTGGGGACGCTGGCCCGACGGCCCGAGGTGATGGCGCGCTGTGGAACCTATACGTTGCTCAGGGTCGCCATTGGTCAGCCAAAGTGCCATCTTATTCTCTTTACCGGAAAAACGCAGACCGGGGGTTCGTCGTACCTTGCGAACGCCTACGCGACTGGCGAGAGACGGACTGGCCGCGGCCTTGAGCTTGGATGGCGCGCTCTGGCGGCGACCCTTGGAAAAGATCTTGCTGGCGAGCGCTTCATTCTTCTTGCGCTCGCGTCCTGTTTCCAAAGCGAAAATTGGTCAGTCAGTGGCCTTTTGGGCGCCCAGGAGTGATTATGGGGATCGGAGGGTGCGCAGTACCGTCTTGAATAATTTTGTCGAATTCCTTGGCAACGGGAGCCATGGTGCGGGCGAGAGACACTGCGTAGCAGCAGAAGTAGGTCGGGAGAAAGTGAAAGCAATTGTTGTCTATCCGGAAAGTAATCTAGCTCGCCTTCGTGGATTTAAACTGCTGTGACGGCGGGTAAGCAAAAGCATTAACTTTTTGTTAGGGGCGTGGCGCGTCTGTCGCACAGCCTTATCTTATCGTGGCGCCGACCCCAAAGTATGACGGGCGGTAGGGGAAAAAAGTTCTAGGGGTCGTCCTGATATACACAATCAACTGCTCATCTCTGAGTCAGCAATTGAACCAGCCCCGTCTCTGCCGGATCGACTGTCCACTTCTTCAATTTATAACTCGACAGTAAAACGCCTTCGTCTATGCGCCTCCCTTAACGCTCTTTCGTCCAACCTCAATGTCCGCTCGTGTGCTTGGTGCCGCGTCCGGCCTGTGCCGGGTCCTGCCCAATGCAGCGGCGCGCGCACCACGAATGATGCAGCCCGCAATCTTCGTGGCAGGACGTCGGTATGGCTCTGCAGACGCAGAGACAATCGCATCCGAGCCTGCTGAGCCATTCGCCGCCAAAAAGAGCGAAAAAGCCTCGATTAGGACAGTGGAGAAGCAGCTCGAATATATCAGCGATCCCTGGGTCTTGGGCAAATACATTGAAGACTTGCTTGCCAAAGAGAAGTTTGACGATGCGCTGAAGATGGTTGAGCTTGCGAGCAAGAAGTTGGTTACAGTAGTATCTTGGAACCATCTCATTGACTGGCTACTGAAGAAGCAGCAAATAAAGAGGGCTGTGGCTACCTTCAATAATGTAAGAAAGGTCTCGATGGTTACATTCTGCCGTTACTTTGCCCAAAGTTCTCTCGCTAATTAATTTATTTCAAATGCAGATGAAGAAGCGCGCACAATTCCCAAACGCCCAGACGTATACCATCATGTTCCGCGGCCTCGCCAAATCAGATCACCCCAAGAACGCCGTCTCCGAAGCCGTCAAGCTCTTCAGCCAGCTTAAAAACGACCGCCGGCTGCAGCCGAACACAATTCATCTCAACGCTGTGCTCAGCGTCTGCGCGCGCGCCTACGACATTGACCAGCTCTTCATCGTCGCTGGCGAGCTGGAGACACTTGGGCTCGCGCCGACCACCGCCACATACGGCGTCATCTTCAACGGCATGCGCCAGTACATGTGGCGCGAGTATAGCGACCTCGATAAGGCGACGAAACGGGCCAACATTGACAAGATGCTTGCCCGTAGCAAGAGCATCTGGGTCGAGGTCCTGGACAAGTGGCAGAACGGCAAGCTCAAGCTCGACGAGGCGCTCGTGTGTACCATGGGCCGCCTACAGCTCCTCTCCAAGGAACGCAAGGAGAAGCTCCGCGTTCTGGACCTCCTCGAGCAAACCATGAACATTCCCAATCTCGTCACCAAAGGTAGCAAGCCCTCTTCTGCCGCCTCCCAGGAATCCTCAGAAGCCGACGTGGTGCTGCACTCCCGCCGACGCGGCGGCTTCGTCGAGCCTGGCCCAAACACGCTGGCGCTCATCCTCACCACACTGCTCACGGCCCGACAGACGAGCGCCGCCGCGCCGTACTGGAATCTGCTCGTGCACGACAGGAAGCTGGTGCCCGACAACGACGATTGGCTGCGCATGATTGGCGTACTCAAAACGTCCAAATCTAGCGCGCAGGCCGCGCAAATTGTTGACACGCTACCCGTAACGGGCATCGACGTCCAGGCACGCTCGTTTGGTATCGCCATGGAGGCCTGCGTCCGCGACAATATCAATCCGAACGTCATGACGCACGCGACGCGCATCTTGCACAGCATGCAGGCTCGGCTCGCCCCGACACCAGACATGCACACCATGCGCCTCTACCTCCGCGTTGCGCTCGTCAGTCACGCCGCCTTCCGCGGACGCGCCAGCACCGGCGATCAGGTCGGCGCCAAGGCCGCGTACGGGCGGCAAATCGCGACCGCCCTCGCCGAGCTCTGGTACCCCTACATCGAGCTCTACAACAGGTACTTCAAGAGCGAGGACGTCGCGGCCATTTCATCCGGAAGCGACAAACAAGCTGCGACCTTGCTCTACAATAATCAAAAAGAGGTCATTGCTCTCGGCCGCATGATGGTCGGCGCCTTTTCCAAGGTCGTCGAGGAGAAAATGCTGCCGGGCAACAACAACCGCGACATGATCATCGCCTCGGCCAAGATCAACAAGGGCGTCCACGCCTTCTTCGCTGACATTGAGCTGCGCCATCCCCGGCTCAATCCCAAGGCGACGGCGGCGCGCGCGAGGAGCGCCGCGGCGGCAGCGGCGGCGCCGGCGGAGCAGGGATCGCCGAGAGAAGAGGGTCTCGAGACGGAGCTGAAGTCACCGTTTGTGATAGACATGCCGGAGCTTGACGACAAGGTTGGCGGCAACGCCAAGCACAGGAGCAGGACGCGCCAGGGCGGTGACTTTGTGTGGAACACGAAGAGAGTGAGCGGGGGAAAAGACGCGCGGAATGAGCAGTGTGAGCGAAATGAGGATGGGCCGTTGATTGACAGATGGGTGTCTCCTTCTCTCGGCAAGATTGAGGCAGTCACGCAAGATCGGGCGCATGATGAGGACTTTGTCTCCATCAAGCCTGTGCGCGAAGACACGGAAGCCGACGCAGGCTCGCTTCCAGCAGACAAAGCAAAGAATTCTAAAACGGATCGCGCCGTTGAAAGCGATGGATCTCTTTGGGCCACTCTCATGGAACAGAGAAGGTGACTATAATAAGCAGAATGGGTTGTCTGAGATCGAGGCCATGTACTATTACAAAATGTATAAAAAGCATACATAAAGAAGCGGCTAATAAATGCATCTGTATATGAATCTATCTAACCGCCCATTGTCACGCATCCGTTTAGTGCTATAGGGACTACTTAAGGATATACCAATCAATTCCTCTATCGCATCGTCATTATCGCAACAGGGGAAAGACCAGTACCGGTGCTACCGCATGATGACACCGAAGTCCAGTAGCTCTCGCCTGCGCATTTAATATACCGCAAGGCTTGGTCTCTCATTGCCGGCATTATCACTGCTTACAGTCGACAGTAGACTATTCTCATTGTCGGTATCCTCGGACCGCTGGCGATATGACTGGATAAATCTCGAATTGGAATCTACCGATACTTCGTCTTGCTCTTGAGTGCCATCTGAGTGATGGGTATTCTCAGGTGGCTGTTCCATACGTCGAAACTTGCTTACGAGAGCAGCCACAGAAGGTGCTGAAGAGTTTCTTCCTCGTGTAGCTTCTGTTGGCCGCGGGCCATATTCTGGATCTGCCTCGGAAACTGCACTAGCCTTGGTCGCGGCACAGAATAGATCGCATGACGTGCTTTGTGATAGAGCAGACGCGCTGTCAGCCTCTTTCAAGTGCAGGGTATCCTCGTCAATTGACTCGAGTGCTGAGGCAGCTTCAGCGTGACCAACAGGAGGCTTGTCTTGACACTTGACATCGGGTTCCACCTGAGCATCATTGGACTCGGTATCGTCAGAACGGGAGTCGCTTTTCTTCAAGCTGGCATCAGTGGATTTGCCTGTAACCTTCGCAATGTAGGTATTGCTTTGAGATCTAGGGGTGGCGGCGGACTGACTTGTCGACTCTTTTGCATCATCTACAGTCTCCATGATGGCGAGATTATCGGTTTCAGATTCGTTGGGTTCAGCATCGATTTTCTGGGAACCGTGGAAAGGAGATGCACTATCGTCATCTTTCTGTTTCGGATCGTCGTCGAGTGTCGTAGATGCTTTCACAGTTTTCTCTTGGGACTTCAGTGCAGTCCAGAGCTCGCCAATGATTGGCCGAGCATTGGATGTGCCACCATAAATTGGTACCATACATCTAGGTTTCGGAAGATTCTTCTCGAGAACTGCAACAGAGTTTATGGTAGAGGTTGAATTAACCAATGTTTTGGTGGAATCTCCATATTTGGTATTGATATCATTGACGGCTTTCTCAAGCCCATCACGGAAGGTAGATGATCTTTGCCAACCATTCAGCGCAAAATCAGGTAGAGCATCAAGCCTTGGAGGGGCGGAAGATACAGAAGGAAGAGGTGCACTTTCATAGGCCATGTAAGCAGAGCGCTCAGGGACGGGAACCGGAAGGGAGTAGCGGTTTTGAAATGCTTTTTGGCACAGCATGGATTGAGAGCCTGGGGATGCTGCGGCTGGCGTGTTTGTAACGGCTCGGTCAGGGTCGCGGGCATCTGGATCCGAATCCTTTGCCATCTTCTCTCGCGAATATTTAATTTTGATGCTGTGAACAAGCTCCCCGAGACTTTTTCGACGGCGAAACTGGCGGATAGGAACTGATGCGCGCAGTCAGTATTTTGTGAGAATAGCAGCGTAGATGGAATGCTGACCACTGGGAGAAGCATCATCTGAAAGGGCCTGTTCCGTGGCACCGTCATGGCCATGATGATCTGCATGATCAGCTCCACCGTTGTGGCTGCCGGGCTCAATGTGCGGAGAGTGCAGGCTGCGAAACCATTTTCGGCTGTCTTGGCCAGTTCGTGAAGGTCCTAAGCAACCTACTGCTGAATTAGAAGGACGTTGGCGAGATTTCCACAGCCTCTAGCTGCTAGTTTGGGTGGTGGACTCTGATGAAGTCGACCGCGCGATGTCTTTCTTGTCGAAGGCGTCGCCTTTGTCACGCTTCTTGAAAAAGAGAGACATTCCGGCGGATATATATGAAGGATTTAAATACTGGTAATGGGAGGGCGAGAAAGACAAAATGTTTTTACCAAAGGGGTAGCTGACTTGACTGAAAGATGAAGGAGGCAAATCCGAGCGGATACTGGCTTCCAGATCTATGGTGGTGAAGGTAGAGGCGTGGGGAGCAGCTGAGAAAGCTGCTCCCGATGACTGCGGCTACAGCAACAAGGGTCTTGCAAGTTCGAGATGCAGGCACTATTCAACATTCTGAAGCAGGAGGGAAGCTGGGGGTGGTCAAGAGGAAACATGTTATCCAGATTGGTCAGCTACACGTCGAAGACTGCGCTAGTCCATACTTAGACCATGCACTTTAATAGCAGGCCTCTCAGTGGCGCGTCTCACACCAACGCGACGCGCCGCAAGGGACGCGACCTTTCAATTGGTTTCTCCTAGCAATAATGTGGTGCACACGCCCCTCTGCACCAACTCCATCGACGAGCCTGCGTAACACTCAAACACTGGCACATTCTCTCCACTCGACAACAGTTCACCTGCTCTATGTTTACGTCTTCTTCTCAAAGGCTGCACCAGTAATCGCGGCCCGCCATGTCCAAGGTCAACCACAGGGCCAAGCTTGCAGAGCTCAAAGCTCTTCGCAAGGCTGGTAAAAAGGCATTTGACAGCTACCAAGTAGAGGACGTCAATGCCCTGTATGATGAAGTCGACGAGGATGGCTACAAGAAGATTGTCAGAGATCGTCTGAATCAGGATGATTTTGTCGTCGATGACAATGGCGAGGGCTATGCCGACGACGGCCGTGAAGATTGGGATCGTGTCCGTCAGTATGATTCTGAGAGCGACCTGGAAGATCTACCTACACGAGGCCGCCAAAGTAAATCGAGTCAGTTTACCGTGTCCCGTTCTTCTTGAAGTGGTTTCTAAACGCGTTTAGAAAAAGCAAGCCGTCAGGCAGAGCAGGCCATGCGAGACGTTAACGATCGTAACATTAGCGAATACTTTACCAAGAACGCAACCAAGCCTCAACAAAAGCCGAAGGTACGCCACAACCTGTCACTTGAATCTCTGGAAAACATCCAAACTAACACGCAGCAATAAAAAGATCGTCAAGACCGAAGACGACGAGGACTTCATGGCAAATCTACTTGGAGAAGTTGACAGCAACATCCCAGCTCCCGCGCCGAGACCCTCAAAACAACAGCGCTCAGGAGAGCGCCGCAAATCTAGAGCGCTTTCGCCTCCGCCGGAACCGGCAGGCAAAAAGCAGAAGCGACGAGATACACGACTGCTGTCGCCTTCATCTGCCATTCCTCCTAGTGACGATGATGGATACATGCCGCCTCTGGACGAGGACCCGATACCTGTTGGCGAAGTACCAATGAGCGACCCAACCCCGTCATCCCCCGCTGCCAAAGTAGCCCAGCGCAAAGCCCAGTTGAGGCATGAAATCAAGGAAGACTCTGACGACGAGGAAACAATGGAGGTCGCCCACGCTGCTTCTGTTACAACAGCTTCTGTCAATCTGGCCAGCTCTCGTCCCATTAAGAAGCTTCGCAAACAAGAGCCGTACCCTTCTCCAGCCAGCTCTTCACCGGTCAATGCTGTTGATGATGTTGACTCGTCTTCTTGGAACAAATTGACCGAGAAGCTTAATGTTGTTAGCAACCCCTCAGAGACACGCGGCGTGGGAAAAATCGACCACAAGGACGCCATTGAAGCTGATGGCAGCCTCAGCTTTTTCTGGACTGATTATACTGAGATCCACGGCAGTCTCTGTCTCTTTGGCAAGGTCTTGAATAAGAAGAACCAGGAGTATGTCAGTTGCTTTGTTAAAGTTGATAACATTCTCAGAAAGCTTTACTTTTTGCCACGCGAACATCGCCTTCGTGATGGCGAGGAGACAGACGAGAGCGTCGAAATGATGGATGTTTACAATGAAGTCGATGACCTCATGACCAAGATGAACGTCGGCATGTACAAGATCAAGGCATGTACTCGAAAATACGCATTCGAGCTCCCTGGAGTGCCAAAGGAAGCACAGTATATGAAACTTCTCTATCCGTATACCAAACAGCAAATCGATTCCAGTATCATCGGCGAGACCTTCTCACACGTATTCGGATCCAACACCGCACTGTTTGAGCAGTTTGTTCTATGGAAAAATGTCATGGGCCCTTGCTGGCTCAAGATTGAGGACGCTGACTTTGGTGCCATCAAGAACGCCTCTCACTGCAAATTGGAGGTCTTAGCTGAGCACCCCAACATGTTATCAGTCGCGAGCGAATCAGACAACCTTGATGCGCCTCCCCTGACTATGATGAGCGTCGCTCTCCGTACAGCTTTCAACGCGAAAGAGAACAAGCAAGAGATCCTCGCCATTAGCGCCAGAATTTACGAAAAGGTGCTGCTTAGCAATACGACGCCCGCCGAGAAGCTGCCCTGCAGAACATTCACAGTCATTCGACCGCACGGACAGAATTTCCCTCTAGGCTTCGAGCAGCTTGCAAGAACCCGCAATCGCGGCCTCATTGTCATGAAGAAGCAAGAGTCAGATATTCTTAGCTTCTTCCTGGCCCAGCTCGATGTCGCTGATCCCGATGTAATCCTTGGCCATCAACTGGAGGGTGTTGACTATAGCGTTCTCTTGAATCGTTTGCAAGAGAAGAAGACTCACCAGTGGTCAAGACTCGGAAGACTCAGAAGAACTCAGTGGCCTCAGGCACTTGGAAAACTGGGTGGCAATGTCTTCGCTGAGCGTCAGATCATTGCAGGTCGACTGCTATGTGACCTGGCGAACGAAGCAGGCAAATCTGCCATGTACAAGTGCCAGACTTGGAGCTTGACAGAAATGTGTAGCCTGTATCTCTCTGGTGATAATCATCGCCGTGAGATCGACAATGAGTCCGCACTGAACAGCTGGGCCAAGGAAAAGCAGGGTCTCATGGACTATATTACCCACATGGAGGCCGATACACATTACATTGCTGCTCTGGCAATTAGCGTTCAAATGCTCCCATTGACAAAGGTCTTGACCAATCTGGCTGGTAACTCTTGGGCTCGTACCTTAACAGGTACCCGCGCAGAAAGAAACGAGTACATTCTTCTCCACGAATTCCATCGCAACAAGTATATTTGCCCTGATAAACAGATTTTTCGTGGCCGTCAGAAGGCTTCAGAGGAGAACGAAGACGAAGCGGGACAGGGGAAAAAGAAAGACAAATTCAAGGGTGGTCTCGTCTTCGAGCCCGAAAAGGGTCTGTACGACAAATTTGTCCTCGTCATGGACTTCAACTCTTTGTATCCCTCTATCATTCAAGAGTTCAACATTTGCTTCACGACGGTCGACCGCACCATTTTAAGCGAGGACGACGATGCGGTTCCCGAGGTACCGAAAGATCAAGACCAAGGTATCCTCCCCAAGCTCATTTCGACACTTGTTGGTCGTCGTCGCCAGGTAAAGAGTCTCATGAAGGATAAAAACGCCACAGCCGAGCAGCTTGCCACATGGGATATCAAGCAGCTTGCCTTGAAGCTCACTGCTAACTCCATGTACGGTTGTTTGGGCTACACCAAGTCCAGATTCTACGCGCGACCGCTTGCCGTCTTGACCACATTCAAGGGCCGTGAAATTCTCAGAAGCACCAAGGAGCTCGCAGAAAGCAGGTCTCTCCAAGTTATCTACGGTGATACTGACTCGGTCATGATCAACGCCAACGTGGACTCTGTAGCAGACGCCTTCAAGGTCGGCAATGATTTCAAAAGGGCTGTCAATGAGCAATATCGTCTCTTGGAAATTGACATTGACAACGTCTTCCGACGAATTCTTCTGCAGGCCAAGAAGAAGTATGCTGCCATCAACCTCGTCGAGAAAGATGGCAAGTTCATTGAAAAGATGGAAGTTAAGGGTCTGGACATGCGACGTCGCGAATACTGCGCCCTATCAAAGGAGATCTCTAAGCGCCTTCTGGATGAGATTCTTTCCGGCGCCGAGACCGAGGAGGCTGTTTCGCGCATTCATGAATATCTGAGAGACACTGCTGCTAAGATGCGTGAGCAGACTATCCCTGTTGCCAAGTACATTATCTTTACCCAGCTTGGGAAGGGGCCCGCAGAGTATCCCAATGCCGACTCCATGCCTCAAGTTCAAGTCGCACTACGCGATCTTGCTCGGGGCAAGACGGTGCGCAAGGGAGACGTCGTCTCGTACATAATCACGGGCGATGGCAAGAGTTCAGAGCCACCCGCCAAGCGAGCTCATGCACCCGGCGACCTCAAGACAGACCCCTCACTGGTCCCCGACGTCGAGTGGTACCTTGGCAAGCAGATCTTCCCTCCTGTTGAGCGTCTTTGCGCCAACATTGTGGGCACCTCTACTTCACAACTTGCCGAACAGCTTGGCTTGGATGTCCGCCGATACAACTCTCTGCAGACCCAACAAAACAGCGCCAGCGACGACCTCGAGATTCACCCTCTGGAGTCTCAAATTCCCGACGAGGTCCGCTTCGCAGACTGCACGAGACTTGCTCTGCGCTGCCGCAAGTGCAAGTCCTCTACGCCATTTGAGGGTCTTGCCTCAGCCCCCGACCGCGTCTCTGCCTCTGGCATCGTCTGCGGCGCTTGCAATGCCATTATTCCCAACATCTCCATCGTGGCACAGGTAGAACACGCCATTCGCGTCCAAAGCACTCGCTACTACGAGGGCTGGCTGGTCTGCGACGACTCACAGTGCGGCAACCGCACGCGCCAGATGAGCGTCTACGGCACGCGCTGCCTCGGCCCCAAGGGCCTGGCCCGCGACTGCCTCGGCCGCATGCGCTACGAGTACACAGAAAAGGCCATCTACAACCAGCTAGTGTACTTTGCCAGTCTCTGGGACGTGGAGCGTGCCCGCACCCGCGCCGCTGGTGCCGACAGCGGCATGACCAGCCAGGACCGCGAAAAGGTCCTCGCCCTCGCCGAGCACAACCGTGTGCGCTTCGGCACCGTCAAGGGCATCGTGGATCGCTACCTCGACAAGTGCGGCCGGCAGTGGGTTGCCATGGATTCGTTGTTTGCGCGTCTGGGCTTCAACAAGCCCCTTGCTGCAGCGTAATGGAATGGAATGAATCTTGATATACATTTTTGTGCGCGCATGTTCATTGGCAGGGCGTTAATTGGCTATGAGGGCAGGTAATGGACCTTGTTGGAAAGTTGGAATCTGGGATTTCTCACTGTCTTTGGATAGGGATATGCTTCGTTACGTGAAGCTTGTTTGATTGAATGCTTTGACTTTTTTTTTTCGAATTCTGGTTTCTTTACATATATGTTGGCCCTGGATTAATCATGAGCATTCAATTATCAACGAGGCGGCATTCGTATTAATATCAGTTGTCAATGTTACCATCGGTCCTGTCTCGCACGTTGCAAGCCCTACTCATGCAGACTATGATGGAGCTACGCAAGGAGCAATACTGGTATCATAAGACTACAAATCAATAAAGATGAAGTTTGTACTATTTAGGCGCAGGAACATCACAAGGAGCATCAGATTTTGAACAAATGTATATATATTCTTCTCGACAACTAAACCGTCTGTTCCCGCAATTAGATGATGTACAATAAAAAACAGCTACGGCAAAAAAGCTCTGGATCCGCCAACCATTCATGCATTGGAAAACAAACGTCATCCCTTTTCAAGTAAAGAAATGTCCATATGTTTACCCACAGTCAAAGGCAAGGGAAGGAGGGCGTGCTTTGATCCTAAATGAAACGAGAAGAAATAAAGTGAAAAGAGAAGTAATGGAAACGAAACCACGAAACCAAACCCCACGAGGGGAGTGTTCCAAACAACGAACTTTTTGTCTTCCTCGTCGAACCCATTCTTCATTTCATTTCCTCCTGCATGAAGCCAAGACAACTCATTGCACATTACCCATTATGCAGCAAAGGTCTTTTGTCTTCTTCGCGTTCCTGAACAAGACGCCAAAGACTCCCCAATCATTGACTTCATGTCCAAGAAACAGCTTCATCAGGATTGGCAGGCCATTGGCGGACGAAAAAAGAGAGAAAGGTTGAGCTTCGTCCGAGGCCAAACTGCTCCGAGAGGAAAAATAACGAGGATCCATCATGTGCTGTGGCGCACAAAACGCGAAAAGTCGCTAGTTTCGAACAGGTAAACAACACATTGGCGAAGAAATAACAGCTTTCCCCTTCTTTGATCCCGGACAGATGCTCCCTCCTCGACTCTCTGAGAAGGGTGTTGCCATACTCTGGCTCAAGTGTTCTATTGGGCGAGGGTATCGTAGATAAAATGCGGCGCAACTTTTAGGACACGTCGACTGAAATCTTTGAAGAAAAAATGCAATAGGAAAAATCAAGATGAACAGAGACCCGCCTAGTCTATCACCCGAAATGCAAGACACCGAGAATGAAAGAAACAAAAAATGATTACTTATTCGCTCTCTTTCTTGTCACTGTCGGGGACAGCTTTTGACAGGGCCGGGGAAGCAGCGGCAGAAGGTGGGGAAGCGGGGTTCTCAGAGTCCATGTTGGCGAGAAGGCTGAATGTGTTTGAGTTTTCGCGAGTGGGAGGAGTGCCAGCGCGGGAAGACATGGCAGAGTCCTCACCACGGCCGAAAGAGCCACCAGGGCCCATGCGGCGACCACTGTTGCTGCGAGAAGAGAACATTGAAGTAGGGCCAAGGGTCACGTTCTGGCTCGAAGTCCTGGCGATGGAGCCCTTGAGACGTCTCAGGTCATCCATACCAACTTGATTGCTTGTCTGCTGGGTGTAGCCAGCAGAGAATTGGCGAGCATCGCCGCGGCCAACAGGAGGGCGGCCGCCACCACGCTGGTTGCTTCTGGCAGTTTCCTGGGCCTTGGCAGCTTGAGCAGCCTCAGCTTCAAGGCGAATCTCGTCGAGGGTCTTAGGGGGAGCCAGACCGCTAGTCTTGCCTCTCCAGCCAGCCTTGCGCAGGTCAATAACATCCATGAGCAAGAACTTGATACGGCTGGGAAGGCCGGGAAGGTCAGTCATGGTTGCGATGCGAGCAAAGTAAGCATCCATCATGGGGCGGCCCTTCTCAGTGTTGTCGAGATTTGCACCAATAGTTCTCAGCAACTTGCACAAAGACTCAACCTCGGCCTCATCAGGAATACCCTTGTAGTCGACGAGCTTGTGCACACATTCATGCATGATACGTTCCGTGAGCATGCCGAGTTTGTAAAGCTCACCAATAAACTGAACAAGACCGAGACCGCGACGCTTGGCAGCGGCAGTGATGTAGTACTCGTCGGACATGAGTTCGGCCTCGCCGTTCTTCTTGCCCTCTACATCTTCCTTGTCCTTCTCCTCCTTGGGAGCCTCGGGCACGTTGACGGACCAGCCACGCTCGAAGTCTTCCTGGCATCTGTTGAGGAGGTATTTGCGGAAGAGGTTGCCTCCGCTGACAATATTTCCATTCTTGTCCTTGATTCTCTCATCACGAACCTCGGGACTCATGGTTTCAAGCATGCGCTTGCAGAATTTCGCATACATGGAGGCCCAGTGAGACTCATCAGTAGCCTTCTCGAAAGTAAGCTGAATGACCTGGCGTAGGGTTCGTCCATCCGACTCATCCTTGGACTGCGAGGCAATGAGAAGGATCTGGTCGGCAATTCTGTCGAACTTCTCAGGAGTCATCTTGTTTAGAGCAGCCTTGACCTTTCTCTGGACCATCTCTGGATCAAGGTATCCGGCGTTTGCAGCAGAGCTCGCAACGGCACTCTTTCCGACGCTAGTAGGCTTCCAGCCAGTCGAGGTAATGGCAATGGGCTTGACCTCCTGGCCGGCAGTGAGCGGCATGGTCTTAGCAGCCTGAACGTCGTTACGGCGGCTGCCGCGAGTCTGGCGGCTGCTCTGGCGAGGAGAGTTGGGGCCAGCACCGCGCTGAGAACCAGAGCGGGCCATACCGGAAGGACCGGGGAAAGAAGCACCCGGGCGCCCGAAAGAGCCAAGAGGTGGGACGCCAGGCCGACCAGGAAGAGCACCACCAGGCATACCGCCACGGCCGGGAGGCGCGTTGAAGGAACCGCCAGGGAAACCTGCACCGCCGCGGGAGCCTTGTCTAGCGCTACCAGGGGCGGGGGGGCGTGTAGCTGAGCGGTTGCCATCCCCATCACCGATGAGGGACTTGACCTGCTGGTGGAACTCAATGGAGGGCTGCTCGGTAAAAACCTTCTGGAACTGTAGAAGGAAGCCGGAGTCATATCTGAAGGTCTTACCCTTCTTGGCGACAGCAGCGTTCAAAGCTGGGTTGGGCGAGTTGATGCCAGCAGGATAGACGTCTTGCTCCATTACCTGAAGAAAACGAGCAGACTTGAGGGACTGCATAGCAGGCGTGGGCTGAGGAGGTTCAACAGGCTTGGTGTTGAGAGGCGCGAGGTTAAGAGCCGCGGGCTTGGCAGCGCGCTTTTCGGAATTCTTGTTCTCGCCGGCCTTGTCACCCTCGATTTTCATATCAGCGAGCTTGTCAGTGACAGATTCAACGTTGTTGTCACCGCCTGCAGGACGAGCCTTGGCAAGAGCCTCGGCAACAGACATAGGCTTGCCGGAGCTCTCGGCACTGTTGCGCTTGCGCTCGCGCTCCTCTTCGAGACGTTCCATCTCGCGCTCCTGCTCACGCAACTTGCGGTCTTCGTCGTCGGCGTTAGCCTTACGATTAGCCTCTTCCTTCTGTTTAGCCGCGGCCTTTTCAGCCTCTCTGCGCTGACGGTGCTCATTTTCCTCCTTTTCACGGCGGGCGTCGGCCTCTTCCATTTCACGTATCATGCGTTCCATTTCATCCTCATCAGGGTCATCGCTCCTGGCAGCCTCGGCAGCCTTGGGCTCCTCCTTAGCGGGAGTCTCGGTTTTGGGAGGCTCGGCAGGCTTAGCAGCGGGGGTCTCGGTCTTGGTGGCGGCCGGTTCCTCAGTAGTAGCCGATTGCTGAGTAGCGCGCTTAATCTTCTCTTTGAGCTCATCCTGGATTTCCTTGGCTGTCTTGGGCGTGGTGTGGCTGTCGCTACGTCCGTGAGACGGAGTGTTGGGCTTGACGGGAGGAGGAGTAGGAGTCGAAGCGGCAACCGGAGGAGTTCGAACTTGCTGGGGAGCTGGAGAAGCGGGAGCCTTGAAGGCAGACGTGTCCACAACCTCACCAGCGAGGTTCTTGATCTGGATCGCAGCGCTCTTGCGCGGCATGACAAAAGTATTGGCGCCCTTGGCGGCATTAGCAACGGGTGCCTGGCCAGAAGAGACGACAACGGGCGGAGCGGGTTGGCTGGCGCTAGGGGGACGCTCTGGCTGGGAAGGGCTGCGGGACATGCTGGCGCTCTGTTGGTGGAAAGTAGGAGGATATTGCTGGGCATAGCCAGCATTGGCCTGGGGAGGACCACCCATGTAAGGGGGGACATTGTTGTAGCCGTAGGCCATGTTGATAGGACGGCCGTATTGGTCCATCTGTTGAGGAGGATAGCCGTAGTTCTGGTGTTTCATAGTTAGCAGTCGTTCAAACCCTCCATTTTCAGGAGATAGGTCAAATGAGTTGGAGTTGGGGTTATTGAAAGGGGTGCTGTGGTTCGACTTCGGTGGTACATCAGAGTTGGTTAAGCCACCAGAAGGCTTGCGAGGTATATTTTGCATGCGAGGCTTTGTCTGATCCGACTGCCCAGTAATATCGCTGAGCTGTGGCGGATTGATATAGCTGGCAAGACACTTTACCATGGGGCCTGGTTGGCGTCGCAAATCTGATAAAACCTTGTCTTGCTCACGGCGCTGAGGGTACTTTCTGTGCGTTTTGGAGAATACTCGAGGAAAGGGGTACTGTACTTGTTGCTGCTGAGGAGCCATAGGCGGTGGGTAGTGGTACTGAGGTGGCGTCTGCATGTGACCGTGCATGTTGGCGGGAGGCATGTTGGGTGTATTGGGCATGGAAGAGACCGGGGCAGGGCTGCGGTTGGGCTGGTGAGGCGAGTTAGGGTAGGGCATGCCGCGACCCTGGGGTTGGAAAGCAGGAGGCATGCCACGACCCTGGCCGTTGCGAAACTGGTTGTTGGGAGGGTAGCCCATCTGATTGTTGTAGGAGTTGTGGTGGTTATTGTAACCACGGCCGCGTCCGCCCTGGTAGTTGCCTCGGTTGTTGTCGCCGTGGAGAGAGTTGGTCGACTCGCGTCGGAAGTGAGCACCGGGTTGAGTGGGAACAGCATTGGGGTTAGGAGGAACGGAACCCTGTCTCATATGACGCTAGATTGCAAAGTTAGCTGTTTGTACGAACATGACGGAGAGCGTAGTTGAACAAAAACGGTTGTACTCACCTCGCTATCGCTGCCCAGACTACCAAAAGTCATTTGGCTGCCAGCCTGCATGGAAGGCGGGCGACCGCCGCTGGCTGAAGGCTGTGGAATAGGAGAAGGCGAATGGGCGGGAGAGGGCACACGGCCGGCATTGCTTCCAGCCGGAATGGGGATAGGAGCAGCGTTGCCAGACTGAGGAGTGCTGTGAGCGACGGAAGGAGAATCAAATCCAAACTGAATGTTGGACTTTACACTCCCAGCCGGGGCGGAAGGACCGCCATTTGCGACGGTGTGAGTAGCGTTGGCCGCCATGTTGAAGGATATCTTGGAAAGTTATCCGAGCCGTTGGGTGCGACCTTGGAGGCACGGACAACGGCGGGAGAAAGAATGCGCGTAGGCTGACTGGCCGTTTATTAGAACAGGCGAGACAACAACAGTTGCATTCTGCGGAGACGAAGACGTAGAAGAGACCACCGCAAACGAGGGTGGGAGCCTGACGCGAGCTAGAGGCGTCGAGGTAGAAGCAGACTTTGGCGCGGCAGTCGCAGGGGCGATGCTAAACCGAAGTCGCGAGGGAAGTATTTGTCGAGGTCTGCTTCGGGGCAGTCGACGGCAAAGATCGATGAAAAAAGCGCGTGGAGATAAAGTTGACAATCGTCGAGGGTCGAAGATTGCGAGGGGCGACGTCGAAAGGGGAAAAAAAGCTCCTGGGGCAAACCGAGTACCAAGTTTGCGCCAAAAAGAGGCGATTAAAGAAAAAAAGAGGCGTGTCGAAAAAAAAAGTATATCGAGCAAGCCACAGTATTATCAAAAAGAGAATACGATCGAGGCGAAAGATTCTTGAGATTCGGTACGTCGGCCGTGTGGAAAAGCGACAGACGAGATGGCGAGAAAGTTCTTGTCGTGGGAAAGGACAAGAAAAAAAAAAGCCGTGTATGTTTTGGTGTGGCGAACAGAACTGCGAGATGGGAGGTGTCTCGAGTGGCTTCTGGTACTGCAGACTCAGAAGAAGTAATCCAATGCCCTGGTGATGGAGGGTAAGGGATATCGGTCTGGGGAAAAAGAAGAAATTCCACCGGACCACCTGTGTTTGGGGATTGGAAGTGGTGAGGGTTTGGAGAGGGAGTTGTGCAAAAATTTTGGGCGAGCAAAGATGATTAAGGGTGGGTGGGTGCGCGGGAGCGGGTTGCGCTGGCCTGGCGCTGGTTGCTGGCGCTGGTTGCTGGCGCTGGTTGCTGGCACTGGTGCTGGTGCTGGTGGTGCCGGGCAAGCTTGTGGCCACAGATATATTTCCGCATGTAAAATAACGAGCGGGTCAAAACGAGAAAGGAAGGCGCTCCCCCCTGTGTCGCGCTCCTCCTACCAGATACTTTTTACTGCCGCGCCACACCTGCGCCACACCTCATATTTTACACTCGCCCATCCAGCCTTGTTGATTGCTTTGATTACCAAGGCGATTTCACTGCAAACCACTGCAGGTATTTACGCACAATGAGCCCCTTTCTCCATCTCCCAGGTATCCATCCACATTATCTTGTTGATTCGATACTTTTCTTTGCAGCCGCCACCACCGCCACCAAACTTTGGAATCTCAATATTACCAAGATGCCAGTCACCAAGTATTGCAGGTAATATGTAGTAATCATACATACATGCCACTACCCACACCAGTAATACAGCCCTTTTGCATCTGTCTTGTCGTTTCTTTTTTCGAGTATTGTCATCGTTTTGACTTGTACACATTACTTCCACGAACTTTCCAAGGTCAAGGTCTGCTTTCCGAGAACCCCCCGCGCATATAGTTATTCTTAGCAGCCAGAAAACTCAAAAAATAGAAATATTCTGGCAAACGTCACTCAAACTGGATACCCACTACGAATACCGCATCTCGACTCTCCTCACCAGCTAGCCCGCTCTCAGCCTGGGCCAGCCAGCCTGGGCCAGCCTGCCCGCCGCCCATCCTTCAGCCACACGCGATGCTGTCACGGACCAGACGCGTGTTACCCGTGTCATACAACTGTGAGTCACTGACTGAAGGATATGGCCCCGAGGTAAAACAATTAAAGCAATCGTCGATTCTGTTGTTCACTCTTTCACCTCTTTTCGCTTCCAACACGAGAGCGCAGCTTCCGAGTGGCCAGCTGCCACGTACTGCCTGGTCGAAGGGCACAAGATAAATACAGCATCGTCATTACACAAGTTCTTCGCTCCCATTCTAACTAGCCCTCCCACTTCCAAGGTGACTGTCGAGTATTACTGGTTGGTACATACGCACACGCACACGCACGCGCCCGGACCAAGACACTTCCTCAGCTTAGTCAAAGTGCTTGCAGCAGCTAGCCAGCCCGTTGCGACCTTGCGTCCGCCCGAGGGCAATTTGCAGCAATCTTCCATTCACACGCGACAGACTCTGCACCGTGACATTCATGCCTGCCGCAGCCCCTGGCACTGGGCGATTCATGTCTCTACTATAATCTACCTATTGCAACTTGATCCTGCGCTGGGCCCGACGTGCCACACGCCCAACTCGATGTCTCCTATCTCCCTCACATGTAAATTACCACGGCAACCCATTGCGCTGATGGAAGGTTAAAAAAAAAGAAAAAAAAAAGCTGCGCCTCGATGCAATGGTTTTTAATGTGGAGGTTAGCTTTTTTATTCTCGACAATAATTTACAGAAATTAACTAGGTAAGTACGAGTTTGGCCTGTTTGGGCATCGTCCAGTCAGCGCTGGCTCTCTCTGCCTCTCTGACAACCTCCACAAAACGTCATAGTCCTGGTCAAGGACATTTCGTTTCTCGACGTTGCTTTGACTGCCTAGTTGCTCAGTACATCAAGAGCATCGCATTGCAGCGTTGATCATGGCTATAGAAATGATACCAGTGTCCATATTTGCAGACAGGTTCGTACACATGTACGTTGACGAACTCTTCATCGATATGATATATGATCAGCATCGGCATGATATCATACTTTCCGCCACGCCGCAGCTTTTGACGGGGTCGCTCAGGAACCGCTTGTCACTAGTGAGGCCGCTGGGCAAGTTTTCTGCTCAAACATTCTGCGCATGAATTACTCTCACGGGGAAAAAGTGCATCCCTGTCCACTGCAGGACCTTGAAAACAGTAGCCTTTCGCCTTTCTTCCCATCCGTAAAATGTATCGCTTTCCGTCTGGGCAGGGGTTCAAAACCCTCGGGCCAGAATGCTGGCAAATTGGCAGACAGTCTGGGAGAAAGAAGAACATATCGGGCGACCCGCCATCACAATTACTGAACCCCCCCCCCCTCTTTTTTTCCTTCGCTGTAAAACCGGATACACATATTCTCTCACACACAGGCGCACTTGTGCATATACCCATACACTCCACGATTCACCTGTAGATGGAAAGCAATTGTCATCAAGCCTGTATATCAACATGGTGCACGGTCGCCCGGAGCTTGGGAGCCCGTGACACTTGTTGTGTCTAAGAAAATGCGAACAAAATCTTGGCGCCGTCGTCCCATATTATTTTTATCAAGTGAAGGAAAAAAAACATTGTCGTTTGCCGCACGTTGCCTTTCAAAGCAAACCGTCAGCCGCTCTCCCCGGCTTTCCTGTTGACTATTATGCCCCAAAAGCAAGGTCAAGCCGAGTAGCGTGGTTTTCGCGAGCTAGTTAATAGGTATTACTATGACTACTAGTCCAGGCCGTTGCCGTGCAGCCGCCTCCGCCCGATCCGTTAGCAGACGGATAACCTCTGACACGGGCGTCAAGATCTAAATTTATGAATCAATCTGTCAATCACTTACCGAGGCCGAAATCTCGTTGTTCGGTACAGAAACTCGAAAAGACGCACCACGCGGGGTCGCCAAGGCGCTCTTACTACGCGTTTACACGGTAGGGCTTTCGCACAACCGGCTGTAAGACCTTGTGCATTGTTTTGCTTCATCTCATGGGGCCTTGTAAACAATCAATAGATACTCGAAGCAAAACTTAACCTAGCCCAGCTGACTGTCTCAGATTTTCACTTCGTCTGCGTCAAATTTGCCATATTCAGCTCGAGGCCCCAATCCAATGCAAGGTCATGCTCGTCCAACACTGTTCCAAGGACCTTACGTATGTAGGTAATTGTCCAGCCAGAGCGTCTTGGGTGTAACACAGCTAGCTGACCGAGATAAAGCTGTGCCACGTTTTCCCTATGTCGTAAGCCTCGTCTCATCGTGTAATAAGGGACTAAGAACAAGCTGCATCATCAAGACATTCGATTCCATGCAATTTCTTTTGATCTAGTATTCCATACATGCAAAAGATGAAATAACCAAAAAAAAAAAAAAAAAACCAAAACGCCAAATCGAGCCCTGAGCAAATGAAAAGACAGAAACAACATATTCAATTTTCGTCGCAAATCACCCGTGCCTGTGATTATTAGCTCGCTTCACCCTCGCGAACCTCTTGGATGTCTGGCTCAACTACACCGTCGTAGTACGTTGTCTGCTGCTCCTCAGCCTCTCCCTCATCACCCTCACCAAGCCTCTCTTCCGCAATCGTCTCTACCACATCCACCATTCTATTCTCCAACTCCAGCTGCTTCGTCCTGGTGCTCGTCATCTCAAACACGTATTGGCCCAGATGCTCAACGCCGTCCATGATAACCTCATTAACGACCGGAATGGAACCGTCGTCTTCTGCGGCAATTACGGGACGCTGCGTGGGCCACAGCTCCCCCGTCACGAGCATCAGCTTGTCGGGACGTGCCAAGAGAATATCAAAGGCAGGGCGCAGCTCGTGGCATGCCTCGAATACTTCACGGCGTCCGAGAATGTACAGACCGAGACGGGCACGCGACATGGCAACAGTCATGCGACGCACATCACGCAGGTATCCGACTCGTGATGTACGAGTTAGAGAAAGAATAATGTCTGGCAAAGATTAGTTCAACGTTGTACAAGGTGCACGCCAAGAATACGTACAGTCGTTCTGCTCTCCCTGGTACTTGTCCACCGTAGCAACAGCCTTGGGCATACCAAAGATTGGGTTTCTCGCGCAACGATGTGACAGCACATCCCTAACAAGTGCTCTCTGTCCAGCATATGTCGTGAGAATGCTGATCTTGTCGGCTGGATATCCAAGAAGCCTCATGTACTGGTAAATGGCAACAGCATACTCTGCCTCGCCCAAGTTCTGAATAAAGTGCGGCGTCGGCTCCATCTCGCCCTTGCCCTTGTACTTGGGTACATTGATAAACTGGAAATCGAATTTGAAGCCAGCATTGGCTTGCTGGAATTCCGCCTTGGTACTCAGGCCAGGTAGGTTATCCAGCTTGGGGTAGCGCCACTGGTACAGACGAGCAATAGATGGGCGGGCACGGCCCTGCTGATCGAGCGAAATTGTCGGTACACCCAGTCTAACGAACCGCAAGAACAGCGACTGCTCCAGGTTGGCATAGTGTCGGAACGCAAGGCTCTGGATTACAGGCGAGTTCTGAAAGTGGTCACCACACAGCACAACTCTTTGCAGAGGTACGTCACCATCGACCGGCCTCTGCATTGCCAACGGGATAAAAGTCTCAATCTCTGTGATTTGAGCAGCCTCTTCCATCACAACGTTGTCATAGCGGAAACCAAGAGCAGCAATCTCTCCCCTCCTGATGGCAGCATGTGTAGTAGTCATGGCGACGATTCGCGCTTCGCTCGTCAGTAGATAATTGGCCTTGTCCCGCTCTCGTCGCAAGATTTCAAAGGGTAGAATGTCAGCCAGTTCAGAAAATATTTTCTCAATGTGCCTATAGCAGCCTTCAGCAATGTCAATGATCTGAGCACGCTCCGCTTCTGGCGGCAAGAGGGGCTGGGGCGCATCTGCAAAATAGCTGTGGAAAGGGAATGCTTCGATGATCTGCGCCACCGACGATTCATCCGCGGCGAGAACCTGCTGAAAACTTTTCCAGGCTGGCTGGATGTAGACCGTGTTAAAGTATCCCGCCGTCTCAGCAGAGTTGTCGTGAGCACCGGGAGCGCCTAGGCTGCTGGCTAGCTTCCTGACCTCAAACAAGAAGCGGGCGCGGTTGTCAAGGAAAGAGTCAACACGACCATGCTTGCTAAAACTTCCCTCAGCAGCAAGCTCCTCTTCGCCGTGACCAAGTCGAAGTAAGTGTCTTTCATCGATATCGAGTGCGATAATCTTGGCGAAGAGCTGATTCAACGCCTGGTTGCTGTGCGCAATCAGGAGCGTCTTCTGTTTGGGGAAGTTATGGTAGATATTGTGAATGATCTGAGTCGCCACATCGGTTTTACCAGTTCCTGGAGGCCCAACCACAACCGTTAGGCCGGGTTGGGAGCCGGACATGATAGCCTCAACCTGCGCCGGCGTGAAGCGAACAGAGTTGAGTTTGGGCGCATCGACTGGGTACGGACCTTGGTTTGGTGGCTTGTACGTGGTGACTTTCAGTGCCTCTATTTCCGCTGCCGTCTCCGGCTCAGCGTCCCTGCGCCTCTTCTTCGAGGCCTTGACTGGCACTTGGACTTCAGGTTTGTCCAGGGTTTCCAAAACGTAAGGTGGACCGAAACTACCGCTCACATCATCGCTTGGCTCCAAGGTCTTGCCTGGCAGACTCTCAATAAGATGTTGCCACTCTAAAAACGTATCGTTGTAATCGACGGTCTTAATTCGGTTCGGTAGATTCTTGTAGCTTGCGCCGGCTGGATCACCGTAACCCAGGAACACCTCATGAAGCCAGCTGGGTAGAGGCGCATCGGAGAGAACGAGGTCTCGGATAGATTCAAGAACTGGCTTGAAATTGTTTTCGCGACGGCCTCTTCTCAGTAGCAGGTTCACGCTGCCGTATACGTCTCTTTTGCCTGCAGCTGCCAGAGCGGCATCCTTTGCATACGTTTGCGAGTCAAGCTTCAGCTCAATACGACGCTTGCCATCACGGCTCCTAGGCTCCTTTCCATGACGTCCCTTGTCATCTGTGACGCGAATGACTTCGGCAGCACGTACTGACGATACACCTATTCTTTCCAATTCGCTCGGGGAGAATCCATTTGTGATAGCATCGTCTGCCGGCGGTTCAACTGACAGCAAAAATACCACATCATCCGGGCGGAGAGAATCCCACTCCTTGCGGACATGATCACCAAGTTTTCGCACATCAAACGAGACTTCGGCCTTGACCATGGAGGGCTTTGAATCGCCAATCAGCGCAGGAACAACATCGATGATAGCTGGCTTAGAAATTGGTAGGGCCATCTTAGAGACACCAGCAAAGTGTGTCTCCCCGGGCTTCTTGCTCTCTGGCTGAAGCCGGCGGATTGCCGTCTCGATATCTCTCCGGATACCATAGAACGACTCACAGCGGTATAGAATAAGGGCTCTCCAGAGGAAGTCTCCAGCAGACAAGTATTGCAAATTTAGTTTGGGTAGTGCCAGTGGGTGCGATCCGTCATATGAATCTGCTCTTTGGAAGCTTGCATCGAACAAGGTCTTCTCCGTAGGGACGATCGACATGGTCTGAGCAAGCTCTTGAAACGTCTTCTTCCGCTCAAAGGTGCTGAGCATGCACTCTATTTGTAGTTGGCGACCTGCGGGTAACTTGAGGTCCTCTGGGTACTTCGTTCTGATACCCAGATACCCAGCGAGAGACGCAACCTCGTCATCCGTCAGAGTTTGAAGAAGAGTGCTTAGCTCCTCGCGCCTATCGATAGAGCCATAGTTGGACAGGGCAAGAACAGTGAGCTTCTCCTTGAAATACTTGAGAGCAGTGCGTTGAAGCTTTCCAAGTGCCTTGCAATGCCTTTCGTAGGCTTCTTCACGAGTAAGCTGAGCACCAGTCTGATCGTCAATCGAGAAATATGTAAAGTGAGTAAGCAGAGCTTGGAGATCGCGGAAGAGACCATTTGCTTCGTCGTTATACATGGGAGATAGCCTGATCGCTGGAAGAAGGTTTAGATCATTTTGCAGGGCATTGAAGTATCGTCTCGTCGGTAGTTGGCTCTGTAAATCCGTCACAAACTCGATAAATCGTTCGCAGTATAGATCTTGCTCTGTAAGGCATGTTAGCATGCCTTTTGGGGAGGAAAAGAAGAGGAAGCTTGCCTGATTTGCGGTTCTCTTCATAAAGCAAGCTAAGGAAATCAAGGAGAAGTGTGTACAGCCAGGAGCGCTCAAAGCGCAGACGAGCTTTGATCGCATCGTCTCCCGCGTCGAAGCGCTTCTGGGCAGCTCTCCAAGATTTCCTCAGCTGTGTAGTCTGATTCAGAAGCCGGTCCCGTTCCTGATCTGTCGAAATATTGTGCCAGATACCAATAGAAACAAGCGGCGCGCACTCCCTTCTCACAATGCCAGAGTCCAGAGTCTGGAAGGCATGAATCAAGAAACAGAGCAAATTTGTTCGGATGGTCGTCGTAAGGGTTCGATCGAGCGTCAGAGACAACACTCGGCGGAAGAAGGAGGAGAACTCTTCGGGTTGTTGTTCAAATAGAGCTTTATCACGGTTAGAAAGTGCTAGAAGAGCATCTCTTGGGCAAAACTTACTCCAAGTCTCAAGATGCTCTCTGCGCTTGACGTTGATGATGAGCGCCATCAACAAGACGTGCACATTGGACGCTTCTTCTGTGTAGCCCGGCCATAAATAGCTTTCCGCCCGTCAGCATCCAATTACTCTGCGACGCAGTTGTCGATCTGCTCACCTTTCCAAGGTCTGCAAGCTTTCCAAGAGAAGCAACGACTTGTGCTGGAAGCCGTCTCGCTCGAGAACCTCCCAGATGCTTTGCTTGAGTACGTCATTCTTGACCTTGACCTTGATCTTCTTCTTTGTAGTCTTTAACCAGTGCGCCCGCGCAACCCGCACGAATTGGTGCTCCTCCTCCTCGACCTCTGCAGGTGTCGGGCGCTCACCAGTAGGCTCTTCGTGATGGACGGGTGCCTTGGCCTTCGCAGCGGCGCTGTTTTTGAGCCGCTTCGCGTTGGGCATGATCTAAAGTTTCGTCGGCATGAGATATGCGCAGCTTGCGATCGGTTAGGTGTATTTGCAATTCTCTGTAGAATTGCGCGCGGTGTTCAACGAGGCAAAAAGCGATTGACGTCGGTTACTATGGAGATTCGAACCTGGCCGTCGCAGCGATTCCGAAATTTCGCCCTCGCGACAGCTAGCTCACGCGTGGGTGTTTGTAGCATGTACCCACACACCTTGTGATACTTTGATTTAGCGCCGCTTGCACCTACATCTTTGAGTACCTTTGTGCTCCGCGAGACTCGTATTTTCTGCTACATACATCGCAGTCACCACCCCAGCCGAAACTTGGCAGACTTGTATCTCAACCAGGCGGTAGCGAATCGAAAGACATCCGACGCGAAAGATATTCGTCCAACGCCAGATTGATGCGCAAGTAGAAGGCGGATCCTGCAAGCTTTGCGCCCATCTTCTGCTGGGGGTGGACGGCCCAGAGGCGCATCGAAACCTACAATCGCTCTCCGAGAAGCTCTGGCCTAACCGCCTACGATGCCTGCCCTAGATATGGACAAGCCTCGCATGGCCTCCGTTGATGCGTTCGGGAAGCTTCTTTCTAGTCTACTTGACGAGGCCTCTGTAATCAAGCAGTCATCGAGCATCGAGCCCGCGCTTACCATGCCCGACTTTGCAGACCTGGACTCGCGGGTTGACGCGGCGCTGCCGCAACAAGGGGAAGAGGCTACAGACAGTGATGCGGCCGTAGCAGACCTGAAAAGCAGGCAATTCGCGATTGTCGAAGGCGCATCCAGAGATCTTTTCGGTGCATTGATAGTAAGTCACCAACAACTCGAGCGCAAACGTAATCATCTAACCGGTTGCCAAGGCGTCAATCCCGATTGATTCTCCCAAATTCGTGCGCATGTGGAATTTTCTCGACATCCTCTCTATACTCTCCGACGGCGGTCAATGCGATCCGGCGCTTGTATTTTGGCTGGTAGAAGAGCTGCTCGACAGCCAAACAATTGCGGGATGTCGCCACATCTTTGATTTTCTTGAATCTCGACGAGAGCGCATGACTGCCAAGAACTTTTCGCAAAAGAAATTAGTCATACTTCGCAGCTGTAATGAGCTTCTACGTCGACTTTCAAGGGCAGAGGATACCGCTTTCTGCGGTCGCGTCTTCATCTTCATGTTTCAGTGCTTTCCTCTGGGCGACAGAAGTTCGGTCAACCTACGCGGCGAGTACCACGTCGAAAATGTGACAGCATACGAAACGACTGCAAACGGCGATGCTACGAAGATGGATGTCGATGCCGAGACCAACGGCGAGGAAATGGCCGACGCAAAAGACGGCAAGCCCAAAGAAGGAAGCAGCCGCCTCAGCTCTGAGGAACTGTACCCTTTGCTCTGGTCGCTACAAGAAAGCTTCAGTCAACCGACAACACTTTTCGATTCCGCCAAATTTTCTCATTTTAAACACAGCCTAGAAGAGACCATGAAGGCTTTCGAATCGCTGCATGCCGACGACCAAAGATCGCTGAAGCGCAAGCGCAATGACGAAGGCGCAACAACAATAGCGGAAGCTTTCAATCCAAAGTACCTGACAAGCCAGGATCTATTCGAGCTCGAGGTAAGCTGTTTCTTTCTCTTCCGCTTTGAGATATTTACCAACTTTGAGATATTTACCAACTGAACACACACACAGATAAGTGACTTGTCGTTCCGACGACATGTCCTCGTTCAAGCTCTCATTATAACAGACTTTCTGCTGTCTCTATCTGCCGAAGCAAAGCAAAAGCTTACCGGTGTCCCTACAGCAAACAAGGCTGTTGTGTACAGCGAACAACTCAGCGAGGAAGATGTAAGAAGCATCCGCTGCCCGTGGCCGCATCACAAACTAACGCGCTCTCCAGACAAAATGGGCAACAGATACCAAGCGGCGGATATCCGAATATCTAAGGCAAGGCTTCGACGGCCCTTACTTTTTCCGCATGGTGGAGACGGTGCTCGCGCGCGACAAGAATTGGGTGTTCTGGAAGATGGCCAGCTGTCCTCCCATAGAGCGGGAGCCCGTGACGGCGGCCGACTTTGTCGCGGCCAGGTCGTCGGCCGAGCGCATGGCCACCAGCAAGCGCCTGCGCCCGACACCCATCGGCGCTGTCTCTATGGCGTTCCTCGACCGGAGCGCATCGTCAGCGACCCTGGACGAGCTCCGTCCGCCGGCGCGCTATCAGCTCCCCGAGCTCGCGAGCTTCCAGCGGCCCATTGCCGACGACGACTTTGAGATTGGCATGCCCGCCAGCGACGCCTCCCGGGCCGCCGCTGTCCACGGCAAATCGAGCAAGAGCTGGCGCGCGCTGCGCATAGCCGCCCGCACCCGCCTTGCCGCCTTTGACAAGATTGACGACCCCCAGCAGATTGCCGTCGTCTTTGCGGAGCCGACCGACGACGCCGACGACAACGAGGCAGAAAACGTCGATAATGACGCCGCCGCGTCGGAGGAGGACATGCCGTCGAACCGCGCGGCCGTCATCCTCGCCAGCTCCTCGCACGAGACGCTCTGCGCCGTTGTGGCCCGGCTGCTGGAGAAGCACAGAGGCGTGTTCGGGCTCGTTGTGCGGCACACGACGCGCGCCGCGGCTGAGGGCGAGTCCAACGGCAAAACGTTTCACTTTGTCAGCGCGCCAGAATTTAACCAGCTGCGCGATAGCGACCGCCTGGTCGAGCACGGCGAGCGCGACGGCAGCCACTACGGCACGAGCACCAAGGCGATCGACGCCGTGACGGAAGTCGGCAAGATTCCCATTATCCAGCTCGACATTGAGGTACGTTATTCCTGCTTCCCTTCTAACACACACACACACACACACATGTATATATATATACGTACATAACATGTCACTAACTTGTACCCACAGGCTGCGCAATTCGCCAAGGACATGGATTTCGAGGCGCGCTACATCCTCGTCGACACGCCGAGCTCCGCGATCGACAAGGTCGGCGAGGTATACGACGCCATGATCGGCATCGCCGACGACAACGAAGATGATGTTGACAACGCCGCCGCGAAGCTGAGTACTTTCCTGTACAAGGGCGGCGCCAGCGCCCCTACCGAGGAAGACGACGATGGCGGTGGTGAGGCTATGGAAGACACCAAGCCCGAGGCCGACGACAAAGAGAGTGGCTCGGAAGACGGTGGCGGTGGCAGAGAGGAAGAGGAAGAGACACCAGCCAATGGGGACGCTGACATGGCAGATGCAGAAGCGAAGCCCTAGGCATGACACGCAAGTGCTGATATATGTATGGGTCTGTTGTTGCTCACCTTCTATGCGTTATTAAACTTTGGTTTTGGGGTAATATGGTACAAGCCTGCGCAGCATGCAACGAGGCACGAAAGAGACCAAGGGGCGAAGGAATCCTGGTTGATACCCAAAAGACATCAGGTTCTCTTGTATTTGGGGGAGCACATTGCATTTCACGGGTATTAAAGTAGTTGTAGCGAGTGGAGTTCAATTTATACCATCAGAAGCAGCTCAAAAGTTCGCACATGACCAAGACATTGATTTGCTGCGATCTCCATCAAAGCAAAAGCGTGATACCGCAATAAGCAAAGCTCTTCCCAGCTTTGATATAGTAGAGATAGGAAATAAACAACAGGCAGTCCTGAATACTTACTCCTCCTCCTCCTCCTCAGAAGACTCCTCTTCCTCGGCCTCCTCAAGCCACTTGAGGAAAGGCTCAGCAGATTTGCGCACCTTCTTGCTGACGGCAAGATCGGCGTACTTCTTACTAGCTTTTTTACCCCAAGGGAGAACAACCTCCTCTGTGATGAGGTCGTTGTGGTAGTACAGTTGCAGAATCTTTACAATCTGCGGGTAAACATCGGGGTTCTCTTGAGCGAGGAAGCCCATGAGACGCTCAGTGCCACCAAGGAGAGCCTTTTCATGCTTGTCAGAAGTGCCAATCTGCTTGATCATGGCAGCACGCTTGGGAATCTGAGCAACGATGTTCTTGTCAAACAGAGTCTGAACAAGGACCTGGATAGTCTTGTGCTTGCCCTCGATGCCAAGCTCCTTGGCCTTGACGTAGACCTGGATGGAGTCGACGTTATCGATGCCACCCTTTTCCTTGGCCTGAGATTGGATCCACTGACCGAGCTCATCATAGACGCTATCGCCGCCGGCTTCATCATCATCAATGTTGAGCTTGCTTTTGAACTCATCAGGAAGGCGGGCCTGACGGGCCTTGACGGCTTCCTCACTCATGTCGACGGCCCATTCGTCATCTCTGACCTCGTTATCGCTGTCAATGGTGGGAGCCGCGCGATCAAATTCGTCATCGCTAACATCATGGCCATTGGTGCCGTTCTGGCCATTCTCGCCGGAATTGTCGGAGCCCTCATCACCAGAGCCGTTGCCGTTCTGAGTGGCCTCCTTCTTGGCACGGCGAGCAGCCTTCTTGTCGGCCTTATTGCCCTTGCCCTTCTTGCTCTCGTGCTTGATGATGAATCCAGAGAGCTTCAAGCGGATGTCAACATCAGTGCGGTGACCACAAGCTTTGCAATCGAGAATAATGCGAGGGTCCTTGATGATGACAACAGTTTCTGGGTTGCTGCAGCCGCGGCAAAGGACAAACTTCTTGATGAATCCATCGAGGAGGTCCTGGAGCTTGGCAGCCTCGTGGGCACCGTTGATGATCCAACGGTCGTCCTTGGGGTCGGTGTTGGTCTGGGCTCCGAGCTCAAAGGCAAAGTACTTGATGACATAGTTGGGGTCACGGCCCAGGGCCTTGGCAACGTTGACGAGGTTGACAACAACGGTCTTGATGCCGTTTCCTTTTCCTTCAACCTTGGTGATGAGTTTATCCATCTTGTAGCGATAGAAGTTATCGCTAACTTCGCGGTTGACGTTGACGAGAACCATGATGGCGGTATTTTTTTTGGCTGTCTGTAGAAGAAGGTTTTTTTTTTCAGTGGATGTGGCGGGCTTGATGAACAGGACTCGGAGAGGTCTGAAGGGACAAAGCAGTCATGAAGACTTGGAGAAGCGATAGGCGGGAATGCTGTGGAAGCTGGTGGGGAGAAAGAAGAATCAGCAATGACTACTTCTGAATGACATGAAGTTATGAGGACAAAGTCTCGTGTTGAGTATGGTAGGCATGAACTCTTGCGTTGAATATGTGTCAACCGTCGGAATTGATATCGGGAGAAGAAGGTTTGCGCCGTATATGGAACGGCTGCAGCTCGACGATGTGTCTGGACACGTTAAACTGGTCGTGCTGATACATAAACGACTCTGGCAAGCTAGTGTATTGCTGTATAATCTGTTTCTGCCGTGGAAGGGGAACCAGGCAAAATCGGATGGTGGTAGGGGAGTCGGGGTTCGCGCGGGCGGACGACGGATGGTGCTAGAAGCGGGGATGAGTCGAAAATAAATTCGAGTGCGAAAGATTCTGGCTGACGCTCTGCGACCGATTAGAACAGTCTACAGGCTGGACAAGAGAGCTGAGCTGGATGATTGCACGGTGCGGGCAGTTGGCACGGTTGGGTGAAGAGGAGAAGAAGGAGGAAGGGAAAAAATGTGCAGCGCAGATGAGTCGACCTTGGGCAATGTGGCAAGTGCAAGTAGGGCGAGTTTTCGGCGTTGCACAGTGTGGCGCCGGAAGGAGGAGGGGCGAGTGGGTGAGGCAGCTCTTGTCGAGTGGAGTAGGTAAGCATTTGACGGCAGTTGACGGCATTAATTGGGTAGGTAGGTAAATTTCTATTTTATTTTATTTTCAAGTATAGGTAGATTGTAACTACGGTGCCCAAGTACCTATTGTTCGAAATCACATGAACATTCATCGTCATGCATTGCTACTGTACCTCACTAGGCACCTGCAACTTTCATCATGTCGCTGCAGCGAGATAACGCTTTCCTTTCAGTGATCGGTTAGCAAGTCAAACACCATCTTGAAGAGGGCTCTTTACCTGTCACCCACTATTCTTAATAAATGCCTGATTATTGAAGTTGCGTTAACTGCAACATTCTGCACCAAAGCGGCCACTTCCATCACAAGAGAGGTTAACAGCGTCCAACAAAATCACCGCCCCCGAAAAGTGGTGTGATTTAGTGCAGCAGCGTCTAATTTATTCAGTTCTGCTTGCCTGACTACTTGGACGTCGTTCGCATGTAGCCCTATAGCCACGCTTAGCTGCCAGTCCATCATGCTGCTGTCGTCAGACTAGTTCGGCCTTGATACTCGATGCCTCGAATCAGTGCCGGCGCTGGAGTCTCTTCAAGTCACCAATTTTTGCACGCAGAGAATCGCAGAGAACAGCACTGCGATATGAACAACATTTGGCATTCTACTACTCTCATCGTGCGAAAGCATGAGCACACATCGCATGCGTCAAGGGTCTGTTCTAAACAACTTCTCAACTTTTGCTGCTACCTTGTCGAGGTCGGAAATGCAACAGACACCGTTGTCCTATCGGTCTGGCTGATATAAGCTGGTCAGACATTTTCATCGCTTCCTCGTTCATCGACGACTCTGGCAAAGTGGTGAATCTAGAGTAAACGTCTCGAAGCAAGGTTTTCATTTCCGCAAGAGCCAGGCTGCAAAATCACATTAGGCTTTAAAAAAACATATCGTGAAAATAGAACAACTTACTGCTTTCCAACGCATCCTCTCCCGCCGTTGGCAAAAGCGAACAACAACCGTCGTCGATCCGCATCCCCATCTAGTTGCAACCAACGCTCCGGCTGAAAAGCGTCCGGCTCAGGAAACATGTCATCGTTGATGCGGTGCACAGAAAACGCCTGGCAGCTAGCGACGGTCTTCTCGGGCAGCCAGTGGCCATCAACCATGCGACCACCCTCCGGAACGTACCGCGGGAGGGACATGGGGATCGGGGGGTAGCATCTGAGACCCTCGCACACGACAGCATCCAAATACGGCAGCTGGTCCAATGGTGCGTGGGGATTCGCAAGAAGCTCTCGGGCTAGCTTTTCTTGTACCTTGAGCGAGCGCGGCTGCGATAGCTCCCACAACAGGAAGCACAGCCCGTCTCCCGTGGTGTCAATGCCGGCGGCCATATGGTCAAGACACTCGGCCGCCATGTCAATTGGTTCCAGCTCGGCCGATTTCTCCTCTAGTCGGCTCATCAGCGTGAACGTGGCGGTGTCATGAATTTGGCTAGTTTCCAGAACATATGTATCGGCCAGTGGCGTTTCTCGTGGTTTTGCAAATAAGTACAGGACACTGCCGAAAATACGATGCAGCGTTGGAGCGTAGTGAGAGATGAGACGGTCTAGCAAAAGGTCAGTACCACTGTAGACTGTATATCCCGTGTTGCATTAGTCATACTTTGTAGACTATCATCGGATGCTACCTGATGCATCATGTTCTCGTCATTCTCATTCTCCAGGCAATCGGTGCCGCGGGGGTGGAATAGATGATGGGTAACACAATCGCAGGCATAGGCGTGTAAAGCTAAGACAAGTCAGTTATGGAGGGAGCCTTGTCGTCTCTCGTGCACATACACATCTGAAGCACGGTTAGCTGAGCGCCAGGGATGTAAGCCAATGCTACTCACAAAAACATCGGCGGCGTTCGGTGAAGAGGCACAACGGCGCACAAATTTGGCCGACCGTTCTTGAATACCATCCATTGAGGCGCTTTTCAGTATGTTGGTGTTTGCATATCGATCGGCAAGGATACGCTTTCGTTTCGCATGCTGCAAACTTTGTTTAGCAGTGAGCACAGCCAACACCTTGGTCTACAACCTACATCAGCCTTGTTCAGCGTAGTAAACATGGTACTGTCGTCGAGTCAGCCTCACGCCCCTGAAAAGGGCGGGACGAGACACACACCGTCGTCCATAAATGGTAAACATGTCATAAAACTCCGTCTTGTCGTAGCCGCTGCCGCCTGAGCAGTAAATCTCCTTGATGGCTGCCCACGACGTAAAAGCGACCTCATTGGGCGCCACCCGGACCACAGGACCGTACCTGCGGTGCAGCGCATGGATATAGACGGTCCTGGTCGCGTTGATCTCGTGCCACTTCAGCCAAAGCGATGTGTATTTGGAAATGGACGGCCCGGGCAGTCTGGCGAGCGGAGATCGCAAGCATCGGACCAGGTGAATCACCGCCAACAGCACCAGTACCGCGGCGGCGGTCAGCGGCGAAGCGAGAAGCATGGCTAATCGGTGGTCGGTATGAGTGCGTGCGAGGTCTTGTATACTTAGAATACGAGATATATCGACGAAAAACTTCGTTGCTCCTCTTCTTCGGTTTTTGCCCAGAAACAAAGTTCAAGAAGCGTGTTGGTGTATTTGAAGAGAGGGGCCAAGCAAGCCTTTATCAACGGCTTGTCAGTCTAGTCGCCGCGAAATCGGGCGCGCCTTATCAGCTAGCCGATTCCACAAGCCCGAGTGTATTTACTGGCTTCGGAAATGGGACGGTCGTTATCAGTTGCCAGACCATCGCCGCACGCCGCCGCCGTTTACGGGTTTTACCCCAGCTTTCGGGCGACCGCGGGGCCCGCGCTGGCGATCCAATTGCAGCATGATATGAGGCTTGGCAGCTAGAGAAAAAAGGCCGGGGTAAAGCAACTATGGATGCAGGCAGCGAAAATCACATTTTGACTAGTTACCTATACTTGCCCAATGTGCACTGCCGAAAGAGGGCACTAAGGCAAGATTTGCCCCGCGAGAAACACGACGAGCTGGCACATCGATGAGGGTTTTCACCACACCAACGGAGCGAATTAGGCTCAGTAGACTAGCCAACTACAGTTTATGAAACCAGATAAACGAGACCATGTGAAAGACTACGTAAGAAACAGACCGATTTATCACACGCTCATTGTTTATGTACGGAAGAGTGCTTGATCCCATAAGATGTGTCGCTACCCGGTACGGAAAGGCGGCGTAGAGACTCTTTGCGCACGCCATGCAGCCAGACGACCAGAGCCAGGCGTCGCAAGGTTCATGTTTACTTTGTGCCTCAACCGATGTATCTGATGAGCCGATTGACAACAAGCCCAAGCAAGATTGACAGACTCTTGAATCGAAACAAGATGGCCGTGCTCCGATTGCCGCTGTCGCATCGGGTGGAGCACAACTAGCGTCCCATCGGCGACCATTCTGTGTGACGTCTGGCGGCTCGGTGAATTGGGTGGAGCGTTTTTATTCAGAGACGGTACAAATTTCAGGGAAGGGGCAAGGCATGACTGCCAGTTCAAAAATCTTGACTCGTGTGCCCTCTGTCGCCAAAATCTCGCCGTTGGACTAGCAACTGGCGCAGAGCGTACTCCAGACACACCCTTGCTTGCGTGCCCTCTAGGCTCTACCGCAGCCGCCATGGCCGACGACAAGAAGAGCGGCGACGCCGTCGAGATGGAGCGTCTGGTTGAGGAGCCGCCCTCGCCGACGCTGCCCACGGTGAATCCAGATGCCGAAGCGAGCAAACCGGCTGGCATGTTCCTCCCGCCGTGGCTCTATGTCGTGTAAGTGAGAAGCCATTGGCGTCGTGCTGCGCGATGGTAGCGTTGTCGTTGCTAACATGTGCGTGCAGCGCCTGGATCTCCTTTTCCTCGCTGGTGATTTTGTTTAACAAATGGGTGCTTGACACTCTCAAATTCAGTATGTGCTCATGCTATACGGTACGCTTTCATACTGACACACCAGCCAGGATATCCCGTCATCCTCACAACATATCACCTCTTCTTTGCCACCGTTGTGACCCAAATCATGGCGCGCTACACCACCATGCTCGACAGTCGCAAGGCCGTCAAGATGACGGGCCGCATTTACCTGCGCGCCGTCGTCCCCATCGGCGTCTTCTTCAGCGCCAGTCTTATTCTGAGCAACATCGCCTACCTGTACCTCTCCGTGTCCTTTATTCAGATGCTCAAGGCCACCACGCCCATGGCCGTCCTCCTCTCTGGCTGGGCCCTCGGCGTCTCCCAGCCCACGCTCAAGCAGGCCGCCAATGTCTCCATCATTGTCCTTGGCGTCATCATTGCTTCGATCGGCGAGATTGACTTTGTCCTTGCCGGCTTCCTCATTCAGCTCGGCGGTGTAATGTTCGAGGCTTTGCGTTTGACAATGGTCCAGCGTCTGCTGTCGGGCGACCTCAAGATGGACCCTCTCGTCTCGCTCTACTACTTTGCGCCCGTGTGCGCCGCGCTCAACGGTGTCATCGCCCTCGTCACCGAGGTACCCCGGTGCACCATGGCCGATGTGCTCAACGTCGGTCTGTCTACCTTCTTCCTCAATGGTCTCTGCGCCTTCATGCTCAACGTCTCCTTGGTGCTACTTATTGGCAAGACCTCGGCCGTTGTGCTGACAATCTGTGGTGTGCTCAAGGATATCTTGCTCGTCGTCGCGTCCATGGTTATTTTTGGATCGCAGGTCACGGCGCTTCAATTCTTTGGCTACTCGATTGCGCTGGGTGGCATGGTCTACTACAAGCTTGGACACGAACAAATTAAGAGCCATCTTGCTGATGCGAATCGTCAGTGGTCAGCATTCGGTGCCGAGAAGCCTATACTCCGCCGGATCAGCATCGTCGTATTAGCTGTTTTTGTTGGATTAGCTTTGCTCGGTGGATTGAGAAGTGCCATGTAACCCTTGATCTTGTATCCTGGCAAGACAGGCATAACGAGTCATTGGTGTCTTGATACGGAACGTATATGAACAACACTTAATATCACTAAACTAATGATTGTGGCCGTGCAATCTGCAGCGTTGTCGATCACGACCATATTCCCGATGAGATTGTAATGCATGCACAGATTCCATTAGCACTGAACTGTGAAAAGGAGTCTTACTTGGGGACTCATGCGGCGGCTGATGGACTTGCTCACGCGCATGCTGGTAGTTTGAAGCACAGCCTCAACTCCCAACTTCTAAAGATAGAATATGCGTTTAGGAGGGCATTGGGCAGCATTCCTGCAGGTTGGACCCTTGGGACAATCTCTTGGCGGCTCACTCGCAAAAATGAGAGAAGAAAACTTCCAACTAAGGTACTGCATTGCCCGTGAAAGTTGCATCTATTAATTATGACACTGATGACTTCAAATAACAGGCACCAGGGTGGCGGTGGCGCCCCAGTGTAATTTGGTGGGCATGGATCTTCATTAACGAGATTGTTCTGGCATAAAGAGGCATCACAGGGTCGAGGCAGACAGGAGGAGTAGAGAGGAGTTAAGGAGCCGTTTTGCCGTCTAACCGTCCAGTGTTTCTGCTTTTTTTAGTGTGGCTTCTAATTCTGAAGCTGCGCCGAAGATCCTTGCGGCACGGCGGCCAAGACTGTAGATCTGTCTGTACACATGCGGGTTGCAAGCCGTGCTCCGTAGATAGATACGAGAACAGGCGGAGATGAGCATGATTGAGCGGCCAGCAGCAGCATGATTTCGTGGGTTCAACGCTCATTTCAGGTCTGAACACAGCCACGAGGCTAGAATCCATGGTCGCGGACTCGAGGGTGACCAGTGGCATGGCGACACGTTGAGCAGAAAGCGACGAGGCTTTCGGGGTGACAGTCCGAAACAGGCGGAAGATCAGACTTGTCTGATGAGGCACGTCGAGGTAGAGTAGTACAGTTGGTTGAGACAATAAAAGAGGCAGCACTTTGTAGTTGTGGCAGATTGGACGGCGCGGAGCTTGGAAAATAGGAGCCAATCGGTGCATTGGTATGTAGCTCACAGCCTCACAGCCTATACGTAACCAGTAATACTTGGGCACTGAAGTAGCCCTACAGATCACTGTTGACCAAGATGCAGCTAGCAGCACAAAGAGAGGCCCCTATTAGTATCGCTTATTACAGCCTATGGCGCGATTTCGAGTCGGTACAGGACTGAGGAAACTGGGCCGCTGAGCAGGCAAAAAGTAATTAGGTAGGCTGAGAAAGCTACCAGTACCTACCTACCTGTTATAACGACGTGCTGCTGATTGGAGAAGGATATTCCGAAAAAGCAAGCAACCGCCTGGAAGCAAAAGAAGAAAAGATGAGCCCGCTTAAAAAAAGGAGCGGATTAATTATAGCATTCGCCTGGAGTAGAAAGTGCTGACCTAGAAAGCTATAGCTCAACCATGAACCACGACGCAACTTGCTATTGCTACCTAGCTAGGTAGCTAGCCAAAGACGCCGCAATCCGTCACATCCCACCCAAAGATCCGGAGCTGCGCCTCTCTCCCCATTACTCTGCGTGGGCTGGTCGATTCTGTATCGCTTCCATCCTCCTCTTCCCCCCATCATCGGCATTCTTTTTTTAGACGAGCTTCTCAGTTTCAACGTATCCTTCCTTACCTCTGGGGACCGTCCGCAGACGCCCCCCCCTTCTGTCGCAACGCACCCCCCCATCCCTCCTCAAACCTCCAGACAGGACAGATACACGCCCCGATGCCAACGTTTCCACGTCTGGGGAAGCACGGCAACCGCTCGCAGCACGGTCTTCCAGAGCAGGCAGCTGTTGGAATCCAAAGCAGCGGTGTCGGCGATGCGACTGGCTCGGGCTTGGACGCGCAGTCTGCCTTGTCGTCGTCAACGGGCAGTCCTCACGAAGCCATTGACGTCCGTCAGCAGCAGCAACATCAATTGCAGCAACAAATGCAACAGCAACAGCAGCAACAGGGACTACCAATATTACAAGGTCCCGGGTCCAGCAAGCTTCCAAAGCAGCAGGTGTCGACTTTGCAACAACAACCACAGGCACAGTTGCACCAGGCACAGACGAACCAGGCACAGTCGCAGGCGCCAGCTCCCCCGCCTCACCTCTACAGCGCAGCCTCCACCGCATCGGCCACTAATAATAACCCCTCGCCTCTCCAACAGCACCCGGGCGGTGATTTCGTCTTTGATGCCCGCCAGCAGCAGCAACATTCTGAGTTTGTCGATCCGACTGTAAATCGATCACAGAGCCTTCGCTATCCCTCGCAAAGCTCTCTCCTCCAGCAGCACCAGTCGCATTCGCATCAGCAGCAGGTATACGGCATCGCTACCAGCTCCGTCGACGACCTGCCCAGCCCCGCAAGCTTCCAACAGCAACAGCTTCAACATCAGCCTCCTCCCCAGGCCGCCCCCGAAAAGCACCGTACAAACCGCAAGCTGCACATCATCAAGGGAATTTTTGGCTCTGTTCGTAATAGCTCTGATAACAGCAGCAGCAGTCAGAACAGCTCGCACTCACCCGCCCGTCAGCAACACGACAACATCGTTGGATTCTTAGGCCGCCGCTCGTCAAACAAGAGAGTAAGCACCCAACCAGCCTGAAACCCATCCGCACTCCACATCCCAGCTGTCCATTCCGATTCATTCATTCCAATTCTCTCTGCACAAAACTACTTTCGCTGCGAGAACCCCATGTATCCCACCACAAAGAAGCCGTTATTGTCGGAGGCTTCTGCTGGGCTTTGACTGAGCCTTGCCACACACCAACTCAACAAACAAATCGCCCATTGACATGTACTTTCTAGGACTCCCGCATCCCGCCGCTTGTTAGCACTCTTCGCCCTGTTCCCAGTGACGATCTCGATCATTCCTCATTTGACGAAAGCGTATACCAACCGCACCCGCACGCACCGCCTCACCAATATCAACAGATTCTGCAGCAAGGCCCTGGCCAGATCATTTCTCAGGAACAGCAGCTACAATCCGACAATAATCAGGCTCACTTTGATATTCCGTCGCAATCTACGCAGCAGCAACAGCTTCACCAACAAATTCTCTTGCAGCAGACGGCAGACGGGCGACTCCCCTCCGCCTGCTATCCAGGTTCGCAAAATCCCGAGACAGCGTCCCAGCTATCGCATGAATCTTCTGCCTACGAACAAGATCTACGAAACCAAACTCCCCAGGCCATACAGCTTGGATCTGCACAGCACGTGAACCAGCAACAGCCGCCGCCGCCGCAATCACAATCACTACAGCAGCAGCCCGACATGCCACCTCAGAGTTCCCGACGAAGCAACGAGGCCGAGCAGCCCAATACGGGTCACCCTCCTAGCTACCGTCACAGCAATGCTGGTCTGGCCGCCGCCAGTCCTCTGCCGCCGCAGGGATCCGGCGTCGGCAGCGGCCAACCCGCCTACCGTGGCGATGGCCGCCACTTTGAGGGATCAGACCCAGGCCGTGAGACGCCTCAGCCGACTGCAGAAAAGGAGATTGACAGTGAAAAGGCTTTCAGAGAACTGCGTAAGTGGTGAGCTGTTATCAAAGGCACCTGACGGCTAACATGTGCCCAACTTGCAGTCACGAAATATAAAAACGTCAAGCGTCTGTATTTTGACGGCAAATCTCAGATTGAGCAGCTGAATGGACAAGTTGAGCAACTGCAGAATGCTGTTGCCAACCAGCGTCTCTCACAGTCAAGAACGGCCCTGGACGACAGCGAGTACGCTACGCGCTTTAGCCGTCTGAACGGTGCCATCCAGAACCTCTCCTTTAACATACGCAAAGAATGGCACATTATTCCCCCTTGGTTAGACAAATTCGTCAGCCCCGATGCGCTCAAGACGGGCAAGCAGGAAATGACTGCCGTCGGACGCGCCGTTATCTCGCGTTGGCTCGTCACTGAGCTGTTTGACAAATGCTTCCATCCAGATCTCGACCCGCACTTGAGCGCCCAGTTGAAGGAGATCGAGATGGGCATCCGCGGCAATACTCATATCATGCACCGACCGGAGGAGTTTGATGCCCAGACGACTAAGGTTGTCAACTGGCGAATGGCGACATTGGACGGCCTGCAAAAGAAGACCAATGCGCAAGCGACCGAGAACAGAGCCGCTCTCATCCAGGTGGCCACGGCTAACCTCGTGAGGTACCTTCATTCACATCTGACGGACCCTCCACCTCCTGGTGTCGAAGGCAGTACATCGATGATTGTGGAACTGGCCATCGGTGTGGCGGCAAACTTGCCGCTGGAGAGCCGCGACGTTTCCATTTGGTATCCAATGCCAGCCGATATATTCCAGCCGAATCTGATGGAGGTGGAGAAGGGGGAGTTGCCACCTCTGACTGCAGCGAACCAATCCGGCTCAGATCCGGAGCTGGAAGAAGTCGTTGAGAAGGGTAGCAAAGGCCAGAAAAACAAGCCAGGTAAGCCACACTAGACAAGATAAACAAAATGTGAGCTAATAAATGCGCAGCTGCCATGAAAGAACCCGGGAGAGTTCGCTTTGCCGGATTCGTGGCCTTGGAAGTTAAGGGCCGGCAGGTGCTGATCAAGGCGCCGGTGTGGACTCTTTAAGCATCTAGCGTGAGCATACGCATGGCATTTATCCAACATATTTCAGAGGGAGAAGTTTCCTATGTTTCGTATGTAGGGTGTTGTTTTGTGTGTGGAGGGAGATGTTGATACCAGGAAGAGCGAACCGTGGTGAGCGAAATGAGATGGCCAGATGAAAAAGACGAACGCATGGTACATATAAGCTAGGTGTAATTGGGCCAGAAGGAGGATCACTCATACTTTACATGAAGACGATTTGAATCTATTGATTATGCAGACGAAGCCGACTTTGTGAAGGAGGCGTCTGGGCGGCGATGACTACCAGGAACGTAGATGGATAAGAGCACCATCTCACAGTTGACAAGAATTAATCTCGAATCATCGTCAATGGGCGTCCCGTTACCCATTAGCGCAAAGTCATCTTTCCTCCTTCTGGCCAAGCCAAGAATGACGAAGAATGACTTTACTGAATTGGTAAAACTTGGGGCAATTAAGAGTCATCGCTGGACATGGCGTGGGGCTGACCTTGTCGCGCGGGGTCTTGGATTGAGTCACACAGAGCTGGCAGGGGACAGCCACAGCGGGACAGGGAAATTTACAGGGCCTGCAGGCGCTAATAAACGCATCTCTGTTGTAACAGTACTGGGTATGTGGCACCTCATGATGACTCTGAATGCATGCTTGGTAATGCCCCTGGACCTGCAAACACCTCCAGTAAGCATCCGAACGAGGCCTGGGACAGAAAATTCAATTCGAATCAAATTTGGTGCGCATGTAAACACACGGTTTTGCACAGGCTCCCACGACATGCTGCAAGAGATGGATAAAAGGCTCCAAGTCCGCTCCACCACAGAAAAATGACCGAAAAAAACAACCACTAGACCACCAATCTTAGCGGCCTCTGGTAGAAAAAAAAAATCTATCCGTCAGCGGAGTGTTCTTCTCTCTTCAACAACCTCCAACCGTCAATCTCTACACACAGCAACTTTTCTACCAGCCTAATCACGCAAGTCTTTAACCATGGCTGTCCGCGCCCAGTTTGAAAACTCCAACGAGTACGTTTCTGCCATGCCCTGGTCCCAGCTGGACCAAGCTGCCTTTCTTCTTCTGTCTGCTGCTTCCCCGCCATCACCAAACCCCGCCTCGCGGCGCGCTGCAGCTCGCAAATCCCTATGCACGAGACGACAAGACGCCACAAATGGCTTGAGCTATACAAGGTTCAGGAATTGTGCAACGGGGAAAGCAGATGAGAATTCAGCACCGCTACAGATACTGCCACCGCACAGCTTATAGGAGCCTGCTCGCTAACACTCTCCCCGCAGGGTTGGTGTCTTTTCCACACTCACAAACTCGTATGCCCTCGTTTCCCAGGGCGCCAGCGAAAACTTTTACAGCGTCTTCGAGGCCGAGCTGCAAGACGTCATCCCCATCGTGCGCACCACCATTGCCGGCACGCGCATCATCGGCCGCCTCACCGCCGGCAACCGCAAGGGCCTGCTCGTGCCCACGACCACGTCGGACCAGGAGCTGCAGCACCTGCGCAACTCCCTGCCCGATGCCGTGCGTATCCAGCGCATCGAGGAGCGCCTCTCGGCCCTCGGCAACGTCATTGCCGCCAACGATCACATCGCCCTCATCCACCCGGATCTCGAGCGTGAGACCGAGGAGATCATCGCCGACGTCCTCGGCGTCGAGGTCTTTCGCCAGACCGTCGCCGATCACGTCCTCGTCGGCTCCTATATGAGCCTTTCCAATCAAGGCGGCCTCGTTCACCCCAAGACGAGCATCCAGGACCAGGATGAGCTCTCGAGTCTCCTCCAGGTGCCCCTCGTTGCCGGCTCCGTCAACCGTGGCAGCAACGTCGTCGGCGCCGGCATGGTCGTCAACGACTGGCTGGCCGTCACTGGCCTCGACACCACCGCCACAGAGCTGTCCGTCATTGAGAGCGTCTTCCGCCTTGGCGACGGCAACGGACCCAGTAACATCAACACCAACATGAAGGACACCATGGTAGAGAGCTTCTACTAAATGTAGTTTGCTTGCATATCGTGTTTTACTTTTTCCTGTTACCTTGTGCATTTTCAAGTCATGAACTGGCGAACTTGATTTTATCTGGGTTGATTGAGAAATGGAGCTTTTTACATACTCTTTTATTACTGCTCATGGGGCCTGGTGTTGGGACATACTTCTTTACCGGTTTATTTCCTTTTCGGTTTTCTGTACACGGACGCGTCTGTGAAAACACAATAAAACATGGTTATCATGACACGTTGGGGCCTGACGTGTCTCGGCGTCCGTCCGGATGCTGCTCTAGAATATTCAACGCCAGACGTCTCGAACCGCCTGGCTGTACATGTATAATGACAGAGACTATTATCCACCTCGACTGCATTCCATTGGTGCACCGAATGCAGGCGTTGCACTGTAGCGTTGTACTGATTAGCCGAACTCATAAACCAGCTGTATATAGTTGCGAGTACATCTTGTATCGACTGCTTTCAGTTCCACCAGTTGACTAGATGCACCTCGCGGATGACGCTTACATTACTGTCAAAGCTATTGCACCACCATGGACTTGAACCTACGACATCATAAATCAATCAAACCTCGGCACTTTGCATTCACCATGCAGAACGTTCCACGGTTTCTGAACGGTAAGTTCCACGGCATTATACCACTCCGCGCAGCAGATCAACGGGAATGAGCTTAGCATGGCCCCTCCAAGGAACTCTTGTGATGCTTCTTATCTGGCTAAATCGTCCACTGCTCTTCAATACAAGTGGCCCGCGCTCGCGCAAGTTTTCTTTCTGAATCTCTTCCAAAATTCGATGAAGAAGAAAAGTCGAATCAAAATATGAGGAATACGAGCCAACAAGGCAGAGAAGGCAGGCACGAGAGATCGCTCCGGGAGTTACAGTTTAGCAAGGACAACACGGTGTCGATGCTCTACGAACATTCTCTGATTATGCAACTACTTTTCTCACGTCAACGACGGCGTGGTCGCCAGGGCCATGGAGTCAATGAAGAGGAATGGGTTCAGGACAATGTCACTTTTGTCTCTCCTAGATGAGCTAGAAGAGGAGTGGTGTATCAAGAATAGACTGTTTTGAAAGGTAGATTTTAGGACCATGTGCCAAAATCGTGCACTGTAAGCAAAATCCCTGGAATGAAATCGGTTGGTGGACTTGTAGGTTGCAGGGAATCCTGTTGTCAAGTCCCCCACCGCCTGCCCAAACTGGAGCTTGACCCCTCGCTGCCCTCCAATGTAGGTACCTAGGTAGAGAAGTGCAGAAACCAACCCCCGCCAAAAATTGGCGAAATCGCGACGACATTTGTATTATTGGAGAAAAGCAGCACCACGACATGATACACGGAAGCTGCTGATAAAATTTCTCTCAGCCATACATGTATAATTTCTTATTGACTTCCGCCAAAAGTGTTGCGCATAGCAAAGAAGAATAAAAAAAAAGAATGGCGGAGAAGCCAAAACACCTCGACCCTTCCGAGCTCGGCACTCGTGAATAGTAAGTCATGCTGCCCGAGTTGCGACAATCATTCTTTGGAAACCAGAACGCCCTTCCCCCCCCCGCGCCGCAAGGAAAATCTTTGCTGATGCCGAACGGCAAATCGCAGCTGGGATAAGCTCTACACGACAGAAATCGCCAACAATGCTGCCGACCCCGACGACATCGGCACCGTGTGGTTTGACGACTCGGGCGCCGAGGAAAAGATGCTCGCCTTTCTCGACCGCCTCGCCGGCGTCTCCCCCGACCACTCCGACTCCGGCACATCAGACACTGATAATACACCCGACTTCCCCTTGCTCCCCGCCGCGCCCGCTGCCGCTCTCTCCCGAGAAACCACCTCCATCCTCGATCTCGGCTGCGGCAACGGCTCCATCCTCTTCTCCCTCCGCTCACGCGGCTGGTCCGGGCCTCTGTACGGCGTCGACTATAGCGCGCACTCGATTTCCCTCGCCTCCCAAATCGCCGCTTCCCGAGCTCTTCCCGACGTTGCACCCATCGTTTTCACCGAATGGGACCTCCTCTCCGGCCCTCCTCTGCCCACCATTCTTCCCGTCCAGACCGTCGACCTCGTCCTAGACAAGGGCACCTTTGACGCCATTTCGCTCAGCGACGCGACCGAGCCCAGCAGCGGCCGCCGTGTGTGCGAGGGGTATAAAGAGCGCGTCTTACCGCTACTGCCCGTTGGTGGCCTGTTCCTGATAACGAGCTGCAACTGGACGGAAGAGGAGCTGCGAGGGTGGTTTGTGGCTGGTGAGAGCGTCGAGGACGCGACGTTCGAGGAGGCGGGGCGGGTGAAGTATCGCACGTTCAGCTTTGGAGGTATTTCGGGCCAGACCATTAGTACATTGTGCTTCCGCAAAATCCTGACTAAACCATCTTCTTCTACATAGCAAGTTAGACATGTACATATACGCACAATCACAAGCATAGCATATACTTCAATATATCATATTGAGAAACTGTAAAGATCATCTATTCTATACGCCTCATCAGTTTGAACCAGCCCCGGTAGCCTGGCAATCATCGCTCTCGGTACTCAAATTTTGGGTTGAAAGGTAAACACGGTTTTTTTGCTTATTAACTAAGGTGATGTATTCATTGGCTCGCCACCGGAAGCTGTCGCCTCGCCGGCCGCCGTCGTCGCAAAGTACCGCACATCCACGTCATCGTCCTTTTGCAGCTTACCCAGGTTAGGCAATACTCGCTCCTGAATCAGCTCCTGACCTCTAGGCGACGGCACCGTCTCGGCACCCTCCTTCTCCAGTGAGAAGATGGTACCCTTCTCGGGCAGGCGGCGCAGCACTCCGATAATGACAGAGTATGTCTTGGCCACGTTGAAGCGGATGTTGGGAATGTCGTCCTCGACCATGTTGTCCAGGATAGGCAGGATAGACTTGTCAATGACATCAATGCTCACGACGCTAGCAAGAGTCTACAAAATGTTAGAATCGAGTCATAGTAGAAATGAAGAAGACTTACCGAAATGGCGAAGCACGTTGTCATTCTGTACAGGTAGTTGCTGTGTTGACCCATCTCGACAACCTTGGGAATGATGGCCTCGTTAGCCCACTCGACGCCGAATACTTCAGTGAGCTTCTTCAGATTATGTGTCGCGGCCTCGCGAATGGAAAAGACAGTGTCGCCAAGCCAGTCCATGCAGAGGTTGCTGAGCTTCTCGTTGAAAAAGTTGACACCCAATTGGCTGGCAAGAAGAGGAATGTACTCGATGATGGCGAGGCGAACTCTCCATTGCTTGTCTTCAGCAAGCTGCACAATGGCTGGGAGCAGAGACTGTGAGAGCAGATCGATGCCAATAACTGTAGTCGGTCAGTGGTGCAAATGGCAAGTGGGCGCTTCAGTACATACCTTGATTGACCTGCTCGAGCTTGGAGATGATGTGGAGTCTAACCTCAGGGAACTCATCCTTGAGCATGAGAAGAAACATAGGCAGCAAGTGATCAATAGTTCTACTAACCGTCAGCAAGGAAGTGCAAGCTCAACCTACTTTACTTACTCTTGCTTGCCCAGAATGGGGGCCAGGCCGCTAATTTGCGTGCCGAGAGCAGCGCGCACGTGCTGCGAAGTGTCGGAGACGAGGTCCTCGACACTTGGCATGATATCTTTGAGAAGAACCTCGCGATCAACTAGAGCGCAGAATCCAGGAATCTGGCCGGCGATGGCAGTGCGAACCTCGGCCTCGTTATCCTTCAGCAGCTTGACGAAGGCTGGAACCAAGTCGCGCGAAACAACTTCTTCGTCGACGGCCTTGGCGATCTGATTTACATATTAGCAATTAACCTAATGCTATCAGCATTTTGTTAGAGGCTGGCTGACCTTTTCGAATCTGTCTGCAATCATATATCTCACTCGCCAGCTCTTATCCTCTATCAGATTTCGCAGCGATGTGAGGAGAACACCGTGGCTCGCCTGCTGCTTAGCGGGAACGACTTCGGCAATAGCGATGAGGATCTCGACAGTCAATAGTCTGACACTGTCTTGGTCGTCTTGGACGAGGTGTTGGAAGAGGGGTATCATATCATCGACGACGATGGAAGCGGGCATCTCTCTGACAAACTTCGCCATATTGGTCGCGGCCTGACGGCGAACCATAGGGGTCTCATCGTGCACGAGCAGACCAAACTGGTTGCGAAGCTGTTCCTGGACAGGAGGCGAGACCTTTTTGTAGGGGGCTGTGAAGAGACCGCAGCCTGACACCTTGGATGTAAACCAGTCGGCCTTGGCTAGACGAATGGTGAGGGGGATAAAGTATTCTTCGACTTGCTGGGGGTTAAGACCTTCGCAGATTTTGTTGAGAGACTCGACAGCCTGTGCTTTGGTCAGTATCTTGGGACAAGGTGGGACGGCGCGTTGCGGATGCCGGTCTCGGCGTTCGTACCTTGTCGCGCACGACGGGCTCCTCGATGGCGGCGAGATTTTCCAAAGGGGAGAGAATGACATGAGCCCACTGAGGACCACCGACGTACTCGGTGAAGCTACCAAGCTCCTCACTTAGAGCGACCAACACTTCGTCCTCATCCTCGACCGATTCTGGATGCAAAATGTTAGAGGTATTGAGCGGAAGCTAGAAAGGGAGCTGGAAGCTGGCGCGGGCGCGGGGAGGCTCACCATCAAGAAATGGAATCAGTTCCTCACGTGTGCGCTCGGGGCCAAGAGCTAGAGCGATGGTGGAGAGACGATGAATGGCATTGAGGCGGAGAAGAACGTCGTCATGCTTGGCCTAAAGTCAACAGAGGGGTCGCGAGGACGGGGGGTAAAAAACAGGAGCGGGCGGCGGGCCGTACCTTGAGCTCATCGATGAGGACGGCGATAGGGTAGAGCTCGTCGTTTGGGTTTGGCGCGTCAGCCATGGCGAATTATGATGGAAGCGGCGCGTCGCTCAAGCTGAGGGGGGGGGGGGATGATGCGTCGTCGTGAAGGTGTCGACGGTTGGACTGGCGGCTGCTGATGTGCGGTGGAGGAGAAGGTGGGCGGTGGATCGCGCGTGCCAAAGTGATGCAATTGGGCGAGCGGCGCAGGTCGGCGGCAGCGGGCAAATAAGAGGCAGAAAGGGGGTGCAGCGATATGTATAGCTTTACGAGATGGGCGGGAAAAAATCGTAGCAGCTTGATGGCGGAGCAAGCCACAGAACGGGACAAGGACGATGTGAATCTCAATGTTGTTTGTAGGCCAGGTCAAACTAGGTAGCTTTGCCCACGAGCGCAAGAGCACGAGCCTGCGGAGCAACAAGGGTGGCTTGTGCAGTGGTTGAGTGGGCAGTGACATTAGAAGTGGCTGCGTGACTGCCAAGTTCAACCTGGCCAGCCAGTTATGCAGGCCTCTATTTCAGTGATGAATGGCCCTGTATTTCTGGTCGACCAGACCAGCTGGCGCCCAAGCCCCTGTAACATGCATGCCAACAAACGCTGGCGGCTGGACCATCTATATTCCGATTTCGACCCCGCCGCCTGTTGGCTGGCCGGCTCCCGTTAGCGAGGTACTTTTCTTCTGCCGCACTTTCGTGCTAGATCTAGGTCCCTGTGGATCTGTCCGCCAGACTCATCCACACCCCTCCAGGTACCACACAAATTTCCTGTGACTCAATCGCTTGTGCGCAACGGGCTGCCGCAGACTTATCCCGACTTTACTGGCTGCACTGCTTGCTCGCATATCAAGCTCGACAATACCCATACACCCTTCCGGAGAGGTATTGAGGACGCGTTCTCACAATGCCGACCATCTCCGTTGACAAGTACAAGCTCTTTGAGGCCCTTGGTCGCAAGTATGCCGCCTCTAGCTACCCCTCGCTTCACCCCGCCACACAGAGCTAACTCGAGCGTTTTCTCTGCTTCGCAGGTACACTCGCGAAGAGTTCGAGGACCTCTGCTTCGACTATGGCATCGAGCTCGACGAGGATACCGAGGATGACGAGCGTCCCATTGTCGACGGCAAGCAGGAGCCGCCTCAGTTGAAGATTGAGATCCCCGCCAACCGATACGACATGCTTTGCTTCGAGGGCATCGCCCTCAACCTCAACATTTTCCTCGGCCGCACCCAGCCGCCCAACTTTCGCATCGTCGAGCCCAAGGACGCCGACCAGCAAGTCATTACAGTGCACCCCGATACCCTCAAGGTCCGTCCATACGTCGCCGGCGCCGTTCTCCGCAACATCAAATTCACCCCGGACCGCTATGACTCCTTCATTGCTCTGCAAGACAAGTTACACCAGAACCTGGCTCGCAACCGAACGCTCGTCTCCATGGGTACCCACGATTTTGACACCGTCAAGGGCCCATTTACCTACGAAGCCTTGCCGCCCAAGGATATCAAGTTCAAGCCCCTCAACCAGACCAAGGAGATGAACGCTGAGGAGCTCATGACTTTCTACGAGAACGATAAGCATTTAGGTCGCTTCCTGCATATCATCCGGGATGCGCCCGTTTACCCCGTCATTTACGATGCCAATCGCACAGTGTGCTCCCTGCCACCCATCATCAACGGCGAGCACTCCAAAATCACACTCGACACGTCAACCGTCTTCATTGAGATTACTGCCACCGACATGACCAAGCTTGGCATAGTTACCAACATGCTCGTCACCATGTTCTCCATGTACTGCGCTGAGCCTTTTACCGTGGAGCCCGTCAAGATTATCTCCGACCACAACAACCTTACCCGCGTGACACCCTCTCTCCAACCGCGCGAAACCACCGCCGAAGTCGACTACCTGAATAGCTGTACCGGCCTCGACAAGACTCCCCAGGAGCTCTGTGACCTCCTTACTAAGATGGCCTACGTATCAAAGCCGTCCAGCACGGATGCCAACCTCCTGGAAGTTGCTATACCCCCCACACGTGCCGACATTTTGCACCAGTGCGATATTATGGAAGACCTCGCTGTCTGCTACGGATATAACAACCTTCCCCGCACAAAGCCCAATCGCAGCGCCACCGTCGGCGGTCCCCTCCCCATTAACAAACTCAGCGATCTCGTGCGCATGGAGGCCGCAATGGCCGGCTGGTCCGAGGTCATGCCGCTTATCCTCTGCAGCCACGACGAGAATTTCGCCTGGCTGAACCGCAAGGACGATGGCAACACTGTTGTGCGCCTCGCCAATCCCAAGACGCTTGAATACCAGGTCGCCCGTTCCTCGCTGCTACCCGGGCTCCTCAAGACCATCAAGGAGAACAAGGGCCACAGCGTGCCCATGCGCATCTTCGAGGTTGCCGACGTTGTCTTCAAGGACGAGCGCGAGGAGCGCAAGGCCCGTAACGAGCGTCACTTCGCCGCCGCCTGGTGCGGCAAGACTTCGGGCTTCGAGGCCGTTCACGGCCTTCTCGACCGCGTCCTCCTCATGCTCCGAACCGCCTTTCTCACCGATGGCACTGACACCCCCGGTAACCCCGACGGCTACTGGATCGAGGAGCTCAACGAGGACACCTTCTTCCCCGGCCACGCTGCCGCTGTGCACCTGCGCCTCGGCGGCAAGGAGGCCCGCATCGGCGAGTTTGGCATCCTGCACCCTACCGTCCTGGAAAAGTTTGATTTGAGGTACATTGACCCACCCGCCCGTCGAAAGATTCCACTAATAATCCCCTGTTATAGATATGCCGTCAGCACTCTAGAGATCAATCTTGAGGCTTTCCTATAATCGACGAACATCAAAAATGGCAAGACCGTAACAAGAGAAAGGACAAAATGGTGAGAACGCATATTTCAAGCATTTGGAACGAGGGGGAACAAAGTGTAGCGCATTTAGAAGAGCTCGATCAAGAAAGACAAGAGCACAAAGTTTGTACCAGTGAGCAATGGCATCATACCGAGTAAAATATTTTCACCAGCAGAGAGCGAGACGTATTACCTTCAAAATTTCGGTCTTGTATTAGTTGCTCTATCGCTTGTACGTCATTCCACATCTATCTGCATGAAAACCCGCTCGCCTAGACGAACCTTTCATTGATGGAATTAAATGATTCCCATCGCATCACTGTCCCTAACTATTCTAACTATAGTTTCTGGATCTGCTGCTTCCGCATCACGCTCACCACATATTCTGGCCCGTGTGCTGCGCAAATCCCGTCGCCGAGCGCGGCCGCTGGCACGGCTCTGATGCCTCAATCATGTTGTCGCCTCGCACCGCCCTGGAGGACTCCATCTCCATCGCCGAAGAACGCATGAGTCCCACCACGGACTTGGACCGTTGCGGATACGCCGTGACGTGCACCGGCAGGGGCGGCGCGGGACCTTGCCATCGCACCAGCTCCCACGGGCTCTTGGCCGGGACGAAGATAGTGCCTGAGCTCATGCTGGATAAGGATCGTATAGAGGGTGAGCGATTCGGCCAATTGAGGTGGTATTTTGTATTTTCTGTATGTATAATGGCATAGGGCGGATGGTGGTCCGTTGGAAACATGACCTCCTATGTCATCTCCTGCATTTCTTGTTCGGGTTTGGCCTTGGCCAAGGGCGAGCCTGCCTGCTCTGCCGGCACCGCCGTTGAGAAGACACCTTTCTTGATGTTTATATTTGCGATGCCGTCGCGAATGGCGGCAAAGGCGCCTGCGCTTGAACCTGCGCTCCCCCCCACAGCTTCGGCGGAGGCACTGCGCCTCAGAGAGGGATCCGTAGGTGGCGTAAGAGTCTGGTGCGCAGTTTCTACCCCAGTCAATACCGATTGACTCGTCCCGAGACTCGGAGGCTTGGAGCTCGGCGAAGCAGTCCCCGAACCGTGTAGGCGGGAGATGGCTGCCTGTCGCTCGCTCTCACTCAGAGCGGTAGCGTCAAGGGCGGCGTTCATCTCATCGTCGGTACGGCCGAATACTTGATACCACCATCGAATATCATTGAGGTCTGGAAGGATAATTCGTTCCTTGCCTTTGACGTGGTCATCCACGGTGGGGTCATAAGTTGGATTGGTAAATTCTTGTTTTCGACATAGGAAGTAGTCCCAGACAGAGGAGGTCCGCTCCATAACCTTGGCATCGACGCGCTGCTTTTCCGAGTTGTACAGAAATGTACCATACTGGCAAGAATAAAGGTGGTATAGTAAGCGCCGTAAGAACCTCTCATTATACTCAAATCGGTCCTTGTGGTGCCGCATGAGTTGGTAGGTGCAGTCCAAGAACTGGTGAAAGACTGGGCTGACCATCTTTGGTGTAGTAGCCTCTTCATTGACTACTTTGCCGGACGCCGTTTCGCTAGCAGCGTCCGGCTCATCTTCGTCCTTGTTCTGGTTGAAGAAGCGTTTTGCGCCACTAAATACGTTTTGAAAAGCGTCGTTGCGGCCATCATTATCGCCCGGATGCACTTTGGTGCCAGCAAAGGCGTCGCGCTGCATCGTAAACCAATCCTCGTGATTCAAATGCCCCGAGCGCAGCCTAAACATGTGACCGAAAGATAACCAGTCTTTTTCGACAAGTACAATGAAGCCTTCCATTGTTCGGTAGTATGGATCGAGCATGATTTGTGAAAGCGCGCTCAGCTGACTTGTACGGTCCCAGCCATCAGAGCAGTGAATCAGCACGTGCGAGTGCTTGATACCGATCTGGCGAGTGATGAGGGCGGAACCAGCGAGGACGCTGTGTACGTGCTTGAGCCAGTTGCTTTGGTGCAGAATTTCTCTGTTTGGAGGTAAAGGAGAAATGTCGGCGTCTTTCAAGGCTTCGACCACCTTATTGAGGGAGTTGCGCATGACGTGGATATTCTCAATGCTAAGGAAAATCTTGGTCGCAAACTTGTACTTGTCCATGTTCTCTGAACCCATGCCTTGGACCTGGTTCAAAACGGCATTGATTGTTGGCCGAGCATCGACGATCAAGTTGCTTTGCTGGGCACCGTAGACAAGTCTCTTTCCAGTCTTATTGTCGTATATTGCCATAGACTGCGCAATCATGTCATCCTCGAACTTATCGGTTTCGGTCAGCTCTGGACCCGGGCTTGAGCCGGCACTCGATATATCTAGCTGACTAGACATGGGCGTACCGCCCTCCGAGCCCCCAGGCATAGATGCGGAGAATGACGCCGCGACTAGCTTTTCATCCTGCACATTTGTCTTTCTCGTAATCCCGGCCAACGGCTGAGAGCTTCTTGTAATTGTGCAGTTGTTGACAGGATGGATATATGACAGAGTCGGTATGCGGCATCTCGAGCGAAAATCCTTGGCGTATTTCAGGACATTATCCGATATCTTGGATGGCACAACCAAGAAGGCTGGATATGTATCGCAGAATGTGTAGTCTTTGTTGACGTGCGTTACTCTCCAACCCTTGTCAGGCAGCTTCTCGCTGATGCCCTGCCGCCGAAACTCGGCCTTTGGGTCATAAAAGTGCCAGCCATTGACCTCGCGCTCATTCTTGAGAGGCTTGTGCGAAAAGGCGAAAAGCCTCTCCACGGTACCAAGCTTGCAGGTCCGGACTTTGATAAACTCAAAGACCTCCCTGGCCGCTTCGCTGCTGGCAAAATTGAACGTGACAAAAGTAAAGTCCCGGCAGCGGATCCGGATCGAGGAAGCCTGTCTAGAGCCCGAGGGTGTCGGCCGGAAGGTGCAGTGACTAAAGATTGGATATGTGAGCCATCGCTCCCGCAGCTTCGGCGGCGCAGCGGGCGTCGTCTCGGACGAGTCGGCGGGAGGGTTAATGGGCGCGCAAAACACCAAGTGGTAGTCTGTCAGACGGAGAGTGCCGTTCGTCGTCTGGCCACCGTTGATGCCCTGGACATTATCGATGACCTGCCACAGTTAGAAGGCGGCGAGCATATGCTCAGCTGGAGAAGCTAACCTTTTTGGCTTCCATGCTGGCCAAGATGCGGGATACAGAAGACCCAAACAATTCGGCACACAACTTGAACCTCACTTTCTTTTTCAGACAGATGTTCGCAGAAGATAGAGACACGCCAGTGACCGCTCTTATTTGTTCTTGCTTAGATATAAGCTGGGACTCTGAGCTGCGCTGAATGCTGCGTCGCTGCGCCGAGGGTGCCGAGAGGGGTATAGATAATGCTCGAGATACTCGTCCCAAGTGAAGAGTATGTTAAAAGAAGAAGAATCCAAATACGGTTCTGTTTGATTACTAGGACAGCTCCAGCCGCCGCAGACGAGGTGTTGAGCGTCTGCAAGACAGTAAAGATGCGAGCTGTGTGGTGACGATGCTAGCTACTACAAAAGGTGATGGCGCGCGCGCATCAGGCAAGGCGGGGCAGAGGTACGTCAGGCGCAGAAACGGCTAGCCATGGTGGTGGCAAGATAGGTAACGGACATGGGGGAGCCAGGCTCAATGCTATTCTACAAAATGAGAATCCCCAGAGATAAAAGGCAGATTCTATTTCTCAAGAGCAAAATCTAACTTACACACGAAAGCTGTTGCAGACTAAACTGGCCCATCTAATTGTCGTCATTGGTAGGTACAAAAGCTTGACCCTTGCTTGTTCGCACTTATCCAGCCCCACCATCTCCGTCTGCCATCGGCTGCTCGGGGAAACTGATAATCCCCTGATCCTCCGCGAGCTCCACCCAGAGGGAAACCCGCAGCCGCGTCCAGACAGGTGCGCGGGCCAGCGATTAGGGCTCAACCCACACCAAAAAAAATATTCGTTGCGCTGGTGCGGGACGACAGGCGAAACCACCACTCGAGGCGGAGACCACCACCAAACGCCGTGCTCTGAATCCGCGATCCCACCTCTCGTCCACCTCGTCCCAACCGCCGCATATTCGTTTGAGTCGACAAACCGAATAACCCTCACCCCATCAATCAATATGGCTCATCCCGGTGCTCAGATGTGAGTATACTCTCCACGCCCTCGCTTTTGTGTGTCCGTTGCGCCAGACCCGCCGTCTCTCGAATTGGAAGTCCTTTGCTCTATACGCTTGCGCTGGTAGGAATACTGGATGGCAATGTGCCACCGTTATCTGTGTTCTCGACAACGAGGCAAAAAGCTCGAGATGACGAAGAGCTCTATACGATTGTACAACGACAGATCAAACTGCACCTAGCGACACGACGACCAATCCATGAGGGATGACGGAAGAATCTCAGACAACTAGGCACAACTCGACCCATGTCCAAATGCTAACTACCCACTTCACAGCTCCAAGAGGAGAAAGTTCGTCGCCGATGGCGTCTTTTACGCTGAGCTCAACGAGTTCTTCCAGCGCGAGCTCGCCGAGGAGGGCTACTCCGGCGTCGAGGTGCGCGTGACGCCGACCGTCACCGACATCATTATCCGGGCCACGCAGACGCAAGAGGTTCTCGGCGAGCAGGGCCGCCGCATCCGCGAGCTCACGTCGCTCATCCAGAAGCGCTTCAAGTTCCCCGAAAACTCCGTGTCCCTCTACGCCGCCAAGGTGCAGAACCGCGGTCTCTCCGCCGTCGCCCAGTGCGAGTCGCTCCGCTACAAGCTGCTCAACGGCCTCGCCGTCCGCCGCGCCTGCTACGGTGTGCTGCGCTTCATCATGGAGTCTGACGCCAAGGGTTGCGAGGTTGTCGTCTCTGGCAAGCTGCGCGCCGCCCGCGCCAAGAGCATGAAGTTCACCGACGGCTTCATGATCCACTCTGGCCAGCCCAAGAACGACTTCATCGACACCGCCACCCGCCACGTCCTGCTCCGCCAGGGTGTCCTCGGAATCAAGGTCAAGATCATGCGCGGCTCCGACCCCGAGGGCAAGGCCGGCCCCCAAAAGACCCTGCCCGACGCCGTTACCATCATCGACCCCAAGGAGGAGCAGCCCGTCCTTCAGCCCATGAGCCAGGACTACGGCGCCAAGGCCGCCGCTGCCGCTGCTGCCAGCCAGGACGCCCGCGTCGCCGAGGAGGCCGAGCCCGAGACGGCTGCTCAATAAATGCACGGCTAGGCGGTGACGGCTTAGCCCTTGCTTTCGTTAATGACTGGTATCACGGTTTTCTTTTTGATTTCTTTCAGAGTAGGGTGGAAGGCAAAATACAAAAGTCTTTGCTGCTGCAGTGGATGAAAGATGGCTAGTCTTTTTGGGCGTCAAAAGGTTTATAGTAAACCATTTGCATCTTGCAAGGTTTCATCTGTCATGTGATGATAATTCAAAGCATAGAGAAGAAATGAGACCCCATGAATCTAAACGGCACTCTTTTGTGTGTATGAGGACATGTCAAACTCTCAGTAATTGTCCGTGTACAGCCGCACCTTCGTGTTGCCCCCTCATCAGATTCACATTATTCAAAACACACATTGATAAAAAAAACAATGGTCGTGTAGCAAGTGGTTTGATTAGCCATCTGTCTACACTGCGAAAATCGCTAAATGCTCCCCCAGGCTCCATTTCCTGTACATATCAACAAAAATGCCATCAAGGCTGCTTTTCTGCGCTCGGCGCTCTCTGGTGGCGCCTGTACTCTTCTACCCATCCTTCATGTATGCAGGTGACGGCGAGACTTCAAATATCGTACAAGGAGATGGGAGCTTGCAAAGCCTCAGATCTTGGCATCAAGAAACCCTCCATTTGTCCTCCGCAAACAAAGCAAGGAAAACATAAAAGAACAAAACATACTAGTATAAAAAACGCCTTGGAATCAGTCCCTTTGCCTTGTCACTCCGTTTTCTTCTCATACGTTGACAAGCATAAACCCAACCATTTCGAGCATAGAAAAAAAATGGTCGAATCGTCTTCACGCCATTATAATAATGCTCCGAAAAACATGTCCTCTCCTCTTGTCATCGTCGCAATGAGACGAGTCCAAGTCCAACGCCTAGAGTAACCCAATCCCAGTCGACTCGGGCCTCAACAAGCAGAGCTCAACTGCAATCCGTTACCAAATAAAGAAATTTATGTCATCTGAATCGTGGATCGTGGAATATCTCGCAAGGCTCCAGCTTTATCTTCCCGATGATTTTCGGCTCTGAAGCTCGATGGTATCTTGTTCCTTGCTTCGGCTGCTACGGCCATTGGGCCGGCGGGAGCCCTCATCTTCGCTCTCCTCAGCCAGGTCGGCCAAACCAAAACCGGCCGCTTCTTCCTCATCGTACGCACGGATCAGACCGTCGCGATCACCATGGGCGCTGCCGATGCTGTGTCGCGAAGGATCTCCGCTGCGGCGAGCTTGCATACTGCGACGGGTCTGGAAGCTGGAAACAATATCGGTCGGAGTGGCGTCGTAACCGGAGTGTGAACCAACGAGTTTCTGACCGTTTGGATCGCCTCTTGATAGGTTAAGAAGGTATACACCAGTGAAGATGATCAAGAAGCCGCAAAGCAGCGAAACAGTGTTGACAGGATCGGTAGTATTGAACCCACTAAACAAGATGAAGGAGGCGCAAAGAGTGGCGGTTGTAAAGGTGACGTAGTAAAGGGGGTTGACACTAAAGTTGGGCGTTAGCCTATATGCAAAGACCGTCAAGTTGGCAGAGCGCCTACATGTTGCTGGGGAAGCAAGCCAGCGCCTTGTTAAAGTAGTTCATCTGGGTGACAATGCAAAGCGCAGTCAAAATCATGAAGACATAAGTTGAGGGGTGACTGAATTGGTTGCTGCCGGCAAAGGTAAGCTTGAGAGCGATACCGAAAGCCTTGGCGGACATGACGGAAATGGAGCCGACGGTCGAGCAGATTGAAAGATAGATGAGCGCATTCTTCTTGCCGTGGACGGGGGCAACTCGGTAGATCATAAAGATGGCAAAGGCGACAACGGCGATAGCGTAGAGGAGGAACCCTAGTGGGAGCTGTTAGAAATGATGTAAAATGTTGTTGCGACGCAGCGCATGACATACCAGGTTGCACAGCGTAGTGGAGTATCTGATCGATAGTCTCAATCTCCTCATCAGGCGGCGCATGTAAGACAATGACAACGGCGCCAATCAGGCAGATGGCGCTTCCTAGCTTGCCCAAAATACCGAGTTCCTCCTTGAGAAAGTAGGAGCCGAGAACAGCACCGATGAGAACCGAGAGGGCACCCAGAGGTGTGACTAGAATGGCTGGCGCAAAAGCGTAAGCTGCAAAGTTGCAAACTTCTCCGATGCCGACTGCAGAGAGTGTTAGTTTGGTAAATCGGCAGGCTGGACACGAGGTTGAGACGAACGAGTTGCAATGCCAGCCCACCAAAGAGGATTGCGCAGATAGACGTAGCCATCACCCTCAAAACCATGGAGTTCTCCCGCTTGTATCAAGCCCTGAATAGTATGTTAGTTGCTGAATCCAACGTGACGGAAGATGAAGGTTGCGATGCCGCCCGGACGCACCTTTTTGGTGATGACGAAGCTCGTGCCTAGTCGAGGGTTAGCGATTCACTGCGGCGCCTAGTCACTAAGTGAGATGAGCATACCAATTGCCAGAGCAGACGAAATGGCCAGGGACAGGCCGATATACCTAGAGCAGAGCGCATTAGTCGAGATGTGTCGCGAAAAGGTTGACGACCACGGACTTGTCTTCAATCATGTTGAACGCCCTTCAACCGAATGCTCAGCCACACAGCAAAAAACTGAAGAATGAATGTCGCAAAACAAGCGAATAGTCCTGTTTTGCCGCAATTCTGCTGGTACGACCGCCAAAGGCGTACGGTTTGGCCAGTTGATGAGAGAAAAGGCCGGCTGAATGAGCGGGAGAGACAATGCCGGAGTACGTTCAGCTGCAGTGACAATACGACGGCGTCGGGTTTAGTCTAATGGAGGAGCGCGGCGCATGCAACAGTGATGGCAAAATTCTAGAAATGTCGAGATCGTGAACGAGAAGCGTTTGGGAGCGACAAGCCGTGGCTTCGGAGTTTCTGTGCCGCGGTTCGTTTTCTGGGAGTCGTACCAGAGCGCGCGCGTAACTGTCGATTTGGGGGAGAAGCGTAAAACGAAAGGACCGGCAAGCAAACGAGGGAACTTGGTTATGGTTGAGAAGCACGCGCCAAGAGTTTTAAAGTCGGATGCAAAGACGAAAGAAAAGGAGGAAAAGATGCGCAGCTAACAAGGCGAGATGGATGGCGGCGTGGCGTGAAAATCAAACTCGGCTGGGATGCTTTGGGAAGCGGGAAGGAAGCAGAAGATGGAGTGGGAGTAGAAGAGACGGTGCGCGAGAAGCTTTGGTGGCTGAAGATGTGGCATGGACAGATGGTCTGATGGGGGAGGATGGAGATGCAAAGTGGAGAGGATTAGACGTTCTTCAGGGCACTTGGAGCACTGTTCCGGGGGATTTACCACTACATTGGTACCAAAGGTAAAGCGATTTAGGGTCGCTTAGAGGGCTCAGCCACTAAAAGAGCCACTGTAAGCCACTGAAGCACAGGCTCAGGCACATCTTATTAATAGTGGCTGCACGCCATAACCTTGCGCTGGACTGGCCCCATGGCTATTTGACTTTTTTTTAGGAGCCGAATAGTGTATATTAGAGAATATTATCCTTACTCGCTCCAATCCACGTCAAATGCAACTTGCCCTGAGCCCTGCCGACGGAAACATTGGCGTGGTCACGCCCTTGCCCAAGTATCCGGACCGCTCGACCCGCCGCGCAGGGCCCTCCGACTAGGCTTTCCGAGTCCGCCCCGTGTTGAGTGCTCGAGCTAATAATACTCAAGGCTACGAACGAGCAAAGTCCGAATTGCGGCGGCTGTGCATTCTCCAATGGGAGCAAAAACTCGCCAACAGAGGCCGTCTTTGGCCAGAAAAACTTTGTCTCTAAGAAAAAAAAATGGCGAAACATTGACAGGGTTGGAAAGATGGCATGGAGACGTCCGGACACGGTAACAAAAAGATGCCGCCCTGACAGCCCCCTTCCATCTACGTTCCACCGAAACACGATACCAATATCAATATTTCGGCATTGCAACTGCTCTGTAGTTAACTGATGGCTTCGTGATAGGGGGGGGGGGGGGTCGGCGGACAAGATGATGGACAAATATCCTTACCGCTGCCCCTAGACCCAAAAGCAACGCGCGTCACCAGAACCCCCGGCTCGGCGCCGCTAGGACTCTGTAGATCCGAAATATTGGCATTGTTCCTCTGCAGCTTTTTAGACTTGTCCCGCCCTTGTGACGGCCCAGCCTCTGAGCCTCTGACGTTGCTGTTTCAAACGAGCGCCAGCCCAGTTGCCCTCGACGACTTGCCCCCCTTGCTGCTCATCCTTACCACTGAGCTGCTATGCGCAAGGAAATCGACCAGTTCATCCCGTTCATAGCTCTTCGTCATGCAAAAAAATTCCAACGAGATGGTTCTTGACCAATTGAGAGAGTTTACAAACAAGTTCACCTTGGACCGTAGTCCAAGCCTAAGTGCGCCACCGCAGTCTTGGGCCGTTCCTGGCAGAGTCTCGAAGACAACAGATGGTCAATGAGCTCTGCTACCACGGATGCTTCGCCTTGGCTTGCGGACCTCAATCTAGTAAACCACTGAGATGCACCGAGAAGCCCCATTCTCCACACAGTTTCAAAATAGCCCTCCCCCTGAAGCCTGAAGTCCTACTCCATCAACTTGTAGCAGATCCACTTGAGACAGCCGAGGCCCCTAGCCGGCTAGTTAACAGCTGGAAAGCGAGGCTGATGAACGTCAGATTAAATAATTGATCATGATGAGGCCTAACACTCGAAGATTGCTACTCTGGTGTCTAGATCCTTGACCATTACGAACCTTGGCTAACTGGTTCTCCCTCAGTATATCAATCTTCTTGGCGACCAGCGCCACAAACAAGTACACAGGTAATATACATCGCAGTCGCTAATGCTTGCCTGGATTTGTCCAACTGTCGGCGAGACATGACCAAACACTCGCCAACTTCCATGGCCCAGAGGCCACTTCCCGTCTCTCTGCTCGTTGGTTGTACAGCATGATATAGATGCTCTTCCACGCGTCCTACGCGATAACAGGATCAACCGCCGATGCATCCACAAAGTCTCGTATCTGTTCGTAGTTGCGACACTTGTGGTGCACGTTGAAATCCGCCGTGCTGGTGTTGAGCGTCCCGTCCTGGGTCAACAGCAGCATCGGCGTCACGTCCCCAAAGCACATGAGCGACAGCCGCAGCGTCTCGACGCAATGGTCGACATGTGCGCGACCCTGGCTCTCGGAAACGTTCATCGGCTGGAGCTCTTCACCCCAGCCCTTGTCGTACATGTCCGTCGGCCAGGTCGCTTGGCGTATAATATTCTGCACGCATGGTATTAGAGAAATGCACGAATATCAGTAGCGTTGTAATCTCACGAGGCAATGCAGCTGATGAAACATTTCCACCAAAGCATAGTACTCTGGCTTTGCCGCCGTGCTTCTGTTGGTTTGCAGATACTTGCCATTGGTCTTATTTAGAGCAACTAGACCTTCCTTTGGCACTCCAACACCTTGATCTGCAAGCCTCGAGTTAGTGATGACGAGTGATTGTATCGATATCCATTCGACATACGATGCCACAGTTTGTCCCACGCTTGCTCCAACTCCATCGTTGGCGGACCACGATAGATGCTTTTTCGCTGAAACTCATTTTCAAAATTTCCTTCCCAGAAACTCAATGATGAAAGCGCAGGTGCTGTTTGGCAGATAGCAAAGATTAGCCATGACTAGAATAGTGTCGGCAACGAGTGGCAACTCGGTGAAGCCCCAAATAAGACTCACAATAAGAAGACGCGACTTTGGCACACTCTAGTTTCGACGACACACTCTTGGACCCCGACAGCCATAACACTACCGTAATCAAGAACAAACCCGCATTGGCCGCAACGAAAACCCAATCGTTCCTTGTCCGCGGCGCTAGAAACACAGACTTTTGCGGTGACGGTCGGCGATGGTGCACACCACCTTCGTCCACGTCGAGAGGCTCGTAGCGCGTGCTCCGGCCTGCCATCATCGAACGGCGCCACGGAACCTGTTCAAAGATCCGCGAGATTCAGATCTCGGATCAAATGTATCCCGATGCGGCCTGCGAGGTGACAAAAGACTTGGACCCGAGCGGTGAGACGGGACGGGCCAAGAAGGTGACAGATAATAATTACTAGTGATGGAATAGGCCATTGGCCCACACCCCCTGTTGCCCATAAGTTCTGCGTGTTAGTGTACGCGACTAATAGACGACGTCGGGACTCATGCAGCGCTTCTCTTGCATATATAAAGTTATGATGCAGCATGTTTCCTCTTGTACTTTCGTGACCTTGGCACCTTTACCATGTTGGAGGCCTATCACCTGTCGCGTATATACACCAGCACGTTGGGCATATATTGCCTGCCCCGCGGCCACTCAGAAGCCCAGCTTTACTCAGCTGCGTGTCAACCCAAAGCTTCCATGTCGCACACGTAGCATCTAGCTATCTCCCCCCCCCCCCCTTCTTTCGCACAGCACCACCGTGCAAACGGCCCCCTCTTTTATCGCTTTGACCCGCCTGTATATCCTTTGCCGACTGAAGCTTTCGAGATCACTCCAGACCCTAGAGCCCAGCGCCCATGTCACTCGAGCAGGCCGCCCGGGACCTCACCGAGGCCGTCAGCGGCATCGACTACGATGGCGCCGCCGTGCACCGCTGCCGCGTCGCCCTGCACGCCGGCATGGCGGCTGCCTCTGTTGACGAGCTCACCGCCGCGTTGCAGATTCTAGTAGACCGCATCGCCAGCGCGCGCGTCGACGACGCGGACGGCGTCGCGTTTGCCGCCCTCACAGCTGGCGCCCTCGTCGAAACAGGTGCCCCCGCGGGGCCCCTCGCCGCTGTGCTCCTCGTACAAGTGCCCCTTTTCCTCGCCGCCGCGCGGCGCTTCGCCGATACCTGCCTCGCGGACCTGCCCTCGGAAGACGACGACGAGGAGCAGCAGCAGCAGCAGCACCCTCCACCGCCCGAGGACCAGGTGCTCGCCGAGGTCGACGGCCGCCGCATCACACACTACGTCTTCCGAAGCCACGTGCCTTCGGATCGCGGCGGCGCCTCCGCCCTCGCCCTGCTGCAGCCATGGACGCTTCCCGCCGTGGCTGCGTTATCGCGCGACCGCGCCGCCCTGCGTGACGCCGCCGCCCCCGGCAGCCCCCTTCGCGACGCCGCCCTCGCCCTCGCGCAATCGCACGCACAGTGGCTCGCTATTCTACTGAGCGCTCAGCTCGATGCGCCCTGGCTGGTGCTATGCCCGCGCGAGAGGCGCGGCTTTCGCATGCTCGTCGACGGCGTCGTCAGCAACTACGACTTGCACGCGCTCATTGGTGACGTTCTCGTCGACAATGGCCTGTCCGCGCCGCGCAACCCGCCCACCCTCATCGCCTACATCAAGGGCGAGGCCCCGGCACGCGGCGACGTCGAGTCCGTAAGCGGCCAGTTTCAGTTTTACGAGTGGCCGGCCGCGGCGTACGACTGGGAGGATGCAGACGCCGCACACTCTGCGGGCCACCACGTCTGGGGCGAGGGTATCCCAAACGGCGTGCCGCGATTCAAGGATGTCCCCACGCTGATTGTCGGCCCGCAGACGGTTCAGCGCTCGTGGAACAACCCCAGGACGTTTGGAGGGCTGCGGTGCAATGTGAGTGTTACGGAGGAGCTCACCGAGAACGAGGTTACTTCTCTGCTGGCAGAGATGAAGGCGGCAGCTGCGCAATCAGATCGAAGGGAGATAGCGAAGGAGGGAGTTGATACAGAACCGTGACCATGATGTCCATGGACACGGGTAACACTTTTAGCAATATCATGCGGACATTGTGCCTCTCAAACAAAGTACCAGGTACTTGTAAATTAAGTCATGGGACAGAACATAGATGCTCGCCCAAGAGCCTATATAGGACCAAGTACGCAGAAGCCTTCGTCCTGTTCAACAGCGGAAGGTCCACTCTGACTCGTCCAACTACTGCAAGAAATCCGGCAGAGAATGAAACTGGGCTAGATCTCGCTTCAACAAAAAGCCAAGCCGCTAAATTCAAGATTACAAGTTCACCCAACACAGTCTTCCTGACTGTGCATGTTTTTCCTCCGCGCCGCAAGGACGGACAGCATCACCGGCTTTCCTGTCAAGTAGATGTATCCCGTCATGCACCCGACTGTTCAGAATAAGTAACCACTGCGTATAATGTCCTCCGAATAGCAAACTACTGAGCGGCATTGCAGTCAAACTGCTGTAAAAGGGGTGGGGTATAGAAAAGAGGGAAATGAGAATATTACTGTTGTCGTGTCGTGATGTTGATGAGAAAACAGAGAAGCTGTTATCCTCTGGGTTAGTAGGCCGACCGGCCCATTCACTTTACCTGTTGCTTTCCATCTTGGTTGAACATCCGCAATTTTTAGAAGATGGATAAATGTAGCCTTCGATATGGCTCGGCGCTGCTCCGCTCCGGCTTGTTCAAGGCGCGTCGAATAAGCAGTCAGAGGCGATATCTTGTCGGATTGCTGTTGGTTAGTAAAAGAGACGTAGATCAAGGTCGTCGGCGCTTGAAGTCTGGCTGAAAGTTAGCAAGCGCTCAAGTGAGAGTGGGCAAAATGCCGTGGTTTCTTACCAATTTCGTCATCCACATCAGGTTCATCGTTGTCATCACGCGACCGCTTGCCGGTTACTGAACCCCCATCGCCAACTAATTCACTCTCGTCGTCTCGCCAGTCAATTTCGGCATCTTCGTTAGCCTCGGCAACAAACACAGGACCATCGGCTTCGGCGTCGACAGCAGTTTCATCATCAGCGAGAGCAGTGCCCTCAGCGTCACCTTGAAGTGTGCTAGTCGTACTGCTGTGTTCATGAGCAAAGTTGTCGTCATGCTCATCTGCTTCAGGCTTTTCCGCCGAATCTGCGTTCGCAATGGCTGAGCTATCCCCATGCAAAGGTTCACTGGCCTGTGGGAAGGCCTCGTCGAAGTATTCAATCCCACCATGGTCATCATCTGCAGGATCTTCTTGGTATTCCTCGCCGGGCTCTCCGGCGTCTTCTGCAGTACCCTCTTCATGGCGACGATCGTGGTATTCATCCTGGTGTTCATCCTGGTGTTCATCCTGGTGTTCATCCTGGTGTTCATCCTGGTGTTCATCATAGTGTACATCCTGGTATTCTCCATGGTGTACATCCTGGTATTCATGGTCACCATGGTGGTCATCATGGTGGTCATCAATCTCGCCATGCGCATCTGAGTGCTCATGCCCATATTCTTCTTCGCTCCATTCCTCAGGGTGTTCGCTAGATACCGCACTGTCATCCGCAGGGTCGACATCGCTATTGTCACGGAGCGATTGCTGAGAAAAGATATGCTGAATCTCCCCTAGGCCTTTGCCCGACGTAGCACTTTCCACAAGAAAGTTGTATCTTCTCGCGCTGTTGAGCCTTGTGAACAGATAGGTATACAACGTTCGGCGGCCATCGGGGTCTTCATTCTTGATGAGCAACTCAAACACCTCCAAAATCTGACGCATCGTCAGACTAAAAGGGTTTGACTAATACTGTGTTAGCTCTGCCAGATATGTCTATCGACTGCTGCTTACCTCTGTGAATTCCAACCCGAGCTCATCAATTTGCAGGACCAGCTCATCTTCTGGTTTTACTTCGTGCTTCAACTGTGAACGAAACCCACGAAAGACGTTTTGCATGCTAGCATCGAGGATGGAAGAGTCGGAGAAAAATCCTTCACTACCAGATGCCAAAAATGGGAATTCATCTCCTTGATATTGCACTGTGATGGATGGAAATTGGAGATCCTTGTTCTCGATTTGGAAATCACCAATCGAGTCCATGGTGTGCCATGTAGACGCATTCTCCAGTGTTTGCAACTCGTCTTGACGGTGGTCTCGGCTTTCCGTCTCATCAGCCTCGACGATCGCTTGCTCACTCGGGTCAGCCAGTTGAATGACATGTGCTTGTAGCAAGTGCTGTTCCTCCGCGTCATTTCCTTCCTTTGCAACCTCGTCCAGAGCGTTATCAGCCACCTCATCCTCCCAACTGATCTCAGCCTTGTCTTCCAGAACACCCACTGCCGTAATTTCGGTAGCATCCGGAGCATCTTCTGCAAACACTTCTTCGTGCGTATTCTCGATAGGCTCTGCAGTATAGACCACCTCTCCGAGGCTATAGTCAATTTCATCCGCAACATTTTCCGTCAAAGCGTCGAGTGCGGTTTCGGCAGCGTCGGCCTCGAGTGGCAGATCAGTCTCAGCGGCCTGTTCTGTGTGATTTTGCTCATCGGTATCTTCTCCATTCGCGAAGTCAGAAATCTCTACTGTTTGGTCCATGGTCTGACTCTGGGAGACACCATTGGTGGTTTCGTGACTACTCTGTAAGGTAGGCTCTGCGTTTGCACGCGCATCTGCAGAGGCTTCTGGAACAGCTCCATCGCCAAGGTCTTGGCCAAGGTCTTGCTCTGCAGCAAGCGAGTAATCGCCCGCATCGCTTTCGTAGTTGATCAGGTCATCATCCATGGGCACCTCAAGAGAGCGCTGTTGATACGCGTCGACGTCCATGTCGACGTCCGTCATATGGAACGAGGAGCACAAAACCTGCCGTTTGAGTATCCGTGATACTTGATATATCGTGCCGGGCCGTTTGGTTTCCAGGAATGCAGGAGCTGCGATGCGCTGAACAAAAGCTTGCCTCGAGATGGTCTGGGCGTAGATGCGTTGCGTGGCGGGACGCGTTTGGCAGGCCCTGCTAGATAACAAAGGGAATTCGAGCTATGCGTCGGGTATGACGATCACGAGGATAATTTTCGGCAACCGGTTGTACATCTGATGTTCGTTTAACTGTTGAGTAGAAACAAGAGCAATACCTGGAACGGTGACGTCGTGAAAAGATGGGAATGAGGAGACTCTCTAAACTGGCCAATATCTTGTTTGTAGCGGCTTTTGCCCAAAGGCTCTCTCACAATGCGGCAAAGCGCTGCCTGGGGCTGGTCCAGGGGCTCCACCGCCCGGCCCAAAATAGCTAGCATGGCAGAATCTCCTTTGGTTGCTGCCACCTTTGCGCGCCATGATACCCCCACTTTCGCACACCTGGCGTAATATTGGCCAGCTCCTGGATTGAGCGTGGGCATACTGATCCCTCCAACCGGTCGCCATTGAACATTTCTAACTACAACCAGACTTCCGGAACGATACTTCAAGATGGTGCGTCTCTTTGACAATGACATTTTGCCTGCTGCATAACTGACCCCCATATAGGTGGTCCTCGCAGCTTCGATCTGTACCCGTGGAGGGAAAGCTGTCCTCTCGAGGCAGTTCCGTGACATGCCACGATCGAGAATAGAGGCACTCTTGGCGTCGCTTCCCAAACTTGCGGATAGCGGCACGCAGCATACTACCATCGAGCAGGACAACGTGCGATTTGTTTACCAACCATTGGACGAGCTCTACATGGTGCTCATAACTAACCGCCAATCCAACATCTTGCAAGACATCGACTCGCTTCACCTGTTTGCTCAGGTTGTGGCCAGCGCCTGCCGAACCCTTGATGAGAGAGAGATTCTCCGAAATGCATACGAACTACTCAGCGCCTTCGACGAGATCGTCACCCTCGGCTACCGCGAAAACCTGACCATCACCCAGATCAGGACATTCCTCGAAATGGAGAGTCACGAGGAGCGCGTCCAGGAAATCATTGCTAGAGTACGTAACTCCTGCTGACGCCCACGGTGCGAGACCAGATGCTGACGAACAATGTTCTGTAGAACAAGGAGCTCGAGGCCACCGAAGAGCGCAAGCGCAAGGCCAAGCAGCTCGAGATGCAGCGCAAAGATGCAGCTCGCCTCGGCGCCTCCCGCACCAGTGTACCGCGCACCCCTACCTACCAGTCATACCAATCTCCTTCATCGAATACCGCAAACTCCTACGACTCTTACGAGGCTGAGAAGAACAAGACATATACCAAGTGCGTAGCAATCAGCTGCCGACTCCGAACCGTAAGGCTAACATGAGAACAGAGCGTCCGCTCCTAAAGGTAAGGGTATGCAGCTTGGGAAGAAGTCGAAGACTACCGACATGTTCGAGCGCGTACGTGGGGATATGGGCGGCGAGATTGATGATACGCCTTTGGTGGCACCTTCACCTGCTGCCGCCGCTGCGCCTGCTGAACCCCGTACCTCTTCCTCCATGGACCGCGACGCCATTCATGTCACCGTTTCCGAGTCTATCAATGCCAATTTGTCTCGCGAAGGCGCTGTTCAGTCACTCGCCGTTACCGGCGACTTGACATTGCGAGTTTCAGACGCTAGCATGACCAAGATTAAGCTGGCGTTGCAGGCTGTGCCTTCTCACGGCGCTCAGTTCCGCACACACCCCAATGTCGACCGCAACATCTTCAACACCTCTAAGGTCATTCAAATGAGCAACACGGCTCGAGGATTCCCCGTCAACAATGCCGTCGGTGTCTTGCGCTGGAGAGCTACCCCAAAGACCGACGACCCCTCGACCTGTCCCATCACTTTCACCGTCTGGATCAACAAGGACTCGTCCAAGTTTAACATTACTGTTGAATACGAGCTCACTGGCGGCGATTCTCTCCGCGATGTCAGTGTCATCATACCGTACCAGGGTAGCGAACCTGTGGTCTCTAGTTTTGACGCCTCTTACGAAGTCGCTGGCGATATGCTGGAGTGGAACATTGGCTCTGTTGACGATGAGAACCCTAGTGGTGCCTTTGAGTTCGAGGCCGAGACTGCTGATGAAAACGATTTCTTCCCCATGCACGTCAAATTTAGTAAAACTACTCCATACATCGATGTTGATGTAAGTAACTCCCGATGAGGGTCCTTGCTTGAACTACTACTGACATTCACTAGGTTACCTCTGTTTCTTTGATTGATGAGAACGAGGAAGTAACGTTTTCCAAGGAGATCAAGTCAAACGCGGACAATTTCGCTATTGAGTAGACTGCTACTATAGGACAGAGGTGCTGAAACACGCTGTTGTGTAGGGAGTACGGGGCAAGCAGCTGCTGTAGAGGCATGCTTTTGGGATTTAGACACTAATGGCGCAATGAATATCGAAACGATCCACTCGACGTTATCTATGCGCGTTTTTGATTCGAAAGGTGTTAATAAAATCATGAGGAAATCTGTCTCAATCCGCGGTTGGCCAACTACTATCGCTTTGTCGTTTGATGCAGCTAGCAATGACACGCTCTGCTGTTGCTGCCTTGTACCGAACATACAGGCGAAGTCATTTGCAACTGATCTCCAGTATCTACTTCTTGGCCTCTAAACATTAACGTTCTTTACGAAATACTGTAATCAGACTGGTGTCTGGCGCGGACTGGGATGTGATTAAAGATGCAACCGCCGTAGTCCAGAATCGAAAGTTGAACCAACATGCAAGGATCATCACACTAATACACGCAACCCCAGATACGTAGATGAAATAATCTACTCATGTGTCGAAAAGAAATTGAAGAATCAAACCACCATCATTAATCGTTCTCCTGTCATTGGTTTCTGCATACCAATTTTTGTATTATTTTCCATTGTCGATTATCTGCCACCGTAAAACCAAATCGCCGCTCGCTAGCCCACATCACTGCAGGTGGGCGTCGAAGCTTGTCCGTGACACCCACTTCAACGGCATCAAGCGCGACACCAGAGTCCACCACTACAGCCCGTCAACACCGACGCTAAAACACAGGCAAACATTTTTGTTGGTCAATGGGGGTATCAGCTTTCTCAAAGACGCCATTGACTCCAGTATCTGGCCAAAAAAGGGCACGTCATGGCCGGCGACGCGTCGTTGCGCCTGCTGAGCGAGGCCGAGTTTGGATTCAAGGCGCCAAATGGGTTTCCCGTCAGCTGTCCCACTCTCGATCTGTCGACAACCTGGGACGGCGAGGACAAGACTCTGTTCATATACCGCCCCCCAAACCAGGCCGTTTCCAAGATTCACCAGATCGGGTCGCCTGGCAGTAAGACCCCAGATGCCCTGGTAGCGACATGGAAGCCAGACGGTAAGCTAGACATTCTACGCCGAACCGGCGTGTCTTATGCTGAGTATCCGTCTGTCGAGCTAACAAATGTGAAATAGGCCAGTTCCTCGCTGTAGGCTGGAGCGATGGGGCAGTTCGAATCATGGGCTTGGAGAACAACAAGGCGGTGCACCAGATGCAGCTCTGTAACGATGATGCAGCCAAGATTACGCATATCGCTTGGGCTACCAGCAACATCACCAAGAGACTGGGAAAGAAAGTCTCGGGATCGGGCGAGCAGCTGCTGGATGAATTGGACTTCGGTCACGGCTCGGGTATCTTGGACCTTCCACAGGAGCTGACCTTTCTCGAGGTGGACACTGCACTTCCCAAGATCAGCCCCCTGCCCACTGCCAGCGCTGGATCAGGGTGAGTACGGATGTATGTCATTTCAACCAGTGGTTACTGATCTGTTGGCTAGCGATGATGCTACAGTCTTTACACTGCGGACAGGAATCGAGTTCCTGTTCCAAACACCCAAACGCTCAGAATATGACCAAGTCAACGTCATGGTTGTCGGCACAAGTGATGGACAACTGCACCTCAGCATATACGACTCCTTTGTGATAGGAATCTTCCCCCCTCCCAGTCTCGGCGCGCTTCTTGCCCCTCGTCTCGTCTATCACGCAGCATGCCCGACAGTGTCTACACAGGCCCTGTTCATGGCGGACGATACGACTAACCCCGCCGAGCTACATATTGTCCCCATGGATCTGCCATTTATCTCTTCTTCGCCTATCAATCTATCACTGTTGGCATCAAAGCTCACGACACTGCAGACTCTGCTGCGTTATCTTAAGCAAACCCAGCTGCACATGCTAACCGAGTGGAAGAACGCAAGGGAGCTCCCGACCAGGTTTCTGCGAAGTATCCAGAGCGATCTAGCGGAATCACAAAGCGGCCCCAAAAATATTGTTGCCGCTTTATACCACACCGCTGTCATGGGTCATGCACACGAGCCGTTGCGCGAATGGCTGGTGGACAGTCTTGCAGAGAGGGTATGTATTAGGGCCTGCTATCAAGCACATATTGCTTTGCTAACCAGAAATGCAGGGACATAAGAGATGGGACAAGGCTGTGACCAGTGGTCTCGAAGGACTTCGAAATCTTGTCCATGAGAACTTTCTCCCCGGCCTCGAACGCTGCTCGGTCATCCTCAGCCGCCTCCGCGGCTTCGCCCAGTTCTACGACACGCGCGATGACATTGGTTTCAGCACGATGCAGATCAGCCGCGTGCTCGACATCATCAGCTGTCTCAGCCTCGTTGGGAACAAGATTCTTCTGCACACCATGGACGAGCTCGAGCACTTTGCCGCGTTTTCCGGCTGGTTGCGCTTTCAGATTGACCGCCTCGCCTCCCCCAGCGCCGCCGCAACCGCCGACGAGCTCACCGAAAAGGAGGCTACCATGGACACGTCGCGCGTGCTGACCTACATTGAGCGCTACCTGACGGGCAGCCCGCTCGACGCCTTTTTCGACGCAGTCGCCAGCGAGGACTACGAGGCCGACTGGGCCCATGCGGAGGACGGGCCGGAAAGCCTGCTGCACGTCCTCGACGGGCAGCTCAAAAAGGCCGAGGTGGGCCAGTCGGCAATGAAGGCGCTTCCGCATGTGGATTTCTTGGTGGATTATGCAACCACGTGGACGGGCCGCATCTTCAAGGACATTGCCGACGCAAAGAAACGCAGTGTCCGCTTTGGCGTCCCGATGAGATTGAGGATTGGCGGGCCGATACACAGGATGGACGCAAAGATGGCGGAGGCTCCTGGCAATGCTGGCGGGATATTGTACACTGCGCTCGCTTCCAAGGAAGCGGCCAACAAAGGCAAGAGAAATGATTTCATTACTTTGTATTAGTGGCTAACTCAGACATGCAGTCTTTATATTCAGGGCTGAGTTGAGCATAGTTAATGGCATCAGCTCAAACAAGAGCCTGTCGTGGCGCTGCATCGATCTAGGCGAATCAACCCTCATCGACCTCCGCTTCCTCGACGCAACGACAATCGTACTTCTTTGCACTGGCGCAGGTGACTAAACAACCTTCATCTACATTTTCCTTTTCCCTTTTCCCCACTTGCTAATATGCAGCTGTAGATCCGAGCCACCCCGCCATCTTTACAGTCCCTGTCCAAGCAGACGCTGCGCTGTACGAGCCTTACGCCGAGGATGCGTCGCCAGTCTCCATTGCCGGCATGCCGCTCGACGCAGCAGGATGCACGGCGTACCGGCTGCCGGCCACATGTACTATGCGCCCCGTTCGGATGGAGGTGCACAGTGGGCATGCTGTGAGGGGGCAAGTCCCAGCACGCATCTGCTTACTGGCCAGCAACAGAACGACCTGGCGCACCTTTCCTCTTGACAAGGAGAACATCGCTACATAGAGAGATCCCTAGCATCTTGCATCCTGCGCTTACCATGGCATATAATAACTTGTAATGTGAGCTTGAATGATTATAATTTCCTTAGATATCATTACGATGATGCCTTGACGTCGCTACGGGCCCTGAGTTTTGGGCTTTGTGATTTTAAAAAATTCCGTGACGCCTTCGACGACCGTCTCGACATTCATATTCACCAGCGGCATCTTCTCATACGAGTCGTCCGTCATAATCGCCACCAGGGCGAGGTACCTGTCCACCTCGCGCAGCATAATGGGCTTGTTGCTGTCGTGCAGCACGAGGCAGCTCTCGGCCGTCGCGCATCCAATCTGATCCTCAAGCTTCATGTTGAGCGGCTCGCCCTCGAGCTTCTTACGACTCTCGTCGCTGCGCTGCCAGGTGCCGTAAACCTCGGTAATGTCGATGATGACGTCAATGTAGTCGCTGCAAATTTCGTAGCTTGCCATGTCGGCCGTCGAGCTGTCAGTGGCAATGTAAATCTTGGACATGACGTCAAACAGGTATGCCTTTTCGAAGCGACATGTGCGGCACAAGTTTGTCAGCATGGCTTCAAGCGTGCCTAGCCGCGGGATGAGCTTCTGAATGACTTTGCTAAAGGCCTCAAAGATGGAGTGGTTGTAGATGGAGGTAAGGTGAAAAGTGACGGGCGCGTTTTCGAAGCCGTGGTCCGACAGTTCGTCTTGAATGCGGATAGTTATGTCGCGTTGGATATCGAGCTTGTAGTCGTCTGATAGCCCATCTACTTTGTGAATAAACACCTCGATGTTGATGTTGGGGTAGTTTCCTTGCAGAGCCAATATTGTGGTGTTTAGACGTGCAACTGCCTCCAAATAGTCATCTTGGGCATCAATTACCCAGATTAAAGCCCCGATCTCACCGAAAATGGCCTCCATATCAAAATTTGGCGTCTCAAAGACGTCAATTTGTCCAGGAAAGTCCCATACTTGAAATTCCATGAATGATCTAGAACCATTAGCAAACTACCTATGTGACGATGAAGTCGCATCAAGACTCACGCCATCGAGTCTTTCTGTATTCTTGCCGTAGACTCTAGGAATAATGTCTCATTTGGTGGAAGCTTGTGAAATACGACGCTGGAGATTGAAGACTTTCCGCTCCTGCTTTAGCGTCAGCATAAACGCCGTCGACTGCTTCAAGTGTAGACAAGTACGGACCTTCGCTGACCCATGAGCAGCAGGCGGGGTTTCCCCTTTGCAGGGATACCAGAGATGATATCTCCCCTAAGGTCATCCTTTTTTGATGTAGTGCCGGAGGCCTGATCGTGGATTCGCTGAAGGGTTAGCTGTGCTGTGGTCATATGGTGTGTGTCCGAGGCTGGGATTGGGGCCGCTGTTGCGACGCTGGATCTGCGGGGGGGTTTCCTGCGTAGAGCAAGGCTGAGGGAATGCACGCAGCGCTTGCAGCGAAGAAGAAGGGAGTGTATAGGGGACATTATGATCGGTGGGAGACAAGAACGAATGAAACACCGGTGTGATGAGAGCAAAGCGACAAGAGAAGCTGATGCCGATGCTGGGACAAGAAGGGAGGGAAGGCGAGCGAGGCGCGCATGGGCTTGAATATAGTCGGAGATGATGATTGAGCCACCGTTCTGAACCCTGGAGAGTATCGATGTATTGAACGACGAGGTTTGTAGCACAAGAGGCCAAAGAGGCCATAATTTGTGCGATGGCTGACGGCTGCGACCGCTGAGCTTGGCGATGCGCTGCCCCCCGCGATACTTGGACCCTTGCAACAAAGACCAAGGAATAAAGAAGCATGATAGATTGGATGCGTGTACGACAAGCTAGGGAATGACGAGTTGAGAGCCGGGTCTGCAGACTTGATGCCGTTACGGGGGTATGTTTGTGATTGGAGCCCTCAGCCGTGCGTCACGTCGTAACCAGGCACCCGACAATGGCCAAGCTTGCTCGCGTATATCGGGCGTGGGGGCCAGCAATACAAATGAAAGAAAAATTGCATACCTCCATTGAATGAAACCGGAGTGGGTGACGGTGACGGAAAGGATATCGGCGTCGTCAAAGTAAAGCTCGAAGGTTATGGACAAAGACCAGACGACAAAGAACAAGCTCAGCCAGCGGCCAGAAGAAAGCCAGAGGCACGGTGCGAAAGCGAGAGGGGCCCAGGCGAGACAGAGATGTTGCTGTTTCTCCCTCATGCAACGAGTCGATCAAGTTGCTAGTGAGATATTTTCTTTTTGCGTTTCAAGACAGAGAAACCCGAGTGCCGTGATGATGAAAGTCGGACGTGGAGAAGTTGCAGCGTTGAGATTGGAGAGACGGGCCTTCTGTCAAGTGGGTCAGTGCTGATTTCAGCGCGGAGCTGGTGGTGGTGGTGGTGCGCAACCAGACTGTGCACGACAAACAGTACGGCAATGTAACATGGAATCATCCGTTGAAGCGAAGCCGAGTAAGAGGACGCGAGATCCGAGAGCTCAATGATATTATCATTCCGATACAACAGGGCTACAAATCAAAACGAAAAGCATTCATTACACAAACGGGCTATTCAGCACGCCAAAACAAGCCACTGCGCCGCCGAAAAAAACGTCAAGAAGCACACAATCGCAGTGTCTGGGCCAATATACAACCGGTTACTGTCCAATTTTAATGATGAGTCCCCTGGTTGATGCGACGGAGCAGGACAGCTTCGTAGCCGGCAACACCAATGATGAACGCCTCAACAGGCACTAGCAGCGTGGCCAGTGTAAGAGCCGCCTTGCTCTCCCTGCAGACGGCGTCAAAATGCGGGCGCGTATCCATGGGCACGCCGCTCCAGCGGCAACTCCAACTCTGGATCGAATCAACTTTTGTCGATGCATTGACTGCATAGAAGATGGACATGGCCACCAGAGCACCGATGAGGCCGACCGTGGGAGCAGCGACAGACACGGATGAGCGGGCAACGTAGCGGGAGCCGATCTAGTACAATCATCAGCAAGATGATAGGGGAAGGAAAAGAACGCGGCGTTGCTCGACAGACAAGCTACTTACAAAAGACACCTTGCTCATAGCGAGCGCCAGGCCATTGGCGATGAGCACAATGACACCGCAGGCAATCAACGAGTTGACAGGCCGGACATCAAACTCCTTGGGCCACAGCTGCAGCATGTAGTCTGCAGGGAGCGATGTGGCCCTGTAAACAGCGAGGGTATCGGCACCAAGACCGAGGACTGCGGCGCCGGCGGCCAGTGCCACCACTGTGAGTCCGACGCGGAGGGTGTCGACTGCGCCAATCTTGGGCGCGGTGTGTCGATGCTCTGCTTCGACCTCAAAGTCGGAAGAGGAGATTTCATTCTTGAGCTGCGACATTTTGATCAAAAGGATGCAACGCCAAAGGAATGTCGAGTTGTGCAGAAATGATACTCGGAAAGAAAGAAGGATGGAAGAAGAAGAGAATATCTAGCTTTGAAAGAGGGTATTCCCAAGTTCAAGTATTCGGCTCTTGCCGCCGACTGTCCCAAATGCCAGCGGAAGCTCGCATGGCGGCGCTGTTGAGTCACCCATTCACGATGCAGGATGGGCGCCATAGAGACCAGCACTCACCGGTAATCCATCTCTGGCGCTACACAGCGTACCGTTGGGGGAACGAAAGAAAGACAATGTGCTGTACTTAGTTCATTGGCTGACCATGGCCAGCCTCCCCCAAAATGGTGTTCAGATGGGCGCTTAATTTCGGAGAAACTGCCTGCTCTCAGCCAATCAGGTCGACGATTCTGAGATCGTCAGTGACGGCGCTTCCAGCTCAACCCAGGTAGTCGATTTCCTTTGTTGTGTTCTCGGCAGATGGTTTCGACAACTATTTGGAGATTGTTTCTAAATTTATTGTGTTGCTGTTCCGGCAGTCATTCAGGCCCTCCTGAGCTCCCGAAGCTAACCATACCAACGAAGCAGCCAAGGTTCCGAGCCACCTGACAGTCTGCAAATCCTTTTTCTCCTTTTTCTTTTTTTTCTTTTCTTTTTTTCCCCCCCATCGAGCGCCTTGCAGACTGCGTCATGGATAGGCCGGTGAAATCTGTTTCCTGGGCCCACTTGCGGATAATGAGTTTTTAGAGTTTATTTTTACCTCGTGATTCAAGATACGATCGTGAAACCCCATGTGCGACGCCCGGGGTAGCCCCAGCTCGATGGGGTCAAGGCGTCCGCGTTTCGGCCACTAAACTCTACCCATCAACGCGCCCGATCGAGTTGAGAAACTAGAGAGCGCTCGAGGAAAAAAAAACTCCAAACATGACTCTTTGAAACAAATTTCTTCTCATACAGAGTCAAGACATGCCCGCAACGATACACCCAAGGGGAAGAGGGGAGGGGTACCTTGCTGAGTAGCAACTAAAGCCGTTTTGCTTATCATGGCGTCCGGAAACCGTTTCAAAATGAGCTTTATCGGGAGGATTTGCATTTCCATCGACTCGCATAATAATATAGCGATCCAAAGCCATATTTGAGCGCGCCCGTGAAAGTATATTAATCTTGTTTCTGCCGCATCTCGTCCTTGAAAAGGGAAATGCCAGTAGCTGAACTTACACTGTCGAAATTATGAGTATCATTGTCAATAAAAGGCATGTGAATGAGCCGGTTCACCTGGTGCTTGATGCTAATACTGACCAGAGGGATATCGAAAGCCCCAGACACTCAACACGAGCTTGAAGCGCATCGAGAACCCCGGAAGAGTAGTCCGAGTTCCGTCCGCGACGTTGCGATTGTAGCGCGGGAAGACATCATGTCGGAAGCATCACGCAGAAACATTCCAACCGCGACCGGCGAATACACCAGTGAGGATGTTGACATCTTGACTGCTGCACTACACACCCCGCCGCCCGCCACCTCGCCATCACCAAACATTGCCTTCCACGATAAGATATTCATTACTATAGTCGGACCGCCACCCGCACTGCAGCCGTCATTTACACAGGCACCCTCGACGACGCCATCCTCGTCAAGCACCACACCTCGCGCGCATTCATCGTCAACCTCGCAAAGCAGAACGGCTCAACAGCCCGATGCCACCAGTACCGGTCGGTCCAGCAACCAGTCCACGAGCTCTTCAGCAACCGAGACCGCCGTGCAGCCCGTCACCTCGTCGATACAGCCCTCGCAAAGCCCCGACAAGCAACCAGACTCGGCGCCGACGCCAGTGTCGGCCTCGGGCGGGCTGAGCCGCGGCGCCGAGGCCGGCATCGTCGTTGGAATTCTCGGTACGTTCGGGCGCCATGTCCCTCCCCCACTCTTTGGACCGTCTTCGTGCTGTAGACTAACAACTTTGGAAAACACGCAGCTCTGGTGGTTGTTTTGCTTGGTGCCGTCACGATTTACTACTACAAGCGCAGGCCGCTGTCCAAGAACAACATCTTCACCAGCAGGAACAAGAATCTGGTGCCGCAGAGAGCCATTTCGCGGCCGTATCCGCTGGACATGTCGTCGGTGAGTCCTATGCGACAGGCGCCGTCCATCACACCAAGGCCGCCGCCTGCGGTTCCCGCATCCTCCGCGGCGGGGAGGTCGTACGCGCCGTCGGACAGGCCGCTGCCGCCAATTCCCTCGCGACAGTCGCGCATTGGCAGGAGTTCAAGCTCATACAGCCGGCTGCCATGACCGGGAGACGAGTAGGGAATCATGACGTCTGACTCACCTGGTGTGGCCTGGTAGAAGATGTTAACAATAGATGAATTCAATGACACAGTATTTCAAAGTCACATGCTCGGGCCACATGAAAAAACATTCATATCAAGACAGAAATCCGGGGCATCAGGAGTATACAGTCGCAGCCTTGCTATTTCTGCGCATGCCTCTCTCCGAAAAGTTCATTCATAAGTCTTGGTCCTTTTGTGCTCTCGTGAGCATTTGCCTGCGGCAGCAACTTGTTTCTCAACGACTGGCCGGCTGCCCGCAGAGGGGTCCTTCGGCCACTTTCTCTTGTGACTAAGGTTTTCGCCTCTAGAGCCGTCAATAGGCTCAATCTCCCCTCCATTTGCCTGCACTTTTCCACCAGCATCGCAGTGGGCAATAACGGTAGCTTTATTCGCAGCGCTCAGTTGTTTCGTCTCTTCATCCAAGTGTGTTCGGGGGATGCTCGCCATCTCTGGTTTCTCGGGGGTCGACGTCACCTTATACGAACCTGCTGCCGGTGAACAGGAGTTCCATGCCTCATATGCTTCTCTCAGGTCAATCGCAAGTTGTCGCTGGGTGTCTGACGGCACAGTCTCTCCGGACATATCCTTGCTTCCGAAGAAATGGCTTTCATCAACACCATTATTCAGGGCTTTCACTACCTGCAGAAGGTCATTGTTGACACCGGGACGGGGAGTGAGTTCCCCGCCCATGTTACGTGGCATGGGAGTCGCCATACCTTCACTTTCTCCGTCATCGACCTCACTACTGAGCCCCTGCCCCAAGATCCTCTCCACCTCGCAATGGATAACACCCGCCGATGACCGCTCGGCTGCATTCATAACTATCATCTTGTCAAGAAGTAACGAGAGTAGTTTGCTATGCTTGACACAATTCTTGTCCACGAAAAAATTGCGGAATTTGCGAACCCAACTTTTCTCGTCGTTGCTATATGCACTTTGCCAGCTTGGGAGCGTACCGAATAATAGATTACCCACGACTACTCCGAGCGACCATATGTCAACTGCAACAGTGTATGTTTCAGATCTGGTTCCCTTGGGATCAGCGTTTTTGCGAAAGATTTCTGGTGCTGACCATACCGGAGTACCACAGTTGGTCATCAGCTTCTCAGACTCTTTGGAGAGACCAAAGTCGCCAAACTTGACATAGATATTGTCTACTGTTCTCTCGACAACAAGAATATTTTCGGGTTTGATATCACGGTGGCTGATGGGAGGGTTCAGAGTATGTAGATAGTCCAAAGCTGACGATAGCTGGCTGAGGACTTGTGCTCCGTGACGCTCGCTCAGCTTGTCTTCTGAAGTAAGAGAGCCTCCAGGAATGTATTCTAGTCGCAGCTTGGGAATTGGATCGAAAGTCGCCTCTAGAAGCGCGACTATATGCTTCTATCTTCTGATCAGTCCGTGTGCAAAATGCATAACAGTGTCAGGGGTCTCGGTGCTAACATGAGAAATTTTCTTCAGAATACTGGCCTCTCTTTTCCAACTGTCCATGTCGATGGCCGTGTCTTTCTTGGGCGTCTTTACAACAAAGTCGTCTCTTGTTGTCACATTCCAAAAGTACTCGACGACACCAAAACTGCCCTTGCCAAGTTCTTTTGTGTGAAAGACACCCTCTAACTTTGATCTTTGGCCGTCTAACGGACTTTGCTGCCCTGTTTGGACTTGCGTGCCCCCTTCTGTACGAATCTTGACAGAATCGAGCAGCTCCGCGGGATCAGTCGAGCCCTGACGAAACCTGTTCACTTTCTCGACATAATCGGGAGAGGAAAAGTCTCGCTTAGGCACTTTGACCTTAAACTTTACCTCATCTGAGATGTCAAGGATGGGCAGTTTATCTCCAGCGATGCTGGGACCGACTAACGACCAGTCAAAGCCCGACACACGATCGCGCGTCTCTCCGTCATATATGACACGCGTTCCAGCCGTAGTCTGGAGATCTCTCGCAATTGGCACGTTCATCCTGTCGAAGGTGAAAGCAATGTGCTTTTTGCTGACATCTGTGAAAACCGGGAGTAGCAAATCGGCATGTTCCGGGCTAGACCCGGCGATTATACCAGCATTCGTTTTGCAACCCTGGCTGAACCTCAACACGAGGCATCTCGCGCTGTCAGAGGCAATCGGCTTTACCAGTGGCTCCGTTTTTTCTCGTTCGCTCCGGTCATCTGGGACATTGTGGGAGACGCCGTGCCCGCCTGGAATGCTTTGACCGGGGGCACGTCGCAGAAACCGTTCGTTTGCAGCTGATCGTGTTGCCAGCAAAGCACCCCAGTATCCATGGCCATCAGCGGGCATCAAAGTCAATATGATATCATCATCATTATCATCGAAATCGAAGTTGTGCATTGTATTTTCTCCAGATGGCATGTGAACGAGTTGAAGGGACAGAGTAGCAAAATGCGGGGGTCTTGGGAGCTGAGTATCTAGGGGAAGGGTAAAGAGCAGGCTCTCTGGTTTTACTGATAACTATTCCTTACCAGTACGGAGTACGGAGTACTCAAAAGTCTACTGAGTAATGGGCGGCAACCAGGAGCAGCAGTTGCGGCTGCCAGCCAGCCAGTCGTCTCCAGCCGTCGCCCTGAGCTGCAGACTAGTGGGACCGGTGACAACGGCGGCGCCTCAAATGGGATTCTTGATGAATAGATAATTTCCTGGAGATGTTTATTGTGATTCCAACCGATCTTGGAGCATGAAAGATTGGCTTGCTAATACTGGTAGAGGCCATGCTTGCTAGCCGCTTGCCCTCGCGGCGTTCTATTACCGACCGACGCTCTTTCGCGGCAAAACATCTGAACTGCTGCCACAGTTGGGTTTGATCAATAAGGCGTCTGCCTGGAACATGATTAATAATTGCAAGCTCACGAGCTACAAATATAAAGTTTCTATTGGAACTCTCAACACGATTAAGAAAAGGCTGTAAGCGCTGACTAGTTTCCAGCCGTTCTGGCATGTCTATTTACGAGTAATTTAGTAGCTGCTTAAAGCTGTAAAAGTAATTGAAGCTGCTCGAACATGCATGTCGAGCTGCATGTCGAATTAAATATCATGCAGACTTGTGTAGAGAAGACACTGTTAGTGTTCGCACTGTAAGGATACTGTAAAGACGGTGGGGTCCCGCAATATGGGCGCCTGTGATGGTGATTCGGTGATGAGGAGTCTACTTGCATTGGCCTTTTTTCATGCGAATATTGATGGAAATCTCCATTGCTATTCTTTTGTAGTATTGTTCTCGTTTTGTTCGTTGTCTTGATTCTCCGTCGATACCTTTCACCCGCAACCGTGGCACGTTTTTGGGTTGGTGCCAGGTGGTCATCGATCCCTGCCGTCAAGCCTTGCCATCGTGGTCGACCCTTGCCGCCCAACGCCCACCCCGCCAAGCCCGCCAACCCGCCAGAAGCCCCCACAGTAAATTTAGCCCCATCCCGTTGAGAGCGGTAATAATGAAATATAATGCTTGCGGGAAAGGCTGGCTTCCCGCCCGTTTCCTACCTCGGACTCTGTATCAGTCTACGGGTACAGACAGGACTTCACAGCAGGACAACAGTTGACAGTTGGCGTTTGGCATGCCGCCAGTATTTACAAGGCCTCGTTTTATAATTTAGGTGTCGACGGAATCTTGGTGGGCACCAGGCAACGGCCCGACCAATCAATGGTAAAGAGTACAAAGAATCTACGGATATTTACAGGCTGTTAGGTAGGTAGGTAGCCTTGGAAACGAGGCTGGCTCAATCAAATGCTGTGAGACCCACTCAATGTCGCTGCCAAAGCGCTATTAATATGTCAGAAAATGGCCCCCTCCCGCGTAGGTACTCAGTCTGGTACCTAGCTGCTAGCGTGCCTAGGTAGGTACTTGCCTATCTGCCTATTTAGGTACTCACCTAACCATTTACAGAAACGTACTTGGAGCCAGGTCCTGTGTCAGAAATCATGACCCAAACACTTTATCACGTCTTGTGTCGAACTGAATGTCGACATGGCGGCAAGAAATGAAGACTTGAAAAGGGGTACCAGGCCAATTAGCAATATATTTTCCGCGATTTGACTTTACTATCCATGCCATCATCAGTATAACGGTACCAACCTGCTTCTGCCACTTGTGCACTGCAGGTTGCGGTTGGCAGGGTGGTACGTGTAAACTAAATCTCATAAAAGAAGGGCTTCCGGGCCAATTAGCAATACCCAATGTTGAAACTTGACTTTATAATCCGCGCGCTTGTTTGTCCAACGAGGCCAAGCCGCTTTTACTGCTTGTACGCTGCAAGTTGCAGTTGGCAAGGTGGCACGGGTGGTAGCTTGATTGCTGAACAGAGGGTCCAGCACCTAAATGCATGGCGGCTGCAAGATACTGTACCTCGCCAAAATAAAGAGGGATGCGCATCCTCGCATCCTCGCCTCCTCGCCTCCTCGTCTCCTCGCACCTTCACCGTCTGGCCCTGTTACTCGCAGTTCGCGCCGCCATCCTCATCGCGACCTTTCGAGTCGCAGAGCTCATTACCATCTTTAAAATGCCCACTTCCCCGGACCAAGCTCAAGATTCCACTTCCCCAGACCAAGCTCAAGATGCTGTCGTTACTGCCACGGAGCTTCTCGCGTACGATGACGCGCAGCTGGCCTTGTTCCTCAAGTCCATCAAAACAGACAACGGCTATGACCTTTCATCCGTAGACGGCTTCATGGAATTCTCCAAAGCTCAAAAAGATAAATTTTCAGATAAAGTCGAGTGAGACGAGCGCATTGCTGCATTCGACATTTCAACCCCATCTAACAGGCATTGCTGGCTAGGCGAGCTCTTTTGCGAATAGAACACCAAGTCGACGAGCTTCATGAGCGCTTAGCCAACTTGGCTGATCAACCGCATGATTCCACAACCTTCGAACCTCGACACCTGACCACTGAATCACCTAGTCCGCCGCCGCTGGGTGTTCCTCGCAAGTCGTTCGAAGACGCCTGCTATGATGGTCTCATTGAAGCTGGTTGCCGTCCTGTCTGCTCGATCCAAGAACGCAATCATATTTCCGCCGAGCCAGCCACCAGGTATCGCCCAGTCATTTCCTGGCTCACCGACGATGCAGACACCGCGACTGGGGCCGATGAGATTCGGTCAGTCTTTTCCAGGCAGTTCAGGCAGTGGTGGTTCTTCCGCAAGTCCCAGTGGATAAACCGAGGAATCGACGAGTCCGAGGAAGAACTTTCTGTCCACGTTGAGTCATACAGGCGCAGGGCGGTCGACTCAGGTAATGAAAGGTTGACACGTGAGCCTGACTTCGACTACGTTGAACGCGCCATATGGAAAGATATCCCTAAGGCTCGGCAGCTGCCGGACGGCCAACCATTCTCAGCTTATAGAGCTGCAGTAGAATTCCGTCTCAAGCCTTATGGCTTCAAACGACGTTTGCAACTTCGAAAGAATCCACATCAACAGGATGCCTGGACGAATTGGCTGGAGTATCTCAGCTTTGAGAAATGGATTCTAGAGCACGAAATTGACACTGCAGATTCCCTGGAGTCAGAATTCCTCAGTTCCTGGCGCCTCCTCGCTGCTAGAGACATGGAGATCCTTTCGAGACAACACTCGAACGCCATGACAGGTCGTCCAGACAGAGCAACAAAAGCTGACCAGGACGCGAACGAAACAGCCATTCATAACTTTATTCAACAGACAAAGCGTTACAAAGAGGCTCGGGCAGCTGTATACTATCAAATACATCGAGTCAAATGGGCTGTCCGGGAGGCACGTCTCTTGGAATCGGAAATAGCCCAACAAGCAAAGGCAGCGGAGCGCTCTCGCCTGGAAAAGAGGAGCGAGACTCGAAAGAGGCGACACGAAGAGAATGACCAAGTCAATTCGAATTCCCAGCTGAAGAAGCCCAAACGAGGTGCCGCAGGCGAGGGGGTAACTCCGAGTTCAAGAGACGTGGCTTCCACTGGGGCCCCTCGCAGGAGTGCTCGTCTTGCCAACATGGGCAATCAAGCTTGAGCACATGTACATATCAACTCTGGCGGGGATTAGCTTTTGGAAGTAGTCATGGAGTGTGCTGAAAAGCTCGAATGTGCCATCTTTTCTCATGATATAAACGGCACGAATTTGTTGTGATGTGGTCAGTGCAACGCAGGCGAGCATGACAAACGAGACACACAATTTACATTGGCCACGAATTGCAGCAAAGAAATTTTGGCACTATTGATTCAACTTTTTGAAGAAATGCAAAGACGGACGATGCGCATGACGGGCATCTCTGGCCGAAATAGCTGCCAGGATTCCTCGGCACCGATGGCGCGCATATTCGCATTCTCACATTTTGGGCCAGGGGAATGCGGGGAAGCGAAATGAGCAGATTTGCGTCATTCTTGATTTGTAAACTGACGCACGACGTATTCTAAGTTTTCCTTGATGGATGCTCTCAGTGAGCCGTTTTGCATGTGGTTGGTGGTTGCAGCATATTGCGTGATAGCGCCATTTCATCCCGCCATGTGTCTGACAGTACTTATTAAGATACGTCGCAGGCTCTCAGGTGCAAGCCTCGAGACTTTGCTTATTCAAAAGAATACAATAGGTACTTTTTGACACTACCATTCACTTGACAGAGAAAAAATGGCTGCAGCTGCTACTTTGAAGCCTACTTTTCCTGCTGGCCCCAACGGCCAACCAGATATCGCATATGCACCCAATTGGGACACATATCAAGCTCGAGCAAAGCGGCACCTGGATGGCGGAAAGCTGGTCAAAACGCTCCCGGAAGGTTTGCCGGCAAAGCTTCAGTCCGATCTCGTCTGGGATGGTGCCACGGTCTCAGATGAATACCAATGGTGGTATCGACTTAGCGAGAGTGACGTGGCCGAGATTGACGGCGCTCTGAAGCATTTCAAGAGTAAGTGCCCGCGCCATTCTGAACAAGACAAGAAGAAGACGCCAAAACTTGCGCTTACACTGGGACCAGGCCTCGGAAAGCCACTCGGCGAGATCACACAAGACACGTTTCCCCTGCCGACGCTGCACGCCGTGCTGCGCGACGTGTCCCGGGAGATTCACAACGGGCACGGCTTCAAGGTTGTGCGCGGCATCCCCGTGGAAAAGTACACGCGCGAGGAGAATATTGCCGTGTACGCCGGCCTCGCCGCGCACGTGGCGCCGTCCCGCGGCCGCCAGGACAACAACTTTGATGGCAAGCCGGCCGACGTGGCGCTCGCGCACATCAAGGACCTGACGGCCGAGGTCGACCCGCACAAGATTGGCGCGCCGGCGTACACAACGGAGAAGCAAGTCTTCCACACCGACGCCGGCGATGTCATTGCGTTGTTTGCGCTCGCCGAGGCGGCCGAGGGCGGCGAGAGTTACCTCGCCAGTAGCTGGCACGTGTACAACCAGCTGGCGGCGACGAGGCCGGATCTGATTAAAACGCTGTCGGAGCCGTGGGACAGTGACGAGTAAGCCGAAAGCAACGTTTTCTCTTTTTTTTTTCTTTTTTTTTCTTTTTTTTTCCACCCCCGTTCCATTATCTAGAACAGAGCATAAACTCTAATGTTTGTTATTTGTGCTAGGTTTGGCAAGTCGGGCCCGCCGGGCTACACGGCGCGGCCGCTGCTTTACCACCAGCCGGCCGACGGCGATGTCCCCGAGCGCCTCATTATCCAGTACGCGCGCCGCTCGTTTACCGGCTACTGGGGAATGCCGCGCAGCGCCGACATCCCGCCCATTACCGAGGCGCAGGCCGAGGCGCTCGACGCGCTGCACTTTACGGCTGAGAAGAGCGCCGTCGCGCTCGAGTTTCAGGCCGGCGACATTCAGTTTGTCAATAATTTGAGCATCTTTCACGCGCGCGGCTCCTTTAAAGACTCGCCCGAGAAGCAGTACGTTTTTTTTTTTTTTTTCCTTCTTTCTTTCCCTTTTGCAACGCGCCCCTCTTTGTTTTCTATTAGAAAATCACGCAGCTGACTGAATATCACAAAGGCGCCATCTCATTCGACTCTGGCTTCGTGACGAGGAGCTGGCGTGGAAGACGCCCCAGCCGCTGCAGCGTCTCTGGGATCGCGTATATGCGGGCGTCAAAGCGGAGAATCAGGTCTTTCCTTTGGAACCGTTCCTGCGATCGCCCTCGACTGGCGAGAAGAAGATTCCAATACAGTAAGAGAGTCGCGGTGCTTCAAGAATCACAATCAAGAGAATGAAAGACAGAATGCCAACACTTTGAAGTATGAGAACCACAAAGTATGTACGTACTAGTTTTCATGTCTAGACATTTTCTGCATTATTTGATTCATCACATGGCATCGTGTTTTGGTGTACGGCTTGCCAGAGGTGAGGGTACCCTCCTCTAGATAAACGGTGCTTTTTTGAGGGTATGTAGGTGATCTGGCCCCGACGTCGGCTAGACCTTGCGGGTAGATGTGTCGGTCAAGAACAGCCGCAGTTTTCGAATAGAGGTGATCTCTCACGATTGCCAGACTGGTGGAACACGGCGCGGCAGATGTCGGCCCTTCACCAGAGGAGCCTGGTGATGGGTATTGTGCCCACCGTGTCCATGAGCAAATTTGAGTCAATATATTTGGTCATTTCGAGTGGGCCAATAGACGCAAGTGGCAGTATAGATGGCAGTGGTAGGGACCATGAATGACGATGCGACGCCTTACGCTCAAGTTCCAGCGAAATATCAACTCGTCGTGGCTTTGAAAAATAGAATCGTGATAAAAGTATGCAAGCTGTGGTACGTCGCAGCAGCGGCTCAGAGCCCATCACGTTCCCCTCGTTGTCGGGAGTCGTTATTTGTATAATTCCAACACACGTTCAAAAATCCCCCTGTGACTATCCGAAGGCGCAGACTCGGACAAAGTTTTGAGCTTGGCCCTAGCCTGTCGCCATAAGGAACTCTCTCGTAAACGCCGATGCTCGCCGGATGTAAGTTGAAGTTGAAAGTGTCAGTGCTGAACCCCCCCCCCCCAAAAGCGACACTGCATCGATGAATAAAACCCACATAGTCTTCAATACCAATTGCATGAACAGTGATAGCGAGCCAGACAGCCATGCCGAGGCTCACAGTTCATAGCAGCAGCTTTTTTGCTCAGGTCCCTTAGCGATGTCGGCTTTGACCAAGGCCTAGGCATCAAAAGAGGCGCAGTTAGTAGTTGTCCGTAGCAGAGCTGTGCTATCTAGAAGCTGGCGAGCTCACGACAGATCTTCGGCTGGTAATGACGCGTCTTAATCGCCACCCCACGAAAATGATGGCAGTGAGCATCATGATAGACCTATCGGTTACGATAGTTCCAGTATATAGTGAATTATCCCAAGTTTGGTCATTCATGTTCACTCAACTTGCAGGCTGGACAACATCCATGCACGATGTTGATCATTCTCAGCCTCTTGATGTAGAGGTACGCCAACGAGAAAGAGCTGACAAACATGAGGGCCAAAACATTATTCACGCCTTGAATGGCCAAATCGCTGCCAAAAGACACCGGCGCAATCATGATGGCTCCCGCAACGCCCACGAGGCGCAGAATCAGCGTAATGTAGCCGTTGATGCGATGCAAGAGGGCCAGCCTGTGGTGGGCAACGTGCACAAACTGGACGCAAGCCAAGAAGCCCACCGGGACCACGTTAAATAAATACATGTTGATGCCGGTGAGGTAGACGTCGTAGGTGGTGTATCAGTAGCACTCGCCACGCGCGGCGTGGTTGATTGTCCTTGGGGAGGGGGGAGCAAGGTACATCCTCTGGGTGAGGCAGAAGAAGCGCGATAGCGCCAGAAATGTCGAACTAGAGGATGAAATTATACGTATTGGTAAAGCCGATTGAGTTATACAACTTGTGCATCTTGGCGAGGAGGCCCGCGTCATCTTGGGCAGGCTCCGGTGGTGGACTCATGACCTTGAGGGCAGACGGGGCTACTGGGAGAGGATGATTCTGGGATGTAGTGAAACGCACTGCTATCCAGCGTGATGAGGGACTGCTGCCTCTTATTTTATCCATGTCTCTTGCTCTAATTAATTGGCAGGTGCACAGAAAGCATGGATCGGAACCGTATCTCGTGTCGTGGGCATCACTTACACGGTATACGCGTGTACCCCGACCAGCCACCCACTACCATTCATTGGCTATTGCCGAATATCTCGTGGCGATAATTCCATCTCGTAACTGGGCAAAAAGGCCGCAGTCTTTTTCAAAGTGATGTAGATCCTTTTGGGCACCGCTAGACGAGGTCATAGTAAATTGGCCGACTGCAGCTAGAAATCGAGACTGGCTCGGCAGCACAGCCTGCGCGCTGAAACAGGCAATGGAGCAGATTGAACGCAGAGCGAGCTATCTGTCTTGCTGAAACAAGACATTTTGACAAAAGACGCTTGCCAAGACGACTGCGTCGGATTGGCGCGCGCGACAGACACGTCGTTGGTCCTCACAAAAGGAGTTGGGCGCAGGAGACGACGTCGCGTTTCGCTTGGACAGCAATGTGACTAAACTGCCACTCCTTTTCAGATATACCGAGTCCTAGTTCATTCTGAAACGATTTCTGAAGGTATGACAATTACTTCCATCTGTTTGTTATCTTGGCTTGCTGATTGGTTTCGAGAGTGCCGTACAGTGTTGGCTGCGCAGATTTCCAGTCTTGTCAAGCATAAAGAAAACAGTGCTAAATCGAATAAACGCAGTCTCTTTTTGAACACGCACATAATAACTTGTCGACCCCCTATGATTTAAATCGCTTCTGTTGACAAGGAAAATAATATCAGTGTATAGTCGCACTGGTTTTGTTAACGCACAAGGGGGGGGATTTCCGAGTTTATGGCATTCTCCATGGCAAGGGCGTCTACCACATCACCAAAAATGCAACGAACTGAAAGTGACGAGCGTTGATATATACATCATTGTAGTGAATAGCACTCATCAGCTATCAAAGGGAGCTTGGCAGGTATATTGGGAACATGCACATGACGAGGAAAGGAATGCAAGTGGTAGCTTGGAGGGAGTCTGCCCACTCCAGCATCAAGGCATCGATGAAGCAGAGAACCAAAGGAAGCAAAAGAAAAAGGCAATCTCGAGCAGTCAAGTCATCATTGCTTCTGCCGGTCCGTGGTCCGCATTTGACTAGTCGTGATCAGGTCGTCAGGGTATCAGAGGTCGGCACAATGGCTTGCATATTGTGCAATGCCATAATTTCCTGAAATAAATCTGGCTTGACACAATTCATGATAATGACGAAGGGGCGGCTAAATTGCGCAATGGAAACGGCGCACTACGTAAAAATAAGATCGTGCCTTTGGCGGCTGCCTTGTACATTGCGCGTCACTTCCATTGGGCCTTTCTTCTGGTGTGTGCGTTCCTCCTGGCGGCGTCTTCGGCGACAGCTCCCTCTTTATTCTCGTTATATGCGTTTTCACGCTGACGCTGCTATGTCAAGAAGGTAGTTATTCGGTGGGATAGTAGATCTTGCGTAGAGACGTGGGATAGCTTGATACAAACAGACTTTGTATTGAAAGAGCGCCTGCACGGTAGTTATGCCAACAGAGTTCTCACACCACATTTCGTGAGTCATCTTTAAAAATATAGGAAGCGGGGCACTCAAGCCTAACTAACGTGCATATTCTTGAGCTTTTTGGGGTTGTGAATTTTGCATACAATCATGGGCTGAGCGGGCGTTTGCCGCAGAAGATGATGGACAAAGGTTCGGCGGTCCTAGGCTGTTGTGATACTAACATGGCGGAGCACTACGAGGAGCGCGAAGCCACACGATATGTGACAGACATCACAGCAACTTTCGAAAGGACTGCCATTCTTACGCCATTATGATCATGCTCAGGAAATGTCGGGCTTGAGGCAAGCAAGCAAGGTGACCAACATCACGATGTGCGGGACGCCACAATGTGGAGGGAGGTGTGTGTGGCTGGATTGCTTGAGTGGTTGCAGGCGCTGAGCCTCGCTAGGAGCGCTACTGCAGGCTAGGCTCCACCAAGAAGACGGATAGATCGACAGACACTAAAAGTTACAGAGTACTCCGTACCTTAGGTATGTAATCCGTACTTAGCGTGGAATTAATAGAGGGCAAATTCACTTGGGCATGTTTTTGTAACACAACCTTGTTACAGAGGATACGTACCCGAGGCAACCACTGGGGCCGCTAGCGCCAGGACCAGGGCCTTCGTCTCTGTAGGGATATTTGAACAATGGAATTGAATGGCGGCTAATCCGTAGAGCCAAAGGCTTCAGCAGGTATCAGACAAGAACCAAAATACAAAAAAACGGACTAGCTCAAATTATGCCCAAAACATGCCAGGAAAGCAAGCGAAACACATCTCGTTGGAAAGAGTTTAGCCTGTGGCTGATTATGCTGCCGCCGGCGGCTTGAGGAAGCTGTCACTGGTTTAGAGACGTTGCAAGGT